CAACGCCCCTCCAAGCCCCAGGAACCCGAGTAGACAAGCCCCTCGGAGGAACAGCACTCCTCTCCACGAGTGCGTTTCCTTCTTCAAAGAAAAACCAAAGAAAACACCAAGCACCCCCGCGCACGTGGAAGGGCTCGAGAGCGTGAGCGTGATCGTTCCAACCGCCACCCACCAATTCTGCCCTTGTCTTGCTGGCTGCCGCGGCGCTGGTCGTGAAAACGGGCAACAACTACTCCAATCAAAATTAAGGCCTGATATCCGTCGTCTCGTTTTGTCGCGTCGTGTCGTGTCCCTCGACGTGATCGTTCGGAAAGTTACGCCGATCTCTAGTATGGTAAAATTTCACAACCGAGATTTTGGACGCTGGAAATAGATGTTTTGGGGGTTTCGGATGTTGACTACTACACCTGATACTAACTTACGGCTAAACTCCGGCGGGAGGGTTATTGGCTAAACACGTCGCGCCGCGCGTTGCAAGGGAGGAGCGCGTCTTTTCCTGATTGGGGGGTCATAAGGTACAACTCGTTTAGGCAAGCAACGTCATGGCTTATTTGGGGGAGGGGAGAGTGGGGCTTTATGTTTTGGCTGTGTGGTGAAGAATAGACAAAGGGATCGGTGCGCTGGTTGTGGTGGGGTGTTCATACGTTGGACAAAAGCTACGGCAGCGGCATTGCAGGTAGAGGTAAGGAAGTCGAGCGGGTGGCCGTCTACAGTGTAGTTATGCTGAGTTGCCTGACCCCGATGTCGTTTATTCCTAAGGCATGGGTAGCATGTTCAGGCCAGGTCTCAGCCTTGTATGCCTCTTATGCTATGTGTGTATTTCTCCATCCTCCAATGTCAATCCTACAGGCTTAATGAAGTCTCTTCAGTCCCTCGACCATCCCCTTGACTGCCTGCACGCCAAGGCCCGCGCCCAACTCAGCCACCACACCCTCCATATTTTCCTGACTGAAGTTCAAGAATCCTTCAACCAATTCTCCGTCCACAAATCGAAACGGCTCATCGGCTTCCCGCACTTCATTCTTGAATGCCCTGTACTTGGCCCATGGCATATAACCCAATCCCTTCGTCCTAGCCGAGACAGCCTGCTGTAGTCTCATCAAGAGATCTTGATATCCAGCGCTGATCGTGCCGAGCATATACACGCCGCCTTCGATCGTGGCAAGGAATGCTTGTGGCGTCACGGCTGGGCCTGCTGGTAAGTCGGCCGCCGCATTTGGACCAGCGGTGGTAGACGAGCTTCGAGCTCTCATGGTCAGCATGTTTTCGCTAGACATACGTACAGGGACTATCGAGTTGACGACCTCCCCAAGTCTCAATTCCGAGGTAACTTCGAGTCGCTTCCTGTCATCTTCAGCCACGCCATTTACGTTTCTTCGAACGACAATGAGATTGCCATCCGTGTCAGCAGCGACCCATTCATTGTCGCCAATGACGCTGACGGAGCTACTCCACATAACAGCAAAATGACGAGCAGTTTCACTAAGTGCCCAGCTGAGCCCCGTATTAGGTGGTGGTGGGATCAGCATCAGTATGGAAACTGATTTCATAACGTCAGCTACAGCAATTAGAGCTGGCGATGTTTTCGTCGATGGTGTGACAGTCAGAGAGAGTGGGTTAGTAGCGGTGCGGTAGACGGCTAATTTCACGAGGTTGATATTGTGTGAATGTATCGACGGGGGGACAAGAGCATACACAACAACCTTGAACCAGATTAGTACCACAGAAAGCTGGAATGGATTATCTTTTACCGTCTTAACCAGACCAGCCACAATCTTGCCATCACAAATGGCTAGTGACCGACATGCGCCCTTGACTCCTAGTTCTGTCATCAGGCTCAACTTCCTCTCCTTGTCGATCTCATAGATTAGGATCCTTCCCTTAACTAACTGCTCAGACAACTCATCTTGCATGCTGGTACCGACCACAAACATGTCAATGCCGTCGGAATCTTCATCTTTTGCCACTGGAATCACAACCGTGCATTCGACCAGCTCCTCTTCCGCGAGCTCTACCGAATCCAGCTGCTTAAAAGTGACTTCGTCAGCGACCTTGAATCTGCTAAAAAGTCTCTCCGCTCCATTCTCCAGCTTCCGCCTAACGCAGCCCATGCCAAACATTTTAAGACCTTCAGAGTAGGTCACACACCGTACGGTCTCACCGACCGGTAAAGTGTGTAGTTGTGTTCTTCGCTCGGCATCTATCAGAGCCAGCTTCAGCTCTTTTGGTGTTGCAATGGCGATAGCTCCGGGGTATGCCACAGAGTTGAAATGAGTCACCCGAGAGGCTTTGTCAGAATTTACTGCTGAGTACACCATCCGGCCTTCGGAAGCATAGATCAAGGATGGTTGTTCGCACGAGGCGAATATATTGCTTAGGGTTGACTCCGAATCGGTTGACAGATCACGAGGGAGCTTTTTGAATGTCACCGGTTCCGACCCCAGCACGATACGTGTCATGTTGCTCAAAGTATTCTTGGTCATATCCATGGTGTACGTCATGACGGTACCATCTGCCATTGCCACAAACAGGCTTGGAGGAGAGTCAGGGAGAATGTTTGCTATTAGAATAGAGCGAGGGATTGCGGTGTCTGCTGGGCCCAAGATTTGGGTATGCAAGGTATCTAGAGAAGGAATTTCAATTATCGCGATGGATGCTGACTGCCAGAATGCAACAATGCAGACTGACGTCGGTGCAGGAGGTATAGCGATACCGGCAATTTGAGAATCGGTAGGAAAAGACTTCGAAGATATGGTTGTGAGGTCGTTTGATAAATCGAAAACATGAAGAGTGGTCCCACCGCTAACAACAAGTAGTCTCTCTTCATTGCTGGCTGTTGCAGTGATCTTGCTACCATCCGCTGGCCTCCAAGTTGATGTCGTCATGCCACTGTCAAGGTCTGCTATTCGTACGCTCATCTCTGCAACCTGAAGAATACGACGATTCGATAAATTTGAAGCGGACAGCGTTGTTTCTGATAATTCAAGGCCATGAAAGTGGTCAACTTCTTCAATAGTCGCTTCGCTGTCGAATGTGAATATCCTGGTCTCATCCACGAACGTAACAAGCAACGTGTCTTGCATAGCACTGTCTCCTGTAGAGTCCAAACCCCACATGCCTGTAATATGTGACATTTCTCCAAGTGAACCCAGCTCTTCTATCCCGACTCCGCTTCTCACACTCCTAATGCTACCGTCTTGCCACGCTCCTGAAGCGGTGACCAGTCGAGCCTGACCAGACGAGAAGTCATTTGCTTGACCACCTTCAGTTCCTCTACCAAGGTCCATAATAGCAAAGTCGAGGATAGGGGCAATATTGTCGAAAGTTTGCGCAACTTTCAACCCGCCTTCTTCAATCTTGACGACTTGTGAATCTCCAGAGTGTGATCCTACGAAAACGTGTCCCCTGTCCAAGTAGACCAGAGCGGACGCCTTTGATGTGGTGCCAACCAAATCCAGTCTCCAATCTTGCACTCGTTTGCCTTCTACCATGATCATCAAAAAGTACAATCGGCCGTAATCATCTGCGAGAAGCCATCTCTGGTCATCGATCTTCTCCCAGGCAACCCAGAGCGTAGCGTTCTCGTCCAGATTACGTGGAATGGAAGTCTTAAGCTCACTGTCAACGTAGGTGATAGACCTCTCTCCTAGGATAAGAAAGCCTCCATACGGTGCCGATACAGGGACAAGGTGACTGACTCCCAAGTCGAGGTGGTCCCGGAATTCAGCAATGGTTTTCAATTCTGCGGAGGCCTGATCTCCCGCAGCGTCCGGAAAGTACTCCAACTCTCGGATCTTGAGCTGGGGAATCTCCGCGTTATCTTCCCACAACAACGCCAGCCTCGGTTTGGTTCTACTGCTTGAATCAACATCCAGAAACGCTGACGACCGAATCGCCAACTCCTCTATCCGAACTTGCACTGGCGATCCGAGTATGCCTCTGTCCTCTTGTTTGGCTATCGACTGTCTCTTCGCACTTGGTCCTCTATCGGTGGCCTGTTGAAGCGGGATCACGGTGACAACGCCATCATAAAGCTCTAGGGTCATAAATCGTCTTGAAGGATCAACGTGACATCGATCTGCCTCTTGAGAGTCTCTCAACACCTTATCCGCCTGATCCAGATAACTCTGCTCGGTCCGTAATCTTTTAAGAGATGCATCCCACGAAACTGTAAAGTACTGGTATCGGTCTGTGCCAATAAACAAGTGGTCTGTAGTCGAAGTGGAAGGCCGCAGCCTTTCAAGCATTGTGATGTAGCCATAGACGGATGTTGAGTGGACCAATATGAGGCCATCGATGGCTTGCGCATAAATTTCGAGTCGATTCGACTTTCTGGATAGCTTGTGTCAGCAGCCGTGTGCTCATGGAGACTGTAGAACCTCACGCCACGATCAACGCCTCTTCCAAGGGATCTAGGAAGGGTAACTTCAGAGCATGTCGCACACTGCTTGGCCGATGGATCGGTACAAGGTAGGCCATGCTATATAGCTAAGGACAAACAATGCGAAATCGGAAATCCTCTCCACAGGTTGGGGGTTGGATCTACATAGAGATCGACTCTTACTTAAAAGAATATTTGCATGCACACCCGGGTTTATTACAACAGAAGACGCCCCAAGACGTAGATAGACTTTGGCAATCATTTGACTGCTTTCCACAGCCATCAAAAGAATGGTAGATGAAGTCTACAATCCAAGTGACGGAAATCCTGCCACCTGTATGGCCTTGGCGCCTATGGAGCTATTTCCTCCGAAACTTTGTACTTCAGATTCCCAAATACACACACTACCCATTCGAGGCTTTGAGTCATTCTACTCCACAGGTGATGGTCATGTCGCCAAGTAAAGGAAGATCTGTCCCGAGTTCACCACCGGTCCGGGCCTACTAGGGTGATGCTGCTCGAGCTTACCTGGTCACATCCCGACCAGGGTGAGACTCAGGTATCACTCCCCCCTTGGCCGGCGTAGTGAGGCAGCAGCCTTTGGCGGTCTATGAGGCACAATTAAAGTTAACTGTAGATATGACTATTGACTGAGATGTCCCTATAGATTATTGATCAATTCCCATCTACCCTTGCGTATCCTACAGGTAAGACGAATCGTCTGGCTGTCACAACAGCAGACGTACTACGTTAATCTTTGTGTCCGACATTCATCGCGGCTACTGACGTCCCCCTTCGCCCACCACGTAATATATCATCTTCGATTCTGTCTCTTGCATCATTTGATACTGATCGGACGGCAAGGGCAGGCGAAGCTTCGCTCTTCAAAGGCAGACGACGTTCCAGTTTACAGCATGAATGCGGCATAAATGGGGTTCTTCTGGAAGGTAGTAATTGGGGGCCCTCTCCTGAACGGCGAGCCAGCAACGAAGACGCTAGAGCGATGTTTGAAGAAATGGGCCGTGAGAAATGGGCTCTTAGAAGTCACACTAAGGAATATAAAACTAGCTTAGGAGCAAAAGGTTACCTGTGGCTATTGTTTAACCTTCGGGTTTAGCCGTGGCTGATCGCGGCTAGCGCCCTCTCCAAGCGTAGACCAAAGATAAGGAAGAAACACACTGACCAGAATCGCCCAAGTAATAGTATATATTATATTATAGGAGGGCATGGGTTCAAATCCGCGTCGGGGAATCTTTTTATTTTTTTATTTTATCTTTTTGTTGCATTCCTCTACCTTTCGAGGATGCTACCTCATCAACCGAGATCGATTATCTACCAATCATCATATCTAAAGCATGTCAGGCCAGAGAATGTCAATTTACTCCGTGTCAAGTAACACAGCTCAATGCTGGTACGGCCGTATGGCAACAACCTCCTTGCAGGGCAGCGTGAGCTGCCGCAACAGCTAAGAGGAGTTGGCTGTACATGTACAGCCAAATCCTAAAGCGGCTTAGCGCCACCCTGGCGCGTCACTCCAACAACCTCCTTGCAGGGCAGCGTGAGCTGCCGCAACAGCTAAGAGGAGTTGGCTGTACATGTACAGCCAAATCCTAAAGCGGCTTAGCGCCACCCTGGCGCGTCACTCGCCCTGATTTCCTGTGCCATGGCACAGGAAATCCTATTTAGGTAGTTACTAGAAAATCTAGATAGGAGAATGTACAACACAACAGAGTGAGAACTTCAACACTCCGGCTCTGATTTCGGGTAGGCAATTCTTTGGCCGAAATGTGGACGAGAATGGGAAATTTATGGGTGGTGATAAAAGCGGCGGCCAGGGGGCAAGCGGCGTGGTGGGTGCAGAGCAGACTTTACTTCTTTTCAGCCGCTAAGAACCACCAACGCGCTCGAGATCGCGTTCAGCGTCTTTGCCAAAAGAGGTCAGATCTGAGGTCTTCTCGAATCTATCAACGAAAGAATCTACATGACTGCTCACGACGGTTCTTGCCCAGTTTCCTGGCCGATATCAGTTCAAGTCAGACGTAGCAGCTTTCTCAATGAATGCTGCAGTCCGCTCAGGCCGACTCAGAAACGGGCTATGGCCTGCATCGATCTCCTCCATCCTCAATCTGTGCGCCCCAGTCCCTGGCCCTCCAGCTTCGTCTAGGTATTCTCTGGCTTTCTTGACGAAGGCTCGTTGAGTCTCGGGCATTATTGTTTTGTCCTGCATGCAAAGGAGATACCAGGACGGGATATCCTTCCAAGCTGCATAATTTGCTGGCAAATCGAGCGTCACAGCTGAATGGGTCCCTAGCTTGCTGACCCAGTATGCTGCCTCCTCGAGCGATAGGTCATTATAAAATCCATGAGCTGTGTTTACATCCTTATTCAGCAGCAGATTCCCGTCGTCTGGAAGCTTGTATGCATCACTCTGGACTGCACCACCATGAGCAGTATTTGCACCACTCAATGAAACGCCTTCAAAGAGCAGACAAGCAGCGATATAAATGATGGCGGAGACTCGCCCGCCTCCAGCGGTCTGAGGCCGTCCAAGGCCTCTGAGTGCCTGGCTGGTGGGCACGCCGCTGTATGAATGGCAGACGACGCAAATGTCGTGCCCTTGTTGCATTTCAGAAAGAGCAACACTGCGGATCGCCTCGACATCGGGCTCGATAGATGATACTGCAGGTGATCTGTCAACAGAGGGTAGGTGGATTTTCCGACTTGGGAAGCGTTTGGCTGATAAGAGCGCTATCACCTTGTCGAAGGCGTCTGGACTGTGCCATGCGCCGGGCACATATAGGATGACTGGCCGCGACATATTTGGTACTCTAGGATGGCAGACTTACTACGGCGGGACACTGAAGATAAGAATCGAATCGAGGTGGAAAGCACAAAATATATAGTCCTGACACCTTGGTAAAAACCTTAATGGAGATCTGAAGCTTTGTCGTAACTTGCTTTCAAGCCCGTACTCATGACAAATCCAAATCTCGCCAGCCAAACCTAGCCCCGTCCAACAGTCCGAGCAGATAGTGCAGATCAAGGCTCAATCTTTCTCTCGCGTCATATAGATTGCAACGCAAGAATCCAAGTCATGAACACAACAGAGACGCTAGATGCTCAAACATGGTATCGAAGGATGTACGCTGTGGAGAGCGAGTGGTTCGGAGGTTTATATCTACGTAATATATTAATTATTTATAAATTTTATAATACCGGAATGGTTTAGTGCTGGTAATGACGGGACAGACGAAGCATAAGCCGAATCCTTTGCTTACCGATCCACCGGCAAACTCCGGCCAACACACCATGCGTAGGAGCGCTACCATCTGACAGCTATTGGTCGAGAATGCAGTGCAGGTAAGGATAGTTAGCACGGAAAGTGCTTTATCAGCAGGAGAATGAGGTCGCGTAGCAGTTCTACTTTCACTCTTTCCCGCCAAGCCACCGATACACAACAGAGAAGTCTTTTCCCATATAATCTTGCTCGACCTTCTCGTAAACCTCTTCTGCCTTTGTGGCCAACTCTAAGCGTGCATCTGCTTCCTGAGCTGCACGGATTGCCAGCTTAAGGTCTTTCTTCATCAGACTGACACCGAATCCGCCTTCATAATCTCGGCTCGCTGGAGCACTCCCAACCACACCGGGAACGGGATTGTTTACTTCACTTGGCCATGAACGCCCTGTAGATGAGTTGATGAGGTTTCCCAAAGTCTTAGGATCCAGACCCCACTTTAGTCCCAGATTCATGGCTTCGGCCGCGGCGATATTGTTGATGGCTAAGGCATAGTTGTTTGCGAGCTTTCCACTCAAGCCAGCACCTTGAGCACCAAGATGCCATACCTTCTTCCCCATCAAGAGCAGAACTTTCTCGACCTTGGAGAGCATATCAGGTTCACAGCCAACCATAAATGTCAAGGATCCTGCTCTTGCACCAACCACACCACCTGACATAGGAGCATCCACAAATATAGCAGAGGATTCCGAAGTTGACGCATGGACAAGGGAGGCGACCAATCGAGAAGTTGTGGGATCAATGGTCGAGCAGTCTAAAAAGAGGCGTGACGTTGTTGTAGGGGGTGCAGGAAGGGCTGACGCCAACATCTTTTCGAACACGGACTTGACATGTTGTGGCTCGGGCAGAACAGTGATGACGGTATCCTGTGGGATTTTGTGTTAGCTAGTGCCTTCTGATACTCATAAGTGCTGTCGAGGACAAGACTGCTAGCATCAGAGGATTGGCTTTAATTTTGTTTGGAATCAGACGAGGGAAAGCCACAATGGCACACCCCAACTTAGATCATCGATAGAACAATTGCTCATCATTTCGAGTACTGGAGACATAAGTGACACTCACCGACATTTCAGCTACTTCCCGTGGACTCACAGCTGCCTGGACACGCGTGCCCTGAGACTCCTGTAAAAAGCTCTGTGTAGCTGTAGCATTCACATCATACACAAGAATTTCGTCATTGTCAGGAGTTTTGGCTCGCAAGTTGCGTGCCATAGGGCATCCTAATCGAGATGTTAACTCCTAGTATCCAAGACCTGGCCAGACGTGCCCATCGCTCCAAGTCCAATGAAACCCCATCGCGCTTCTCTCGTTCGGCAGCTCGAGAAGGCACGCCTGCATGCATGTGGGTTGAATAAGCATCGCTGAGCATTCAAGCTGTTGACTGGGTTCCTCATCTTTGTTGAGCGCATCTCACATGGGTCATGCTTGCAGCGCGACTTAACAGGGAAGGAGGAAGAAGAAGAAGAAAATCCTTCCTTACTGTACCAGTACTACGTAAGCTGGATGCCTCGGTTGGCGCCGGCCAGGACTGCAGATCCTTGCAGTTCTCCGCATTCGCAATCTTACTACGGAGTCGTGCTTCAAAAGTTTTCAATATACGCTAAATTTAGAGCGTCACTAGTAGAATCGATCTAAGCTTTAGCGGCGCGTAGAAAATATATTATAGGGGGTGGATCCCTAGAGCTACTGCTATCACCCTCTTATCTTAGAGATACTGAGGGACCCGTTTAGGTCAATATCAGCTAAGCTTTAGCCATCCGCCATCTTTAACCATTTTATGCCCCACCGCCTAGTAGCAGTGCGTTAGTCCAATAAAAGCTAGTTTAACTTATCCTAGTTAGCGTATATTGATGACTTTTGAAGCACGACTCCGTACTACGATACGTATCCACCACTCTGTCGTAAAATTCGATCTTTTTTTGATTGGTCAACGGAGCGGGTGCCAAGAAAACCTTATTATAATATGCACTAAGCCTAAATAGGAAGTAGCAACACTAAAATAAATAGAATTTGCTATCTCTGCTACGGAGAGGGTAAATGGCGAGCCCAGCAGCGCGAATTGTGGCAGATTGAGATGTTACACTTGCTGCAAGACCATAGGCTCTGATGGATACCCTTTTGGCCTTTTTTCTGCTGTTAGAGGCGTTGGTAGACAGTTCCTGGAGTGCTTTACGCGGCCTGCCTAGTTTGGGAGTAGGATTGCACGATTGACAGCGGCGCCAGCGATCTCCTTTGACCCACGAATGCCCTTTGTAGCTATCCTTTGGTACTGATTTAGTACGGAGATTGCAGCTAGCTAGGGGAGGGCGTGGTGGCCGTTGCCGTAGAATAGCTCCAGGTCCTCGAAGCAGACTTCTTGCAATTTCTTCTTGAAATTGAGCATGTGAGAGCCTTTTGCTTTTTACGCCTAGCTTATAGAGGTTATACGCGTTTGTAACAGCTGCATCGATAAGGAGATAGAACAGGGGCAGCTAGTTACGTTGATGATAGTGTCGGCTTACTGAATAATACGAATTCAGTTTTGCGTGGTTATCAGAGCCACCCATCTCTTGATTGTATTGATCAAGGGCATATAGCTTTCGTAGATATTGTGACTTGTTTTCAGAATTTGCAGGAGGCGCAGGGAGCGCAGAGAGCGCAGGGAGCACAGAATTTGTAGGAGGCGCAGAACGCGTAGAAAACGCAGAATCTGTAGAGAACGTAGAATTCGCAGGGAGCGTAGAATTTGCAGAGAGTATAGAATTCGTAGAAGGCGCCGATTTCGCAGGAGGCACAGGGCACACAAATTTCGTAGCATTTGCAGAATTTGCAACATTTGCAGTTTCTGCATCCACAGCATACTTTAAAGAGGCCCTAGAGCGTTTGATTCTCTCAAAATAAGCGTATTCCTCCATAGTAGGATCGTGAACAGTGGTCATCATTGCCTTAGAAGCTAAATCACAAAATGTGATATAATTCACGCTGCTAATAACGTAATTAAACCACTCTCTGTAGTCATTCTGCTTCATCATTACATCACGAAGATATACTAGCTCTTTAGGTATACCAGACCCTGCTTTAGCAGTGTTATTCGCCCTAATTCCGAGTTTGTAGAGTTGTTAATAGAGCTTGCGAGTAGTAAAAAAGTTATCCAAATGTAGAACGTAAAATGGCCTAGAGCGCGGAAATCGGGCTAAAAGCGACTCTGCAAGATCTAGTATAATAGCCTCACTTTAAGAGAACTCAGGGTATTCTCCTAATTCAGCTACCTTCTCTATAGCATTGCTGAATCTGAAATTAACTATATAACCGTTAGAACAACAGAGGCTATATATCTTGTATCCTTTGCCAGCAGCCTTTGAATTCATCTGGATAGTGTTAGGGCTCAACTGGTTAAGACAAGTCTCAACTAGAAGCTGGGTCCAAAGGGTTGGTTGGGTAGAACAGGAAGTGCAGTGAACAATACTAAGATGTCTTCAACTTAGGTATGAGCTGATAACATGAGTTGACTACGAAGACTATGAAACTATCTGGGAAAGGAGCGTGCTTATATAGAGTAGAAGATTCGTGCTCAGAGTTGATCACCCTGATCACCTCTGATCATTGCTCATGAGTGCTCATCCTGATCACCTCTGATCATTACGTTGTCCAGGTCTGACCATGTGTGTAGTTCAGGGTCCAGTCCTGTCCAAGTCTGTCATAGTCCCTTCGCAGAGTGCCAGGCAGCTCCGTAGTGCCTGTCGGTGCTTGGCGTGTTCACGTGCTGTAACAGATAGTATGTTTCGAACGTCCTTGGAATTTAACTAATTGTTCATCAATTGAGAGATTCTGTAGCAATTTATATATATTTAGAGTCGTTGCTTTGCGAAAATAAGTGGCAAGAGACTTAACTTTTTTATACTATTAGTTATCAGGGAGAGGCCCTAGCCTATTAATCTTGAGATATCTTGAAATCTGTTGAAATCTTGATAGAGAGATGTATTCAGCGACTGGCTAATAAGGATAGTTTTCTTTCTGATTCCAGTAATAGGCTAGATCTCTTTTACCCGGTTGTGTGCTAATAAGGAGTATAGCGCTAATATAGCCTTTGATATCTGTAGCAGTTACATCTTTCCATACTCGCTGGATTTAATCGAATTCTTGAGATCTCTCTTCGAATGCGTATTCGTTCGTATGCTCTGCAATGTCTGTAAATAGCTCCTTTGGAACAAACCGATGAAATAGATCAATTGGCTTAAGTTCGTGAGCACGAAGTTGTAGCTGCCCTGACGCGAATAGGATCAGAACGTTCAATTTTTCTGGATAAGGTCGTCTAGGGCCAATTTGTTCAGCAAGAATTTTCAGCTTTTCTGACTTGTTTTGAGTAGATTCAACTTGTATCTGTCATTCTTCCTTCTCTTTTCTATGCTGTGTATTGATACTAGACTGTTGAGAGCTGTTTTGGCGGAGTAATCGATGTTGCCGTTTTGATTGAGATGCATTATTTCCAGCAGATGAGGAATCTTCTCTATTGGATACCGGTTTTTGCTCGCTTGAAGTTGGTACCGTAGGTGTAATAGGCCGCAGGGAAAGTACTTGAGATAGCTGACTTTGCATCTGATTTTCTCGCGCTTTTCGGCTCTGAATTCGAGCTCTTTTGGGTCGAGGGCAGTCCTTAGCTAATGGAGCAGCTTCAATAGCATCAATTGGCCCTGAGATCTCCTCTTGGTGGTGCTTTTGAGTCATTTGGTATCTATCAATTGGTACATTCCTATCCTACTGCCGCTTTGGGGGTAAGAGATTTAAGGTTAAGGTTACGGGAACTAACCTAATTTGGTTAATCTAGTGGCTGGCGTTGACCAATCAAAAAAAGATCGAATTTTACGACAGAGTGGTGGATAGCTGGTTAGCGCAGGCACAGGCACCCTTTGGGCTTGATCCCACGAGAAACAGCATATCTAATCAAGAGTGGTTGTACGCTGGTACTTGAGTATGCACGAAGTTCTATATCAGATCAGGGCTATTCTTGAGATCGATAAGACAAAGAGTCTCTAATGGTCAAGTTCCAGAAAATCAAAAGCAAAGCAACCATGTCTCGTCAGGTCTATCGTTAGATCTTCGTGTTCTTGGCCCTCCATTCTCCGATTAAATCTCCGTAATCTTCCGGTCCGTAGGGCGTAAACCATTCAGCCATCCTTCCCTGCTTCCGGTGAGCCTTCAAGCCTAGCTCTGACAACAAGAGATCGAGATATGGAAGAGAATCAAATACGAAATCTGGGAAGCGTGCACCATAGCCAGCGGGACATCTCCACTTCCCAAATTGAGAATGCAAAATTGTCTCGTAAGTGATGTCGTCCTTAGGGTTGATCTTGCCGTCAAAGTATGCAGACAGCCATAGCGCCTGAGTCTGAGCGATCAGAGGAGTACTAACAGTCATCAGGGCACCAGCAAAGGCGATACTCCGATCATCGATGAGAGCCGGTGGTACCATGAATCGGTACAGACGGTAAGGTTGGTTTGGCTGAATCGCAGCCGGAGAGTTCGATGGACGTGCAATCATCGGTTTGGCGTTCGGGCTTGAAGCTGGTTGAATCTTCAAACGTGGGAAACGTGTAAGGATCTCGTTCTCTGCCTTTCGGATCTCTTGGTCAGGCTGCTTCGAGAAATGCGGCAGGCCAAGCCTGTCATCCGTACCCTCGGGAAGAAACTTAATAGGTGGATGATGTCTCCACCCAGTCACACACACAAGAGCATCTGTCGTGAGTGTCTTGCCGTCTGAGAGGTGAACCTTCCTGTCCGAAAGCGAGTCGATATCAGCAACATGGACCTTGATGTTCCCCTGGCGCACAAGATCAAAAAAGTTTGTTTTATAATTGAGGATGCCTAGACTACTTCCAGTATAAAAGGAATCGGTCCAAGGTTTCAGCTTCTTCGTCTCTGGGTGCTTGTCGTACCCATTGAGGGTGGTGACGTCGTTGCCGAGAATTGCCCAAAACGTGTTGACAATCTTACGTCCAAATGCGGTTCCGTGAAGGAAATTCCGAACACCAGAATACCCATCGGCATTTCCCCAGATACAAGGACTAAACCATGTGAGAAAGCGAGTATGAACAAGCTTTTCCAGCCACCTCTTCAGTGGGGTGACATATGGAGGAGCCATCCAAACGGGCCCATGGCCAGACTGTCGAATGACCATGTTCACCTCCACACCAGCAGTAGCATACGCATATGCGGCATCCCATGCAGACTTGGTGCCTCCAAAAACGACAACACTTTTTGCTGTTTTGAGTAAGTCGGCGTATTTGCGAAGTTCCTTGCTGTGGAAGATTGGAGCAGCAAATTTCTCGCTGCCCTCCAGTGCTGGCATAAAAGGCTGGGAAGTCATTCCAGTGGCGACGACTAATTTGGCTGTAGAAAGCTGGCTCCGTTGATCACCTGATACGACTGTAAGAACCCAGCCGGCGCCCTCTTTGCGTTCGGCACTCTCAACCTTCGAGTTGAACCTGATACGGGCCAGTACCCCAAACCTTTGGGCATAATTCCTGAGGTACGCATGAACCACGGTGCCAGGAATGTGCTGGCCGGGCTTGACACCGTAATATTCATCCATGGGAAAGTCGCTGTACTCGTAGGTACCCAGCATGTTATTCGATACCAACCCTGGGTACAGGCGATGCTCTGCCCACACTCCGCCCACCGTGTCTGCATCGTCGAGAACGACGACTGTGGCGGACGGATGAAGCTCGATGTAGGTCTTTGCAGCAGCCAGTCCAGACCATCCTGCTCAGAACAACCGTCAGCAACAATCGCGGCCGTGGAGGAAGTACCAACCGGCTCCAATGACCACCACATCAACGCTCTCCATAACCGCTAATGCCCGTGTGACAGGCGGCTAATGAGCACAGACAAACGGTTTACTATCTAAGTGAAGCAAGAGCGTTGAGATTTTCGTCGACACGGGCCAGTTGAGCATCAACACATTGTTAAGGCAATCTCGACGCAGAAGCATTTATTGCCAGACTCCAACTTGCCAAAGCGAGCGATATATCTACTCTAGCGCCCGTGAAGGGATCTTGTAACCATCGTTCGCCACTGCTTCACAGAAATTCCCTCTCGACCCCTCATTTCTAGCCCTGGGTCTGATACGACCACGTCGCGGTTCGACGAGCCCAGTTTAGTCTCCGACGACTTGTGTAAAGGGGCAAAGCACGCTAATCAGGCAAGCAAGGAGGTCAATCCTCTTAACATCCCCAATAGGAAATGCCAGCGGAAACTCTGAAAGCCCGATGAAGTAATATCATGCGAGGGGAAAGAATTGGCAGGTTAACTCCGTTGGGCTCCGCATTGTGGTACGTAGCACTATCGTTGATGTGCATACCCGTATCAGTATGGGGGAATAGGGTTTTGCCATTCGGAACCGCTGGTGTACTGCAAAGCCCGCAACACCACTTCTCCAGTGGTTAAACTACTACTTAAAGTTTGCCTTTTCATGCCGGCCTGGGTCACTCAGCACTTTCATCTGAAGATTGTGATTCGGCACTTGAGCTGGGTAGAATGGGGCCTGCAACAGGGAAGATAAGCAGAGCGACTGTGCGCCTCCGCGATTCTCATGAATAACCGACTTACGAGTACTCAATCTCCTTCTTGCACGCGGGACAACTAACCTAGCCTCAAACGTGAGAATTCTCTGCTGCTCGAGAGCATGCTGCTGATCCACATGAAGACGCTCGAGATGTAGGGAATACCGATCGTCAACTACGCAACTGGTTTACTAGTAGTGGGTACTACAGACTACGGACTACGGCATTACGCAGAAATATTCGTAGCTCGGGGCTAACTAGTAGCAACTAGTTCTGATACAGTGTTACCTCAATCTCCAGAAGCTTTTTAGGCGCTCGTCATAATCACTGGCTACAACAAAACCACCTAGCTGCCCAAGGTGTACTCCGTACCAGCCTGAAAATGATGCTAGTGCTAAGCTGCGAATACTTCAGCCTGGTACCGTACTATAGTAAAGGCCTTCCGTGCGTTGGCAAAGCGGCGCGACCGTTCCTGTTCCTGAAGATCAGAGTGGCAAGTGATGGGGGCTGACCCGCATGAAAGGTAGACAGATCCTGCTTCCAAGGATCGGCATTGGTGCTATTCAAGCTTTTGGGGAGCTGCACAAGATGTGCTGTTCCACAGCATCCAGGCGATATGTCCCAGATTGATCTCGCAATCGCCCCTAACAAGGACCTTCTCCCCCAACACGGCATTATCTATACAGTAGTTAGTACACGTTGCCAGGGGCTAACTCTACTTCTATCCAGTACGGAGTGCCCATCACCTTGTCATGGTATGCGGCCACTGGGCTAGGCACAGACAGCTGGCCAAGCCCATCTGCAACATCCCCCAGTTGGGTATGACAGATCGGAGAGTTAATATCTCGTCCATGTTTGTTCTTCGTAAGAAGTACGGATCCAGGAACAGCAGCCCTGCTTCGCGAGTCCGCCCCGCTTCTTATTGTCTGTGACCAGGAATGCTCTAGCTCCGCTCTAAAGCACGGATATGCACGACGACAGCCTGCAATACTCGGTATGCGGGTCCCAGAGCTGCAGGCCTTGGTCCTATGTGATAACATTTCTTCTCCCCTCATTCGTCAACCACAGAAGCCTAGTCGTCGATCGGAACAGTGGGATGCAAAGGAGAAGGAGCCATGGAGGTTTTCTGGTGGAGCATAAATGTTTGGACTGAATACCTACTTCGACGTCTCTTGATCCCAATCTACTACGGTCTTTACTGCGGTCTCCTCATAGCATCACCCGATTTTGTCCTTTATCTCGTCAAACCTCGCTCAATTCTGTCTGGACATCCATCATGCCCGGCGCCAATGCTTTCGTTACCGAGGCTTTCACTCTCTTGGGCGTTGCATTGGGCATGATTATACTACGGACTATTGCGCGAGCAACCTCTGTCGGCATACGAAATTTTCAGTTGGATGACTACATGATGCTGCTGGCAGCTGTGAGTTTTCCATACCTCCAGTAGGCTCGACGCTCGTCCTGACAGCAGACAGGTCGTCTATTCCCTCGAAACTGCCGCTGCATATATTGTGGGGGCTTGGTGGCGTGGGCTCGCCAACAATGGCATGACACCCGAAGAACGAGCCAGTCTGGATCCTTCATCGCAGGAGTATGCCCTTCGAGTTGGCGGTTCGAAGACGCAAGTAATCGGCTGGTCACTTTACACATTTTTGCTTTGGAACCTCAAACTTTGTATGTGCGTCTTCTATAGCCGTCTAACGTAAGTGTCTCTTTCTGGGCTTGGACGAACCATGGTAACGGTGTTTAAGGGATGGGCTGGCCCATATGAAGATCCGGATACGTATCGGGTACGGTCTTATCGGAGCCACATACATTGCCACCCTACTTTCCATCCTTCTGGGATGCCGTCCTCTGCACAAGAATTGGCAGATCAATCCCGACCCTGGCAGTGAGTTTGTTCTCTACTCTGCCCACAGAGCTTGGCTGACAACCTCCAGACAGCTGCCAGCCAGCCATATCCAAAATTGACTGCTTGGTAACAGTAGTGCTTAACGTCGTGACAGATATGTATCTGATCTCTATACCACTTCCGGTAAGCTCTCCGCGCCTCTTTTGATCGTTTGTGGCTGACTTTCACGCAGCTGCTGTGGAAGGCTCAACTATCGAAGAGGAGAAAGAGTCTCTTTCTGATTGTGTTCGGTGGAGGTTTCTTCGTCATGGCCTGTGGCATTCTTCGTTGTGCCCTTATCTTACTTGTATGTGCCTACGCTTGCCGTACCCATGACCACGGCCTAATTCTTCTTCTAGGATCCTGTCAACGGTGCCCAGCAAGCCGGCTCTTGGGCTGTACGAGAAACCTTCGTGGCCGTGGTGATCGACAACATTCCCATGATCTATCCACTTTGCCGACGTCTTATCAAAAACATCGATGAGAGCCTGGCCAGTCACTACGCGGGCAGGCATAAACTTTCAAATGGATATTCCAGCTCCGGTAGCTACGCTATGAATAGCCGGAAGGACAAGAAGCCCAAATTCGTGCATCCGCTTTCGATGAGGAATGCCACCCTGAGTGATAGCGCCGAAAGCATTGTCAGGGCAGATCGGGTCAAGAACGGTCAGGACATCTTGATCGTGAAGGAATCAACAGTCGATGTCAGTCCTACAGAGCATTCAAACGAGGAAATACGGGAACATCCCCACGCGCAGCACCCTGGTGTCGGATATGCGGCGACGTGTAACCATGCAGGCGGCCGAGGCGATGTACTACGGATCAGTCGGCGCGGAAGCGCCCAGTGGGAGTCGCCTGCTAGTGGATCGTGAAGGCATTGTACGGAGTATGGACGATAATAGGGCTTTCATTTTGGCAAGCACATCTTGTATCATCAAAAACTCTCTTTGCTAAGAGGCCTTCGCTTATCAGCTGGCTTTGGATTGGGTAATGTAAGGCTACGTAATTACCAATAGACGGATCGATCTCGTTTTTGGTGTCTATGCGACGTGATGTGACTTGTTTCATGTACTGCAATGTTTCCTTGTTGCAAACCTTGCATATCCCGAAGTTAGACTAGGATATCCCAGCATTCCCTTCCGCCCCTTACTACGTGCATCAACCCCACAGTGATATCCTGTGTTACCAAGACACGTAATCCATGCCCTGTCACTTTCCCGATCTGGTAAATAGCCTTGCCGGGCGCCTTGACCAGGTTTAACCCTGCCAGCACACGCTAAACCATAGTACTAACGTGGCCCATTCCCATTTGCACACCACCCGTATTTGCAACAGAAATTACTTCGTTTTTTAGGCCTCCGAGCATATTTCCATTTCTGCCATTGGGTTGAAGATGGAATGGATTGATAGAGTTTTGAAATACGCACCAATCAAACAGATATTGTTTGATCCAGGCCCTTTCGACCCATCCCCGTACTGGCGCTGATATATATTGGTAGAAAATGGTGGCGAGCTGAGTTTTCGCGGCTTGGGCAGGTTTTAACCAGGAACAGGAGAAGGCGGCCCTAAAACCGTTGCAAATGGGACTTGGCCACGTTGCAACGAAAAAAAATTTCCCAATTCTCTTCTCCTCAAATCATAGGTGCAAAACCCCCAATTCCTCGGACCTCCGGGCACTGGCTGAGAAGGTAGTTGGATCAGCGAAAAATATTTTGTACAGCTCACTGAGACCGGACAGAAAAAGAGGGAGGGGCATGCAAGATTTAGCAATTGTCTCGAAGACAGGTTAACTAGAGAGTTCATTTGTTGCTTCATTTCGCATTACTAAACATCCCCCTAGTGGGATCTTCCACTTAATCAGTACTATCCCCTCTGTACCTGAACAGGGGGTGTAGAAAGTGTCAATTAGCGCTGGCGATCATTCTGGGGTGGTCAAAATGTCAATAAACGCCTTATTTGAGCCATTTTTAAGGCGCGTATTTTTTAAAGCAATTAGGTCGAAGAAGAGCTCAAAAAGCCTAAATCAGATAGATTAGGGTATCAAGGGGTTCTTATTTAATTTAGAAAGTAATTAGCCATAGGTTAAGGTAGTTTTATTGGTATTAATGTAGGCAGTCTATCTGTATATTCTAACGCAGGAGTAATCACTGCTAAGGCCTGATCAGCATTATTTCAATGATTGCAGCAGGGTCAATTATTGATCATTTTAGCTGTTCAATAGCTTATTCGAATCGTGGAGATGAGTTTGATATGTATCGCAGAGGGATTTGGATATTTCGCTGTGGTCGTAACATAATTCGTGGTTGAAAATAAATTGCAAAGTCAGCTGCGGAGAGCTACGTAGTATGCAGATCAAATGTAGTTCAAAAAGGCTTAATCTGGGGATTCTACGCTAATTGTCAACTCAGGTACGAAGGGGATAGTAACTAGTTAGTAAGCTTAGGAGAATGGGGGCCAGACATGCGGACAAGGGACACATCAACTAGTACTCCACCCAAAGGACAGTGCTTGTGGGGTCATGTCTCATAACTATTTAATTGGTGTATCCCCACTGACTTTTGCGAGACTGCTCTTGGCAGTACTCTGGCAGACTCCCAGGCTTTTGCCTTAGAAGCTCATACCTCACGTGATCGAGCGTGGGCTAAAGCCGCACCATGTCCCTGGTCACGTGTCCACAGCAATGGGTGTTCTAGGAGTCCAAGGCAACCATACGCTTTAGCTCTTGTGATTCACAGAATATCAAATTCTGGATTGACCCAGCTTGGTTGTCCACTCTTCGCCCGCATTGAAGGTCCCCACTTCTGCAGAGCGAACATGACGGGAAAAGCGGCGAAGAATGTGATGATGCCTTGTGCAGCAAAGCACCATGTGAATCCCGATGTTGCTTGCCATGGTGCGATGAAGAACTGTGAATGAAGACATTAGTTGACATTACGCAGATTCCGTAACGAAGCGCATCTTACCGGAGAGAGGAATGCACTTAGATTCAGCCAAACGCTGTAGAAAGTGATCACGCTCATGGACTGGAGAGGGTACGCATCTACAACATACGCAGCGATACAGGTATTGCCGATCTGAATGCCGGCTCCGTAGATGAAGAAGGCAATTTGGCCAACCATCCAATGGTACATCTTATCGATGCTGATACCCCAGACTATTATTCCAATGGCACTCAAGATTATAGCCGGATATGTCAGCCAGAGTCGATCTTCTGGCAAGCGGACGCTGTGCCCTCGCTTTTTCGCCATTCTCTTAGAGATGATATCCGAAAGCGTACCCGAGCAGAAGATCTCCGATAAGACAGTTCCAAGAAGAAGGCCCAAGAACAGGAGACCCTGAATCTGCGGACTGTACTGTATGTAGGCAACAGGCAGCAAAGTGATAATGCTCAGGAGGAACCAGTACCATGTGAAGCAATAGGAGAAAATTGCGATGACAACCACTGGAAACTGGAAGGTCTTCAGGAAACGCGTGATACTATCCCAGGGCTTTGGGTGGCGCATGCCAGGTACAGGCTTGATATTGAAAAAGAACAGTTTCTTCGTTCGAGGAAGAGCGACCTTAGAGGCATCCCCACGTTGGCCGCCAATCTTTTCAAGATCGGCAGTATTCGAAATGTCGTCTGGTCCAATCATTGGCATTTGGGAGAGCATTTGGTTGCGCGGATAAAGGGTCTCTGGCATGAACGCAAGCTCTAGCACAAGCAATGCTGCAAAGATGATTGCAGTGAACCACTGAATCCATTGTGGTGATACCAGGTCGAGAAAGCCTCCGAAGATAGGACCAACGAAGATACCGGTGTCGAGGGCCAAAACCCAGAGACCAATCTTCTGGCCACGCTGGTGGTCGAAGTACATATCGTTGATCGCTGCTAGACCGACCGTCGCAGCTGGAGATACTCCCAAACCTTGGAAAAAACGCGCAGCCATGTAACCGCCATAAGTTGGAGCCAGTGCTGCGCCAATAGTTGAAGCCAATGCGATCACGGTACCGAAAATGAATATGATACGACGGCCATAAATATCAGCGAAGGAAGACCAGAGCAGCGGGCCAACAGCCAGGCCCAGGGCCGGCACCGCAAGTGTCCAATTGATCTGCGCGTATGAAGCCGCATACTGATCTTGGAGCTCGAAGAATGATGGAACGGTCGTTGTGGTAACATAAGTGAACATGAAGTATCTTCGAGGGCAAGAGTTAGCGGGGCCTTTCAAGGCGCTGTGCTGCAGAGCTCACTTGATCATGACAATGGATAGGATGGTATTTTTGCGCCATGGTGACCAATTCAATGGATCCAACGGGTCCGTGGTTGGTTGTGGGTGTATCTTTATGCCATCTTTGGTAACTGCTCCCTCAACGACAGTTTCAGTCAGACCGGCTGCAAGATCGGTCTTCTCCTTTATCTCCTGTGACGAACGCGGAGGCGTGATGGAAGTAGGACGGGGCTCCACGGTGTGGTCGCCGCCTTTCTGATGTACGTACTCAGCCATGGTGGAGATGAGAAACGGGAAAGCAACGCAATGACCGAGGCCAGGAGGACTTTGTACAACCAAGGATGCAGGTCGGAGAAGAAAGGACGGGAGACTGCAGGTTTCAAACGCACGAGGGACTTTGCGGAGGCTATGATAAGAGTTGAGTGGCCATTCCCGTTACAGGAAATAGCTGACTGTGCCATCTTATCCAGAAGATCTCTTGATTGTCATGCTGTGCCCCCCAACTCTAGATCAGACACTAGACGAGGGAAATGGGCGTCACCGCAGGAGATATGCAAAGTATAGCCAACGGTGTTGGTTTGTTGGTTTGCGGCGCCGGTGGTCCCTGGCAACAAGACGGCACGAAACGAGCATGGAAGTTAGTCGCGTCGCTTACACTTTTACTCTTACTACGTCGAACTGTAATCTGCTTTCTCGTGCTACCATTCGTAACCATACCCGAAATGGCCAATCGTTACGATTCCTGCAATCTGTCACTGGCAGTACGTGGCAGATCCACGGTGCATGCATTTTCCATGCGGCTTCACAAGTGGCGATGCCAATGGTCACCGACCACATCGCGGATCTGTCAGTTGTGATACTGACGTGGCCACATTCTGAGCCAAGGCAGAGGATGAAGTTGTCTTTGAAAAGGATTTCCACGTCGCTTTGATGCGTGCACCGCACGGGAAAGGAATTGGCTATCTCATGGGGTCTACGAGCACGAGTTGATATCCGTCGTTCATTCAGCGGCGGGTGGAACCGGGAGGCCTTACTAACTACTATTAGCTCCAGTCCCGGTACCCCGGCTGAATTGGTGGAGATCAGCATAAATTACAAGCGTGCTATAACTACGTAGTAGTTCATCGCCTGCACAAATCAGGTCATGGCATAAATGCGGCCATCGAAAAGACCGCTGTTATTGTGCCTAAATTTGCTCTTGGTGACTACGAATGACATACCGAACAGCGCATAATGCATGGGCGCCGCCGCCACCGAATCCTTTGAATGGCTGGGATTGCCGCAGAGCGATATCGCAGACTGTGATTGCAAGATAAAGCGATGGCGGCAAGGGCAGCCGGTAGTCCCTCCGATTTGTTGCTGACATCAACATCAACGGTTCCGAGTCCGTCCCTGCAACCCTGGCGAACCAAGGCAAGAAGTCCAATCTTTTGGCTTACTGATAAGAACTCAATTTTGAAGTACGACGCACCTTACTACTGCGTAGGTACGGTGGGGGGCATAAGTATTCGTAGCACGGCGCTAGTAGCAGCTAGTTGGGATACAGCGCTACGTCCATGTCTAGAAGCTTCTTTGACGATGATTCATATCGATTGGTCACGTCAGTACCATCTAACAGCTCAAGGCTTAGGTGTTACGTTTAGAGCCTGTTTTGGTGCAAATATACTAGCGCCGTGCTACGAATACTTTAGCTAAGTACCGTAGTAGTATGGGGTGAAATGGCCCCCCACAGCAGCACACCTGCAAAGAATGGTGTGCAGGTTCACCGCCGTGCTCAGCGGTGTGCGGTTCAATAATAATTGCGTGGTCGTCGCTGCTCCAAGCAATTTTTAATCATGGTAAGTCGCAGTAATATGACGATGGTGCTCAAGAATTGTGAGTGGTCAGTCTAAAGATCCAGACCACTGCAAACCGGCCTGAATCTCAATCGCTCCGACCAGTGACCAGATTCACTAGGTACTCAGGTGCTTTAGCAGGTATGGAGGAGGAGACTCGTGGACCCAACGAGCAGTCGCAGTTGATACCCAAACGCGCAAATGGCTTGGAAACTGAGAGGAGCCACGACGACGATGAGGTGTACCAGCTCAAAGGTGGAGATGTTCCCACCAGCAAATTGGTGATCCGCGAATTCTGGATTGTGCTGAAAGGATCTGTGCCGGTGATATTGGCATACGCGCTGCAGAATTCTCTGCAGACCATCTCCGTGCTCATCGTAGGGAGGACTTCGCCCCAAGACCTAGCCACCGCAGCTTTCTCCTACATGTTTGCAACGTGCACTGGCTGGCTGATCGCACTAGGAGGCACCACCGCTCTCGATACGCTCGCATCTTCGTCATTCACTGGCAGCAAGAACAAGCACGATCTGGGAATTCTATTGCAGAGAGCTTTCATCACGCTGAGCCTGTTCTACGTCCCCGTATGTGTCTTGTGGTGTTGTTCCGAGCCGCTGTTCAGGTTGCTGGGGCAAGACCCTCAATTATGCAAAGACAGTGCCAAGTTCTTGACATGCCTGATCCCGGGTGGTCTGGGCTACATCTACTTTGAGGCGATGAAGAAATATCTGCAGGCCCAGGAGATCATGCGTCCCGGCACCTACGTGTTACTCATTACCTCCCCTGTCAGCGCTGCTTTGAATTACCTCTTCTGCTATGTCGCCGGCTGGGGCCTTCTCGGGGCTCCTCTCGCTACCGGCATTGCTTATTGGTTATCCTTCTTCCTGCTTGTACTCTACTCGAGGTGTGTGGCCGGTCATGAGTGCTGGGGTGGTTGGAGCAAGGAAAGCTTTCGAAGCATGGGCACCTTTGCCCGTCTGGCTGTTCTGGGAGTCATACACGTCGGCACGGAATGGTGGGCCTTTGAGATTGTTGCAATTGTCGCCGGCCAGCTCGGTACCATCCCGCTGGCATCTCAAAGCGTCATCATGACGGCCGATCAGGTCATGAACACCATCCCCTTTGGAGTGGGCGTCGCTGCTAGTGCCCGAGTGGGTAATATGCTGGGAAGTCGAAATGCTAGGGGAGCTGCCCGATCTGCGAACACAGCTGCATGGCTCAGCATGTTTCTAGGCGTCCTCGTGCTGGCCGTACTGCTAGGAACCCGCAACCACTTCGCCAAGATCTTCAATGACGACCCGCAAGTTGTCCAGCTCACCGCGGAGGTGCTGCCTTACGTTGCTCTATTCCAGATCGCCGATGGACTCAACGGAAGCTGTGGAGGTTCCTTACGAGGCATGGGACGTCAGCACATCGGGGCCGCCGTCAACATCATAAGCTATTACTGTGGAGCTTTGCCGTTAGGCATCTATCTGGCGAAAAAGGCTGGGTGGGGTCTTGCTGGTCTATGGGTAGGCCAGTGCATCGCCTTATACCTGGTCGGGATTGGCGAGTGGATCATCGTGGCTTTCACTAATTGGGAATACCAAGTCAAGAAGGCGTTTGATCGGATGGATCCTCGGGAAAGGATGGAAAATGGCCTTCTGGCGCCGGAAGGGGACCATCAGGAATGACCAGAGTAGATTTACGGTAAACACATGATATACGACTTGATGAGATGTGAGCTTGGATCCTATGGAGACGTAAGAAAATGCAATGATTGACTTTAAATACATGATTATCCCTATAACAACTCGTTTCGTGCTACTGTTCATGTCTGACTTGATGCCGACAGGTAGATCAGTAGCTAGGCTAACTCTCGGCTCCTGGCAGACGCTCCTTGACCGAATCCACCACCGACTGAGCGACCTGACCGGCCCCTTGCTGCACCGATTCCATCCTGTACTCCGGATCAATCTGAACCAGCACGCCTGGCCCTTCCCTCTCCAGAATCTCGGTCTTGATCACAAACGTCCCATGCAGAACCGCGCTCTCCGTCTTGCTGTTGTTATCGCTGATCCGGTGGTGGCAGCCGGGGGCTTCGTACCAGGTCTGGTGCTGCTTGTAGACTTTGGCTTCCTCACCGTTCATGGCGCTGAGGATCTCGCCCTCGAGCACGTGGCCGATCACTGAGGCGGTGCCGTGGCGATGCGGGGGTGTGGAGCCGTCTCCGCGGGGTATTCGATCAGCATGCCGAGCACGGTGAAGGAGGGGTCGTCGGCCAGTTTGTACTGGAAGGTGAGTGTTATTTTGCCCGCGGGACGACTGGGAGGGGTGTTAGCGTGAACGTCTGTGTTGATATGTTCATATTTGGGGGGTTGGTCGGGGGGGGAGGTTGGGAGATGTGGGGGAGTTGAGACTCTGTGTTATTTGAAGATTGAATTTCGAGTCAGGCTTACTTCTTGTTCCAGGTGATGGACATTTTTGCAACTAGCAGACTCTCAAGATTCCGCTGTCCTTCGAAGTCAAAGGATGTAGGCAGACAAGATCTGGATCAAAGGCTCAAATAAATCACAGTTTCGTGATTTCCCCTACCAATGAAGGAAGGAGAAGGAAGGGGAGGGAAGGAGAAACTGGACAACATATGACCTCAATACGAGTCCTCTACACCCAAAATATCAGGTAACTGCATATTGGTTGCATCACTGGTTGTCATCATACGGTACCGTAGCACGAGTTGCGTGTTGCTGTCCGTGTCCAGGGATGCGAGCCTGTGCTAAGGCTCCGCAGCGGGGTTGTAGGAATGCCTTGATGAGGATGAACTCGGTACGTACTCGACGTTTCTTTTCGGGTGCAAGACAGAGGGGAAAGGAGAAAAAGGAAAAGCTCTCTGGCAGAAATATCGAAGAGATTAGCTAACTGGCTTCTGGCTAAAACAAATGGGCCAGAGACGCTTGTTCTCCCCATGACGGGCTGTACTGCGGCTACAAGGCTAATTTTTGTGACCCCGAGAGTCTAAAGATCTTACAAACGTCCTTTTTACATACACATCCCTGTCAGTATCCCTGTCGCGATTTTGCACGAATTTTGTTCATCCTGCCAATCCTGAATTAGATGAAGAATTGGATACAAGAGCGCTATGGAGATACCCTGCACAAGTACAACAAGCTATGGGCGGCTGTTAAATGCATGGGATGCTGTGCCACTTAACTATCTTAAAGAGCTGCTTCAGTTGATGCAGGCGGATGTCAAGCAGTGATAGATGCCAAAGAGAATGCAAACTCGATTTTAGAGACTAGTCTTATTTAGGCCACTATGTGGACGTCTACACCTAATTCTACATAGTACGTTCTGTACGTACTAGTATACTCAAGTTTTCAGCAGGGGGACAAAATCTGGGCCTGTACTATGTAGCCGTAGCAAGTTACGTAGCAAGTTACGTAGCAGATCTACTTGTAGCACAATGCCGCCCCCACCGAAGTGAAATGCATAGTACTAACCGTAACAGGCGTTAGCTCAGCCTTAGCAAATTCAGTCGCTGAACCTAAAAAGCGGGGTTCCATCATTCTAGCTCCGAGGATCCTGCTTCCCCATATATCCCTCCAGGCCGGGGACAACCTTGCTCGTTCCAGGCGCCTTTGGATAAGCACATACCACCAAGGATCACGTGGTGCGCAAGACGACTACATAGCGACAGGGCGTTGTAGTCCTCGTTACGTAAACTTTGCAGACACATACTTGAACCTACTAGTTAGTAGGTAGTTTACGACTCCTGCAATACGCAATAATGCAGGTGGATGGAGAACCCCTCGTTGTGACAATGTTCTATTACGCCTCGACTTCCTCTACTACGTAAGCACAAAGTGCCAATCGGACCACTACCGTCTCCCCTCTTGGCTACTCGATATGCTTGGTTCGAACGAACGGTGCCGCTGCGAGTCCATCCTATAGAGGAAGGTATTTCCTAACTAGTGCAAGAGTCTACAGCGGCACCAGTCGATAGCTTTATGGCTCTTCAACCCCCACTATCTCAACACTGCATGGGGGGGCACAGCGTCACCCAAGCCGTTCCCAGATAACGACAAGTTAGACGACCAACAAGCGGTATTAGGTAACTGAGAAGCAAAATCAAGCTTCAGTGCAGGAAACTCGAGGTCTATTTCACTACTGTGCCTCAGCGATGAAAAGCTCCACGCAGTTCCTGTCTTCAACGCTCACCCAGCTCCAACGTTTGAAACTTTTCCTGAACATCTGTGTAACCCTACACAATATTCCTGGATAAGCTGCAAAAAATGTTGTTCAAAGCTCTGACTCTCTTTTCTCTCTCCGGTGCTGCTCTCTGTCACGGCGATCATGAGCATCAGACTACCTTCTCTGGCCCACACAAGAGTCTCTGGTACAATACCTTGCCTGGCGATGGTGGCACTCAGGTTCGCAATCTCGAGTCATTCTTCTGTTTCTTAAATGACGATTGCAGGCCGATTCCGTCTTCTCCGGGATCTCTACCTTTGGTCGCCTACCTTACTTCCCTTGCTTGGCAAGCGATGAGGAAAAATTCGATATTGCCTTTCTAGGTAACAGATTACAGAAGCGTTGCTGTCGCCATCTCCTCCTGACACCCTCTAGGAGCTCCATTCGATACTGGCACATCATATCGACCAGGTGCTAGGTTTGGACCCAGCGGTATCAGACAAGGTTCTCGCCGTCTCAATCTCTAGTACGTTTTTAGTCCATCACGAAGCTTACGATTTTGGTATTATCCAAAAGGCTCACGCAAAGTACGATTCAGTGGCGGATATAATGTGTATGTATTCTTTCCCTGGAGGACAACGGACGTGACTGACTCAGTCGCTCACAGGCCCATGGCAGCCAATCCCTTCAACTTCTGGGGCAAAGTCATCGACTGTGGAGATATCCCCGTGACCTCGTACGTCCTGCTTTCTGCCTCCTGCCTCCTATCATCAGTTCTCCCGCTGACACTCGACAACCCAAAGATATGACAACGCCTACGCGATCCAGCAAATCGAAGACGGACACAACACGCTCCTCATGCGCAGCCCCCACACCGCAGCACACAAACGCGGCCTATCCAAGCACGGCAAGACCCTTCCCCGGATCATAACCCTAGGAGGCGACCACACCATCACCCTGCCACTCCTCCGCAGCGTCAACAAAGCCTACGGTCCCATCTCCGTGGTGCACTTCGATTCGCATCTTGACACGTGGAAACCCAAAGTCTTTGGTGGTGCGCCTTCCAAACAAGCAGCCATCAACCACGGAACCTACTTCTACCACGCCAGCCAGGAAGGATTGCTTGCCAACGACACCAACATCCACGCCGGGATCCGCACCACCCTGTCCGGACCAACTGACTACGACAACGACGGTTACTGTGGTTTCACGCGCATCGAGGCGCGCGAGATCGACACCCTCGGCACGGCAGGCATCATCTCGGCGATTCGGGAACGCGTCGGAACCGAAAACCCGGTCTATCTGTCGATCGATATCGATACCCTGGACCCGGCTTTCGCACCGGCGACGGGCACGCCAGAGACGGGCGGGTGGAGCACGCGCGAGTTGAGGACGATCATCCGGGGCCTGGAGGGCATCAATTTCGTGGCGGCAGATATCGTCGAGGTGGCGCCGGCGTACGACACGAATGCCGAGTTGACGACCATGGCGGCGGCGGATACGCTTTTTGAAGTCATGACGTTGATGGTCAAGAGGGGGCCGCTGACTGTAGAGGGGTTGGGTGAAAGCGGGCAGCAAGGAGAAGCGGCGGCGGCGGAGGAGGAGGAGAAGGAAGCCCAAGATGCCGACAAAGGTGCGCAGGAGCTGTGAGATATGTAGCGGGGAACTGCTCCAATTGTTCCGAACGTGTGAGATGATAAGAGAGCCCGGACCAGACTATCCACTCATTCTTATCCTTCACACTGGAAAAGACAAGAAACGAAAATGCAGATACCTGATCCAAGACACAAAGACAATGTCTGTCACTTACTTGCAGGCAGCAACAAACCAATAGATCACGAAGTGGAGGAGCACAGGCGAAGCCAGATGCACAATGCGATTCCATCTTCCATGTCAATATTTCCCCCCCCCCCTTTTTCCCCTCCCTCACAAGAGATCCATACACACTGCTGGTGCTAGCTTTCAATGAGATGAGATGACACGACCCGACCCGAACGCCGTCTTAGGACACTCGAGTTCCCATTGGATTGCGATTGGGAAGTATACCTACCTGCCTACCTACCCATCTATCCACCCCCCCCACCAACTTCTCCTCCCTCATTTCTTCTACCACCACCCTCGATGAGACCCACCCCCCCTCTTTTGCACTCCAAAGAAAGAAGAAAGAAAAACCAGGATAAAAACAGGAGTAGTTAGTGAGTGTAAGATAAGTAATTAAGTAATCACGTAGTACGTACCAAGTATACCAACTACCGAGTACGTTGGAGCGAGGTCGAAAAGGGGGGTTGATTGATGTACATACAGTACAGCCGCAAAGACGGTATCGATATCGACATCGACATTGACATTGGCATTGAAGAAGATAACAACATCGGTTATCGGCTTGGCTGTACTCTACTTTATTTTACTCTCTCTATCATGTACTATGTACGGAGTACACATGGGTGTATACACGCCATCCCATCTCAACCCAACCCAACCCAGCCCAAGGTAGGGTAGGGTAGGGTAAGATAAGATAAGGTCGTCATCGTCGTCACGGCCTCGCCACATCTGCATCTGCATCTCCTCTCATCTGCGTCTCCTCTCATCTATTCTACTCTACTCTACTCCACACTCCCCCACCCCCCGAAACCTCCCAGACAAGCGCAAGCACAAGCGCCACTATCTCCGCGAACGATGCCTCAGCTGCCTCAACGAGGTCCTCAGCTCCGGTATCGCTTTTCCGTTCCCGTTCCCGGTCCCCATCCGCCGCTGATCCGTCTCGATGTGATTCTCCTTCGCATCCATACTCTGAAACTGACTCCTCTTGATCTGCCTGACCTCCCTCTCGGTATCCCAGCTCTGCAGAAAACTGCCCACCTCGTCCATTGCGGCGGAGAGGTCGAAGGTCTTTTGTCCTTCCCCTTCGTTTTCATTTTCATTTTCATTTCCATCCTCTTCGAGTGCACCACCGATGCCGCTGGCCCTGTCTCTAGCATTGCTGATGCTGGTATCGCTCTGCTGCAGGGGAACATGGTGAGGGAGGATCGCCATTCCAGCAGGACCGGCCATCTGCGCATCCTGCTTTGCACCCGCACTCTCGCTGGTTGTGGTCGTTTTGCACCAAGTCTGGTTCGTGCTTGTGTGCTTCGAGAGGGAAAAGGAATCAACCACCGCCGTCACTTCTTCTTCTTCTCCTTCCTTCTCCTCCTCTTCTCCTCCTCCAGTAGTAGCAGGAAGAGCCGGCTCTGGCTCGTCGACTTGGTCTTCCACAGAAGTCTCCATGTCGAGGCCCAACTTGCCGAACTCGGAGACTTCGGGCCCTGTGGAGCCGGCTGAGGCTGCCACCCCTCTGTTCTCGGCCTTCTTTGTGCTGTTGAGAGAGTGCATCTCGGCTGCATGCTTACACACCTTGAGACTCGCTTTGATCGAACCCTGGGATGAGCCGCTGTTAGATCCGGCGGTAGAGGCGGCGTCAGGCGCGAAAGAAGCCTTCTTCCGGACTTTCCGTCTCGTTCCCTTTGTGACAGCTTTACAGTTGGCGAGGGTGGGTGACTCGGCATCTGCAGGAGGGATGGAGGGGAAACCTTTCTTGATTGTAGTATGGAGATCAAACGGGGTTACAGCATTAAGCATTTTTTGGGTGTTTGGGGAGCCATCGGCTAGGGGTGTCTTGCCTGGCTTGTTGAAGGCGCTGAAGAGGGTGATGCCGCTCTTAGATTTGGCTTTCGTCGTGGAGGGATTCGAGGTTATGGCTGCTGCGAGTTGGTCATTGGGGCTTTGAGGTGTGGTGAGTTCGTTTTGTAGTTGACAGTGGGCTGCTACGATAGCAGCTTGAGTAGAGAACTGGAAGGAAATGTTTTCATCACAGTGGAGATGGTCGTGGGTTTTTTCTGATAGCTTGTCTCCTGTGGAAAGAAGAGATTCGTTCGGTGGTGGAGCGTGAGCTCTTGGTTCGGCTTGCGCTGATGGCAATACGCTGACCACAGTAGTGTTAGATGTCACTGTGGATAGAGTCGGCGGTGGCATTCGATGTGCGTCTATGGGACCCTGTTCTCGTTCCTGTTGCTTAGAAAGTGCGGGATCGTTGTCATTGGAAGAAATGAGAGGCGGACTGGTGCGAACATCTGGCTCATCAATCGCCGAAAGAAAAACCGATGCAGACAGTTCTTGTGCTAGTGAGTTTTGAGTCTGCAGAGTGTTACGTTCAACAGACGAAGCCTGCGCTGGTGGCAACGGTGGCTTCTGCCCATTGGACTCGTCTGGGTTGGTCGTGGTCTGCTCCACTGTCTTATTCTCAACTCGTTCTTGTGTATCGGAGTTTGTAGATGGTTCAGTTGGCTCGGGTGGAGCGGGTCTTTCTGCTTCGCAAGATGTAGGTTGTGGCTGTTTGTCCATTCGAGCATCTGCAATGTGCTGTGCTCGATGGCTTATCGGTGACTTGGGAGGATCGTTGCGTCTCCGGAGTAGCTTGATCATTGTCTCAGCTCGTCCATCCGAAGCGTCAGGCAGAGGAAGAATCGGTGGCTGGGGCGCGTCGTACTCAGCCTTCGGTGAGGCAGTCCTTTCGGAAGGGCATGGCGGTTTGCTTCGAGACGAGGGAGAGGATAGTTGCAATTGAGCGTCTTCAGCATAGATGTCGCGGGGCGACCTCACATCAAAGCGGTCCTTCTTAAGCCAGCTCTCTGGGTGAGGTTCTTCTGGTGTTTTCTTGCTCTTCGGAATGTTAGCATTCGCAGCGAAGGGATCGTGTTGGCCATGTAAGTGTCTGGCATCTTCCAACTCTTGTACTGCTGGTATGCTCCGCTTCTGTTCCACAGTATGTATTGCCACTTCGATCTTGGGCTTCTTCGTATGCAAAACAGCCTTTGCCTGCTCGTCATCTCTCCCAACATCAGCTCTCTGAACGGTCTCAGGAACCTCTGCCTTCCTCTGGACATCCGATCCCGCCCGTCCCGAGACTCCCTTTCTTCTCTTCCTTTTCTTCCAAGGATTTATCCATCCATCTCCTAACGGCCCCCTGATTCCAGCACTCAAAATCAACAATCCGTCGCCCCTCAAATAAGCCTCGCCCAGCTTTTCAATCCTTCGTCTCTTCGCTGCCCTGACAACTTCATCATTATCGCTTCTATCCCCGGCAGAGTCTTGCTCCCAGAGGACGTCTTCAGGGCGGGTATACAAGGGTTCGTAGTGAAGAGGGGAGACGGGGCGAGGATAAATTGGGTGGTTGGATGGTTTGCCTAGCGCCGGCATGGTTATGGACAGGATGTGAAGGAAGACGGGGAGAGGGATTATGATGTCGTATCCGCATTGCGGTTAGCAGCCTGGAGCTGACGAGGTTGCAATGGTTATGAAATTGGGATTGGAATTGTGAGGTGGTGGCTGATTACGGAGGGGTACTCACCATAGCAGCATAGGATTGACTTTGGCGATGAAGTGTCTGCCAGCACCAATTCCACCTCACCAAAAGCCGTCTAGGCCACGACGCGACGCGTTTGGTTGGCCAATCAACGTGCCAGAAGCGACGAAGGGGATATCACCCGCGCTTTACGCCTTAGAACAACGAATCACGAATCATAGAGGATAACACATCCATCCATATGATATGCCACGTGCTGCTGTTCTCCTAGTACAAGAACTGAAAAGCCAATGAGGTGTCCAACCGCTTGACTGTTTTCACTCATCCCCAACATGTATTCGTAACACTCATTCAACAAACTCCCCCCTTTCTCTCCCATTAACCACGCCATTGCCATTGCCATCCGCATTCAGAGGCAACGCTTCCTCATCTTCAATCCCATTGTTATTGCGCCAGTCCTCTATTGTTTTGCAATGACCCCCATGCTGGTGAGCTTTTGCCAGATCTCATCCTGTTGAAGCAACGCCACTCTATCAAATTCGAGTCCATCCAACTCAACCAGCTTCTCGCAGCCTTTGGCTAAAAAAAGCTCTATCGTTCTTCGCTTCATTCTGGTGCCTTCGTCCAAATGGGTGAGCCACTTGGTATCGGTTATCTGATCACCAGGAGGTAGTGTGTAGGGATCTTGAACCTCCGTCTTGACATCTCCATGTACGACGAGACGACCTTCTCGGAATGGAGGGTAGAAACCGACCGTGAGCGGATTATCACGAAGATCGGCCTTGGTGAGTGCCGGTAGCCTCGTCAATGCAATGCATGTGCGTCTAAGCTTGTGGAGCCGATTCCCAGCTACCATCAGTTTGTTGAGACGCCCGCAACCCTTCAACGGCTCCAAGTCTTTGACGGCGTTGAAATTCAAGTTCAAGGTGCGGCAATTCGGTATCTTCTTACCGAAGTCATCTGGTAGGGAAGTGAGACCGCAAGATCCCAACTCCAAAAATCGTAGATTGAGGTGCGGCGATGAAGGCATTCTTAAGCCTTCAAGCGGTGCATTGTTGTTGGACAGGTATAGTTTGCGGCATTCATTCGAGGTAGAAAATATGGTGTTGAGGAGCTTGGGAGAATTGAGCTGCTCCCGCAAAGACAGTGTGCTAAGGTGTCGAGCAGTGGGAAGCCCTTGCACATCGTGAATGTAGTTATTGTCCAGGTAGAGCAATTCGACTGAAGGAATGGCAGCGAGATTGATGACTTCAATACGGTTGAATGAGATGCGGACTTCTCGAAGCATGGGATAGGTTTCATTAGCGACACCAAACTCACTCAGATGGTTGTTCTCCAGGTGCAACGTCCGCAGGGCAGAAAGAGCATGTAGGTTCCTCACAGCTTCTAGCTGATTGTTGCTGAGATCAAGATGCTGCAGCCGAGTCAGTTCTCCACCTTGGAAATCTACAGTGGCAAGCTCGTTGCCTCGCAGCTCTAGATGCAGAAGGCCGTCCAAGTCGAGGATACCTTCCAGGTTCCGTATGCGGTTTCTGTTCGCCTTAAGCTCTCTTAAGTGGACCAGACAGCCAAGGCCATCCAGACTCTCCAACCCATTGGAGGAGATGTCAAGATACTGCAGATTTTGCAGGTGGCCCCAAGAGGTAAGACTCGAGAGACAATTGCTCTGTGCAAGTAAGGTGCGTACAGTAGCAGGTACTCCACTCAGCTGCTGAAGTTCGTTTCGGGAAACTCGAAGCTCTTCGGCAGCAGAACAATATTCATCAAGGCTATGGAGAGTCGTTAGGCCTTTTTCTGTCAAATCCAGCCGGCGGAGGTGCTCCCAATACAGCTCATACGGTTCCGCATCTGTGATCGCCTTCATCAAATCGTCTACAGCAAGAGCTAGTGAGCCATGCGCCTGCTGTAGCGAGTTAGGATGAGCACGTGGTGCAACGTAGCTTGCCTCAGGGTGACGCTGGCGGTCCACTTGATGGAGAGAGAACTCTGAAAGCGGTGTGAGGCATATGATACTTGTACCTTTGCTATTAGTTATGCGGTTTGTCACTTGGGACTTTGGAGCTGGGGTCATAGCATTCGGGTGGCTGACGTGCACAACGCTGAGATCGTGAGCTGTATTGTCTTCTTCTTGCTCATCTATTCTCGAAACAGGTCGGCCAACGAATGCTCTGCCGTTGAATGACTGTGCTAATTGGCTACTCGCAGACTGGCTAGGAACATGTTGTGGTTTCTGGGGTGAAGAGATGCCTTTACCTATCCCATTACTCGCAATCGACTGATTCATCTCTGACAGTGGTTGTTCGTCGTGATAGGCAATAGCGGACACAAGTGGTGATGAGAAGGCAATTGTCACTGCACGAGCTTTTTTCGACGATCGATGGGGAGAAGGTGGTGCCTCAGAAGCACGACCATCATGTATTCGAATTTCGTGCTCGACTTCTTCATCATGATCCAATGAGGCGTCTTCGGCTTGAGTGGGGCTTGAGGGGGGTTTCGATGTAGGTTTCGAATTGGTTGTGGCCCATGAGGTCGCGCGGGTGTCCAACACAGGCATGCTGGAATCCAGTGGTGTGAGCTTCGTCGCCGCGGATGCACTTTCGGACGTCAAGATTTGAGCGCCTTCCCTGGTCTGAGGTCGCGAGGAAACTACAGGTGCTGGTGCGAGACGAGGCAAGCTTCTTTGCGCCAAGTCAACTTGCGACGGAGGTAATGCATTCTTTGCTGCCTCTTGCTGCTCATCGATGCTAAGATCCGGAATGTCTCCGAAAGGGTCCTCTTCACTGTTTGTTTTCCTGCTTGAAGGGCTGGCAGCTTTTGGTCCTTTGCCCCGAACCCAGGATTTTGTAGAATGATCGAAGGTCATAAGTCCAACCTGCTCAGGAACTGAAACCATACCTGGCGGGATGCGACCCTTATTCCCAGAGCTTGCCGAGGAGCCAGTCGGAATTGTTGTCCCGGTAGATGCCGTGCACGAAGCATGAGTGGGATCTGATGGAGGGCCTTCAAGCGTTGACGCAGAATACTTTCTTTTGTGCTTGTGTTCTTCGCTTTCTCGAATCCTGATGTTCGCAGGGCTGCTCAGGTGTTCTTGGTCATTGCACTCATCAGAATCATCAGGCAAAGGCACACTCGCGGCCTCTTTGGCATTTGGATCCGAAAGCAGGTGCAACGATCCGAGTTTCGAAGTGATCAGGAGGTCGAGATGGTCCCCATCTTGATACTTCTGAAGATGGTTAACAATGCTGGCATCTTCTACGGCTCTCCTTTCTTTGCGCGTTCTCATGCTGCCATTTCGACTTGGTGGCCTTGAAAAGTTGTCCAGTGTTGTGTCCTCTCCTTCAACTTCAAGGTCCAAAATAGAGTCCGGATCTATCTCTGCTTCATCATGTGGCTCCTCAACGCTGCTAAGTCCACTTGTAGGCTTTCCTCTCTGCCGAATGATTTGCATGATCTTTGTGGCCTCGTTCAAGAAATCTTGTGTTGTTACAGACGGCTTCCGAGAATCGTTTGTCATCTGAGTGATGCCCATTCCAAAAGAAGCTAACTGACCCGCAAGCTCCTCAGTGATCCGGTGATGAGGATTGGCATTATCGTAGCGCTGATCTTCAACCGCACTGTCGATGCCAACAGCTGAAGTGCGTGATCGAGCTGTTTTGGGCCACAAAATCTGTCGAGCAGCAAGTGTTGCAGCATCTGCAGCTGCTTCTGCAATATCGTAGCGGGCATCTTTGCGCTTCTTACCAGCAAGCTGGGTTGCTTCGGTTACGGATCTGGTGGCTTCGGTCACTGCAACCGCCCGTGTAGGCTCAATTTCATGTCGAAGCAGTGTGCGCCTGCGTTTTGGTGTGCGATCTCTGATTGATGACGATGGTACTGGTTTGCTCTCACCGGCATGATCTTCGGCGGCTGACGTGTCCTGTGGAGATTCATCTCTGACATGAGGTTCAGAGCCCTCTAGCAAATCGAATTGCTGTACAGTCGTTTCATCCGCCACGGAGGAGTCGAAAATTCGAGCTTCGCCGGGCAGGCGAATAGCGACCGTAACCGGGTCCCTTTCAACACGTTCATTGAAAGTGAAGCTGTCCAGATCGCCCTGTCCGAAGTGACTTACTCGCAGTTCCTCCGTATCTTTGACTATGTGAGAAGATTCATCATCTTTACTAGGACCCTCTGCATCATCGCATTCGAATTGACTCATACGCCGTAGAAGCTTATCGTTTGTGAAAGTGTCATAATTCCCGAATAACTTTAGTGGACTTCCGGATGACCTAGGTCTGTCGGTGCTCTCGCTACCTTGCGTTCGGCGTGGAGTGATTGGGTTAGGATCTGTTGGTTTTCCAGATTCTTGGGAGGGACGTGTAGTTGTCATATAGGGTGGCGGAGAACTTCGAAAGGGCATGTTCTGGAAGTCGATGACGGACTGGTCGAGAGAAGGTGGAATGGAGGAACTTAGTGTCTTCTTTTGGAACGAGCCTTCGTTGGAACGACCACCCCGTCGACTATTGACAAAGCCACCTCTAGTAACAAAGTCTTGGGTACCCATGGAAAGGTCTTCTGGCAGCGAGAGGCTTGTAATTTCTCCAAAGTCCTCGCTCTGCCTACCTCCGTGTCCATAGAGAATTCCATCATCACTTGAGCGGGACGAGGGGCGCTCGGCAATATCTTCGAGCCTAGATTGCAACGATGTTATTGGTACCTCGGTCAATTGTCTTAGAGCTTCCTGTCGGATTGTGTTCTGCCTGGAAGTTGTGATGGGACTGATTTCCTCGTTCTGGATTTCCTCCTGGCCACTAGATGTGCGCGTGCGAGAATCCCTCTGTACACCCCTTCTGCGAGGATCTATTGGGCTATTCTCTGCGCTATGGTTCTCCAATGAGAATACGCGATCTTTCACAACCCCTCTAAGTGCTCTTTTGCGGGTAGAGTTGTTAGCAGCGCCTGCGGAACCGTCTTGGATGCCGTCCTCATCTTCTTCCGCTACAACTTCCATTTCTGGAATCCTAGATCTCGAGGCGCGCATGCTCTGATACAGCTCAGGCATTGACCACGGTTTCACAGGCCCAGCCACAGGGAGAGTGGTATCATCTTGGCCCTTACGGGAAGGTGACGGCTTTTTAAACATTCCTTCCAATCGCGTTGGACCAAATAAGTCACATCCATCCCCTGCTATGTCTTCTCCTCGTGCCAATCGTCTCTTCCATTCTGGTGTGTTCTCGTCCCCGACAGTGGACTTATGCTGAATTGTGTGATGCTGTACAGAATTGACAGATCCGGAGAAAGCACTGGAAGCGCGTCTGGGAAGTGTTGATCGTCCGTTGGTGTCACCTTTCTGGGCGACAACATTCAATTTTGACGAGGTTTGCTCTGCAAGAATTGGCGACGTCTGAGCACGTGTGAGTCCATGTGATGATCTCGGTCGTAGAAAGCTTCCCTTTCTTGAGCTCTGTGAATAGTTCTGTGTCAGATGAGGAATGCGACTCTGAGAAGCGTTACTCGCTCGGCTGGACGCTCTTGATTGAGGCGTGTCCTTCGAGTTTCCAGGTGAAGACGAGTTCTTGTGGGAGGCCCATTCGTCCGACAGCGAGTCCAGCCAGGGTTCCATTGCGCGGCACCTGCGACGAAGGTGGGGTGAGGTTGGAGAGCCGCCCGCCGTCCATAAATATGTGCACTATTAATTCAATTATCACATAGTGGAGAATGAGCGAGTTCAAAGCCTAGCGATGCATTTGAAGGATGTCAGAGAGGAAGAAGACGCGTGGATATGGGTATGTGGTGGCTTGAGTCCGCTGTGCATGCTGTTCTGCCGTTCTGACGGGAAAAAGTAAACAAAGCTAACGCCAAGGAAATCCAACTCCCCGCATCCCTGCGCCGATGACCCCAGGCGTTTAACTAATGCCCACAGGGTTTTAACTAATGATCACAGAGGTATAACTAATGCCCACAGAGATTTGATGACAGCGCTTGCAATGACGATTGGGAACCTGCACGACCAATGTAGAGCATCTTATCTTCTCTTCTCTTCTCTACCATCGTACATCATCCATGAGCCATGTTAACAAGCATCGCTCCACCAGCGGAATCTACAAGCAAGGAATCCTTACGGAGACCTGCGAGAGTGAAAACTCAGGAGAGCGCTACAAAGAAGAGTTGAGGAGGACCATCCTAGTCTTTGTATAGTATGTATCAGTCTTTGTTCATCTATCTTCCCAGCTCGGGTATTTTGGCTTTTGCCATTGTTCATTTGGGTATCAATTGAGGTAAGCAATATGCGAAATCAAGCCGCCCGTGAAGCTCATGCACAAAGAGCTCACCTATCAAATCTTTTCCTTACCAGTAAGAGCCCACCAGAGGCATGTCTTCAAAAAGAATTTTCTTCTATTACATTATATCTAATTGCTTTGGCCCGCCAAAGCATGCGTTGTGTCGCCCAGTGAGCATTATCTTCGCGCCTGCGCGGGGCGGTTGGAGCAGGCCACCACTCACTGCACCAGCAGAGACTGGAGCCTCCCGAACGCCGTCAAAGCATCACTCTGAATTTATGCAATCTTTCCGTCGACACACGTTGTTCCAGCAGCAACTGAGCCCATCGATACGAGTGAAGTGCCCACGCACATCGACCAGGTCGTTGGTGAGTTGCAAACGATTGACCCGGCAGTGCAGGATCCGCCTGCTGGTGCAGCTGGTGCAGCTGGTGCAGTGGGGGCGGCAGGAGCCGATGCCGTTGGGGCCGCTGGAGCTGGAGCGTTGGAGGCAATAGGGATCACAACGTTGCTACCCGATGGAGCCGGTGCTGAGCGTGTTGAGTTCGTGCCCGTGGGAAAGGGAGCAGAGACTGGGCTTGCTGAGTTAGCAGCAGGGGCTGAGGAAGCTCGGCTTGGTGCTGGTGCAGCTGGTGAGGAAGCGGCTGGTGAAGAAACAGCTGGAGCTGGAGCACCAGAGCCACCGGAGCCGTTGCCAGCACCTGATGCGCCGCTAGAGCTTGAGGAACCGCCGCCGCCATTTATGACGTTTGAGCCAGGTTCAGGAAAGGCGACGTCCTCACCCTCCTTGGTAGTGCAGCCCTTACCGAGATTGCAGGTGTACATGTCGGGTAGGGAGTCGAAGGCGTTGTCACGGCTTACGACTTGCGCTCGGCGGTGGCGACCAGGCGTGGAACCTTCAACGGTGACACGAGCACAATTCATGTACATCTCTCGGTTGCCGACCTTATTGAACCATGTCCATGCAAGCAGGACATCAGTCGAAGAAGGGGCGTCTTGGGGGATGGTGAAGTCGTAGGAGGTTGTGAGAGGACATCCGCCAATCATGGATTCGATGACTTTCCATGTCTCACCGTTGTCGTACGAGAGAGAGATCTGGCAGGAACCTCCGTTGTGAGATGCGCCTCCTTTGATGGACAGCTGGCCTTGTCCACCAGCTTTGTATGTCGCCTTGGACACGTGAGAAGTTTCTTGCTTGTGGTAACCCTTGCAGGGGAAGTTTGACCCATCAGCCTTCAAAGGCGAGGAGTAGTCATTGTCTTTTAGGTTGGCAGGCACAGCAGGGTCTTCCGGGCTGTTGATGGGGAATGGCTCACTCATCTGCATGTGAGCTGATGCGAGGAAGGGCAGCACAGCCGCGACGGCGAGGGTGCTGAACAGATGCATTCTTTGGGTGGGCTGTTTCGGTTTGTTGGTTTTCAAGTTGTGTTTGACTTGGGGTTTTGTGGTTTCCTGCAGGTATTTGGAGTTTGGCTAGCAGGTGTGGATGAGGTTGAGGTTGAGATTGAGGTTGAGAATGTGCAGCTGGGTAGATGTCGAAGAAGGGCGGATATTTGTACTTTGAACCTTCTGTGTGGAGCACAATGGCGGAGAGTGAATCCCTTTGTAACAGTGGGGAGATAAAGGTACGACCGACGCGCGCCATTGTGTGATTCATTGTGAAGGTAGAGAGAGGGGGACGAATGAAGACAAAGAGTTCCTTGATCATAGGTTGATTGTGAGGATGACAATGAAACATCAGACGATGCTTGTAAGCGCGAGGAGGCTCGACAATCTGAATCCATTGGAACGTGCAGGGCTGGTGTGTTAGTGCGGACGCTAGTCCGTTCCAGGGTATACAAGCATGCAAGGGCCAGAAGCGGCAGAATCGGCAGCATCGGCAGAATTTAGTCAGGTACGAGCACAGTCCCACATGGTCGCCAGGGGCTGGATACCAAGTATTACTGGTCCTCCGGAGTTGGTTCTCCTTCAACGAATCAGCCGGACGGTTGAGGTGTTGTGTGTGGCATTCCTGAACAGTCTGGGAATGCAAGGGCTGCTCGAGTGCAAGAGTCGCACAGATGCTGGCTGGTTAGAGATGCTCACCTCTCTACGGAGTACCCCAGCGTGGAATGCCTCTGTCAGCAGGCCTCGAAAAGCCACCCAAGAACTCGCGGAAAACGCGTCAATGCATGGATGCTTCGGGGAGCACAGGAGCTCTGAAGATGAAACAAGATCTGTTTCTAGCTTGCAGTCCTGGAGCTCGGCGATGGTTACTTATCACGGTAACGAAGACCGCGTATTGCTCCCCTTTCTGCAAATGCATAGGAGAATTGTTGATGCTGACAATGGAGCAGTGTTGACGTCTTTCCATCATGCGTCAAGGAAGCAACATGATGAGCGTACGTAGTAGTCGACAATACTCGAGGCTCCAGACAGAAGACCTAATGTTTAGTGGGTGCCCATTGCTCATTGCTCATTGCTCCTTGCTCATTCTCATTGGTCAATCTCAGCGGAGATCTCGGGACAGCTTAGCGCCGATTCGGGTGCACGATGACGATGACGTCGCTTGAGCCAGCCTACTAAGATACCAAGACACCAAACTGTGCTCACAACTTGAATGGCGCTGCTTGGATCATCCTTTGCTACGAGCAACACTCCTGATTGAATGTTACCTTCAGCAAGAATTGGTCCTGGTGTTAGATCACGACTTCCGCTTCTTGCTCGACGAACTGGTCCTTCCTACGAAGCAATAGGGTGGAAACTGGTCAAGTCCTGCTCTACATTGCGCTCTGTTAGACGAACAGTCCCATTCGGACTGATGGCGAAACGAAAGCGATCGTCTGCGACCGATGTCGCAATTCTTTCGCAATCAACCACTACAGATATACCACTGAAATCAGAACATTCTGGAGCTGTGCAGAGAGCGAGCAGGCGGCAATCTCAGCCCAAGCCAGCCAAGATCGATGCGAATCCAGACACTAACAGTAAAGTCCTCGACGGTCCAGAAGCCCTGCGAGCCTCGCCGGATGCACACAGCGAAAGTGAAAAGTTCAGAGAGGATAAAATCGCAGGCCAAAGAACAAAGGAAGACAAGACAACCCCTGCCACACCGAAAGCTGTCAAGCGGAAGGAATCCTCGGATTCCTCTCTTTCGGAGCTTTCTGATGTCCTGGAAATCCCTGCCAGCCACTCCAAGACCAAAATAAATACAGCCAAGATTCCACCTAGCTTTTTGGATCCGGAAGCAGATGCAGACGATCTCGATGCCGATCCAGAAGAACTCTCTGCTGCACTTTCTCGCCCTCCGCCCGTCAATTCCTCTTATTTACCTTTACCCTGGAAGGGCCGATTAGGCTATGCTTGCTTGAACACATACCTTCGAAATACCAATCCACCAGTCTTCTCATCACGAACATGTCGTATTGCCTCGATCTTAGAAAATCGGCATCCTTTGAAAGACCCTAGTCAACCAGCGCATGCAACAAAGAATCGGCCGGATAGGGAGCAGCCCGCGGACATCAAACGAGGCCAAGCCTTCGTTGAAGGATTAGGCCTGGCAAATGCGCGAGATATTCCCACAATGCTGCGCTGGAATGATAAGTATGGGATCAAGTTTCTTCGATTGTCTTCAGAGATGTTCCCATTCGCGTCGCATGATGTCTACGGCTACAAACTAGCTCCTTTTGCATCCGAAGCTCTAGCAGAGGCTGGTCGTGTTGCAGCCGAGCTTGGTCACAGATTGACTACACACCCTGGACAGTTCACACAACTCGGCTCACCACGGAAAGAAGTAATTGACGCCGCAGTCCGTGATCTCGACTACCATGCCGAGCTCTTGTCTCTCCTTAAATTGCCCGATCAGCTCAACAGAGACGCCGTTATGATTCTCCATATGGGGGGGATTTTCGGCGACAAAGCTGCGACTCTCGATCGCTTTCGCAGAAACTACGCCAAACTAGATCAGAACATCAAGAATCGGCTCGTGCTCGAAAACGACGACGTCTGCTACTCTGTGCACGACCTACTTCCTCTTTGTGAAGAACTCAATATACCCTTAGTTCTCGACTTCCACCATCACAACATCATATTCGACAAGGACAAGATCCGCGAGGGTACCCTCGATATCATGGATCTTTACCCGCGCATAAAAGCCACTTGGACACGAAAAGGAATAACGCAGAAGATGCACTACAGCGAGCCCACACCAGGAGCCATTACCGGCAGGCAAAGACGAAAGCACAACCCACGGGTCGCAACGCTTCCGCCTTGCGCGCCGGATATGGACCTCATGATCGAAGCGAAAGACAAAGAACAAGCGGTATTTGAGTTAATGCGCACGTTCAAGCTGCCGGGATTTGACACCTTCAATGACATCACACCGTACACCCGAGACGATGAGAACCGGCCATGGAAGCCGCCAGCGAAGAAGAAGACACCCAAAAAGAGCAAGAAGAGCAAGAAGGCGCCGGAGGGGGATGAAGGCATGCTGGCAGACGAAGAGTGTGAGCCTCAGCCTCCGGCGATTGTTCCAGACGAAGAAGTGGGCATGGGTGGACCACTCGGGCGTGTCTACTGGCCCGTAGGCATGGAAGAATGGCTGCGGCCAAAGAAGAGGGAGATCAAGAAGAAGCCGGACAAGATTGCAACGCCAGCAAAGAACAAGAAGGCCGCCGTCAAAAGCGCTGCCGAAGACGCGTCTAACGAGCCAATGATCAAGGAGGAAGAAGCTAGCGAAAAATCTTCCTCCACAAAAGCGAAAGCGAAAGCGAAAGCAACATCAGCCAAAACCGCACCTGTCGCGCCATCAGCAAAGAAAATCAAGAAAGCAACCAATTCCGTGCCGACGCCGTCGACGAGCGATGTCGAAGACGACGCACCTGATGTCGACATGCCGGACCTGAGCGATGCCTCGGCGGCGGCCACCCCAGCAGCAGCAGCAGCAGCAGCAGCAGCAGCGCAGAGTCAGAAGGGGAAAGCTGTACCTGCTGCATTGGCCAGGAGGCAGAGTGGGAGGAGGGGCGCGAAGAAGGCGGTGGTGAATTACGCCGAGGACGATGGCGGGAGTGAGTAAATCATGTCCTGTATCTTGGGTCACCAGAGAAGTGGGGTGGGAATATTGTACAAGTAATCATGGCAGGGTGTATCCAGAGATGCATATGGACATAGATACAGAGGATCTGGATACGCAGGTGCAAATAAAATCCCCCACGATATAGACATACCATGATCTTGCTCGGTGTTGGACTTGAACGACACGAAGAAGAGGCACAGATCGAGATCGAGTGGTCCAGTCCACATGGGAAACGAGTGCATTATCCGTATCGTGACGAGTCTCTTGCCTTTGCCTTCAAGCTGTAGCCTGCAGTCAATTATATCGGTGTCATCAGAAGAGGCTGACGGAGTCGGTGAGTACCAACAGCCTCACTTGGTCACAGTCTGTAGCAGCGCGCCCAAGCGCCATCCTTCAACCACAATCCCCAGCCATGCCCAACTGATCCGATCTCAGGCCATGGCCACCCTGCCTTTGCACTCTCTGTCCGCTCCCCTCCTCTCCTCTCCCCAATACCACAAGAATAGCCAAGCTAGTTAGGGCACACCCCACATCCCAAATCCGAAATCCGAAATCCGAAATCTCAAGCCCCTAAACTCCCTCTTCGAATGCAGCACCAACAGCACCCTCTCCCTCCACATCAACGCCCTCGCGGACATTCCAGCGTTGGGCCCTGACGCTCTCCAAGCCCAGCCGGGCCGCTCACCCGCAGCAGGTTCTGCGCGCCCAGCGCGTTGTGCGCGAAGCGCAAGTTGAACTTGACCACCTTCTTCATGGCGTTGGAGGTGTCGACGCCCATGCCGAGGGGCTCAGTGGCAAGGAGAAGGTGACGCCTTCGGGGCAGGGCGGCGTGGTCGGCGAGCTGGTGTAGGTGAAGAAGGATGTGGTGGGGATGGTGGAGGTGAGGGGGCTGGAGTCGAGGGGCGGGAGGGAGGTGGTGATGCCGGGTTCAGGGATGGAGGAGATGGAGGAGAGGACGGTGGAGCTAGAGCTGTTGGATGCGGAGGAGTTTTGGAGGAGGTGGTAGTAGTAGGGTTGCTGGTTAGTTAGGAGAACATGCCTACGACGGCGATTTCGTTGGGGTTGTCTGTGAACAGAAATCCAGTCTTGGGAAAATGGCTTGGGGGGATCTCCAAAAGGGCACCAACCTTCAGCTTCATGGACCATATGCACCTCCACAGGAACCTATTCTCCATCGATCCTATGCTCGTTTGGTGTGTGGTAGTGAAACTGCTTCATTTTGAACTTCTTCTCGCCCAGCGTCGTCGTGCCTTCAACCAGGACCTCGAGGTTTGTGCCGAGGTTTTCGAATGTCATCGTCTGGCCGGCTGGGATATCCATTCGTACGTCGCCGGGCTTGGTCTTCGCGGTCTCCGCAACTTTGATATCGATAGGCAATTGGTTCAGACCGGCGGCGCATTGGGCATTCTCAGCGTCGATGGCTTGCTAATTGGTAGGGCTCATATTGCCTTCGTAGCTAAAGTTTGGTAGTTTAACGGACTTGCCGTCTTCTTCATTGAGCGTTGGGGCAGGTTTGTGTTGTGTAGGCATGATGACGAAGTGGAATAAATGTTGGTAAAAGCTATGGCAACGAGAAAAGTAGTGGGATACAATTTTGGATATTAAGATTGATCCAAGGAGGGAATCTGGATACACAGAATGTAATGAAATTAATGAGCGTCCAGCGACCAGCGCAACCAATTGAAGAAGACGAAAGGGAGAGAACGAAAGCAACAGTAGCAATGAAATAAAAGTCTTGTCAAGGAGAACAAGTTGAGATATAGAAAAAGCAGCAAGATGACCCTGATATTGGACTAGGTTGCCATAATATATGCTCCCAAACAAGTCGATGGTCCATTGCAAGTCTAGAAGCGGCAACCAGGGCACGCCAGACAAGTCAAGCAGCAGGAAACGCCAACATCAGAGGGTTGGTGGGCAACGGTATGGCCAGCTTCCAGTACCATTGGTAGAATGAAAGCGCATTGAAAAGGACTATGGCTTTTTGGTAACCGTCTGCGTGCCGAAAGTATAATCCTGGGAACACCAAGGATCACTGGACAGGTGTGGAGCATGTGCTTGACATTGCTTGATCCATGTTCACTCCTGAAGTTTGCACAGTGGACACTATGACAAGGAATTGGCGAATGCGTGAAGGAAAGCTATGGCGGGCGGTTCCAACGAGAAGACTGCATAAAAGGCAAAGGAGGAGTCTTGGTAGAGCGTCTGTCTATCCAGCTACAACCCCTTGCGCCTCGAACAGGGCGGAATGAGATGCGCTTCGTCAATTTCTGGCTCTGGGGATATCCCTTGGTGCCAAGAACATCAAGCTTCTTGGCTGTTGCAGGTCAAGTTTCAAGCTCGACGTCTTTCCACACCCAACAATGGCTATCACGGTATGAGCAGTCCCTGACAACGAGTGGACCCCGTTTCCAGTTCCAGCATTGCTATCCTGAAGTTCGCGGGTGGGTCGTGCTTCGGCTCCACGACTAGTATGTGACAATGAAGTGCCACTTGCGTAGGATTTATAGTCATCCAATTGAAACATGTACTACTCCGTACGTAGTCAGGAGAACAGGTGCGAGCGGATCACTTATACAATCAGTCACAAAACTCAGCCTCACCAAAGTCCATTTCCCTTTCCAGCCTTGGGCACCCGCCACTTTGGGACTCCGCTCTGAGGAAGCAGAAGTAGACTGTCACTTATCAGCTGTCACCTGTCATCCGCGCCTGTGCTCAGCTTCAGCTTTAACAGCATCGGAGCCTTGTCTGAGCTGTCCCAACCAACCAGGTTGACTCAGAGTTGACCCGAATGGAACGCTCTGGCGTTTCTTTTCACTTAATCCCTTTTGAATCTGCTATTCATCTAGATTCACAGGTGGGTCTCATTTGAGCGTGTCGTTCGATATCAGGCCCGAAAGATGTATGTTAGTAATTGTACACCGGTTACATCCCCATTTCACAGTACAGAATCCATCGAGACCGAAGGCAATGTCTGGACATCAAAGCTGTGCATCTGCAGCCTGGCCAGCAAAATTCATTCCCAGCTGCTGGCCTGGCCCGCAGGCCCTTCGGCCCCTCCCTGGTCCGTGCTCCCCTACCTCCATCACTCCAACCTTCTACCATCAAGTTCGTCCGAGCTCACCAACTCTTACTACCAAAGATATGTATGCAAATTTGGATGAGTATGGAATACACTATAATGTCTGATATTTCTGCGTTGTTGTTATGTGGGAGATTAACTGAGGCACTGCAACAGCCAGCCTTTGAAGTTGAACCGGGATCTCTGTATGCCGAGTCGCGAAGCTGAAAAGTAGGCCAGGCCTGATGACAGCCGTGCACGTACATGTACTCAACTGAGGTCGTGATTTACGCTGAACCACTTTCAATCAATTCAACTCTACCTCGAGTTTTTACTTTCCATCTCTAGTGGCCATGGATCCATTCTCCATCACAGTGGGTGCCGCGGCCCTGACACACTTGGCAACGAAAATTGCCGTTACTCTGAAGGATACATACCAGGCATACCACTCTGCTCCAAAAGATATGTTGGAAATTGCGGATCAGATAACTCTAGTTGCTGGGCTGGTCGATGTCTTTGCAAAGGGCCTTGATGGGACTGGGCGGAAGTTTCCCAAAACGTTTCAAGAACACGCTATGAATCTTGTTCGTCAGGTAAGTTCTACATCTCAGAAAGATCTATGCTAGAGTACTCTTGTGAATGAGAGGAGCTGATCCATCACGCAGTGTGAAACCATCCTGAAAGAAATCCAAAGGATGATCCCCGGCAGTTCCACAAGATCTGTCAACACGGAGAGCTTAAGGTATGCCTTCGGAAACAAGAAGAAGATCGAAAAGCAGCAGACGGCCTTGAAAGGAGTGCAGCACATGTTTATGTTCATGACCACTTGCTATATGTATAGTTTACCACAAGAAGCGGAGGTAGCGTCGGCAGCACCCGTCGGCAATTTTCATGGTGTCATGAAACATGTTCCTATTCAGATCAGTATGAATCAGGATGGTGGTAACAGCCCTACGGTTGCTTATGAAGCCACATTGACGCTCAGACCGGCGCCACGCGTACCTTCCCGAAGCTACGAAAGACGAAAGGCATCTCATCATGAGCGCTCTTATGCTGGGGAAAGACGTGAGAACGAAAGGAGCCGTCTCGCCAACATGCGCCGCAGTCCATACTTTGCTTTGGCATTATTGGAGCCGCCGTTACACAGCGAAGATGATCGACGTGCTGAAAGTGAAGAAGCCACGATGAATAGAAGGGGTAAAGAAGAGGCCAAGAGTAAGTCAGCCTTTGAGCTGCCTTCTGATCAGGAGGCCACCGAAGAAGTGGACACCCTGCTCTCAAGGGTACGTCTTCGACTCTCACACGCTATACGCTCAATGGTGGGTCATATCTAATGAAGCGCAGTGGTTTGACGACGACACTCACTCGAATACCAACCACTCGCATGACGAGTCATACCCAATTCCTCACACCGATCCAGAAGTAGATGAGCATGACAGTGACAACGACCGTAACCTACCGTCCGCTAGGGAGCGCCCAGAAAATGCTCCACAATCCATGCCTATCCGGCACTGGGTGTGTGATGGGTGCGAGCGAGAGGTATGATTTTCCAAATTATAACTGAAGTAGAAATGAGGCTGATGACACATCAGTCCTGGGAAGTGGACAACGAAAATGACAGGACATTGAAGCGATTGAAGCGATATAAGTGCAGAATCTGCACTGACTTCGACTTCTGTGGTTCCTGTTACGTGAGTGACGGCATTGTGCTGCACCAGCATGCCAGATCCAGTTTTTCGCGAATGGCATAATTTGAGTGCAGCGCTGGGTTCTCCATTGCCTATCTAGTCTTCTTTATTGCCAGCATTTTCCCGGTCAGATTTAGCCTGATGGTGTTGAAACACCAAGGATAGCATACGAGCTGTTCAGGTGTCTTACAAGTGATCCCGGAACTGACAGTGGTCATTTTGAAGGACCGGGTCCAGGCCATTCCTTGAGTTGAGCAATGCAGCATGCAAAGGTCTTCCTATCCCACAACCCGGCCCAATCGAGGGCGAATTCGTGGGGCTGTCAATCTTCAACCGTACAATAACAGTGTGATAGACCAAGGTGTATTATCACAAATCTGATTTTGACTTCTCCACCCTCAACATGATGCTCTGTTGTTTTCTTCACCTTTGCTCCTGGGTGCAGTGGTAGTGGACTCTCCTGCATGTAAGATCCAGCAACATGTTCTCCGCCCTCGCAGCGTTGGGGTGTTGGAGTGGTTCTTTCTCACTGAGTAACATGCACTTTGAATGGAGAAACTGAACATCCACTACTAACGCCAAGCCTTTTGACTTACATGCCTTCTTGGCACTCTTCAATTAAAATACGGGCCGAAGCAACCACTTTCCCTTATTCTGCACCACCTCAGGCTTTAATTGCTTTGCAACACCATGCTCATGGCCAGTACCGAGTCCTCCGAATATCTGTGCGCTGCCTTGATATGACTTATTGTTAAATTAGCTTCGTGAGTGCCCAGGTAGAGATGCAGAAGGCCACCTCCGCACCTCTTCTGACACGTCCTCTCCTTTGGTCATCCTCTACTTCAGGTGTGCTCGTGGTGCTCCTAATGACAAACGGACGACATAGAGCAAGGTTGCATGTACTGGACAATATTAAGTCAAGGTCAACGGGTGCAGATGCCCCAGCTGGATCGTTGTAACATCATTGATATCCATTCACATATTCTGGTCCTACTTGCTTTCTGATTCCACATGACTATAAAGATACCTACATCTATCTTTGCCCATTATTCCTTAATACCTTTCTCCGTGTGTTTACTTGTGCATACCTCGTTCCGCTTCTAGCCGCCTCATAGCACAAACATCATTTCACTGGATGCGAGTGGCATGTCCTGCAATACTTGTCCTTTGCTACCCCTTTCACCTCCACTGGTAAGACGTCTCCCTTCTGCTAATCAGCCTTTGTACCTTGGTATACTCTGCTAATCGCAGCCCGACCACTACTACTTGCGACGCAAAGGTAGCTTAATCCTCAACATGTCTCACTCTCAAGATCAAGCAGTTAGTACTACAGATTGTGCACACACAGAAGCTCCTGTCTCCACACGTTCGTACTTCATTTGCGCCTTCGCTAGCTTTGGGGGCATACTCTTCGGTTACGACGCTGGTTACATTAATGGCGTGCTCGGCATGGTCAGAAACGACTTGCTTGTAAATGGGAACAAGCTGCTGACGAATATCTCAGGCCTATGTCAAGCGAACCATTGGTCACGTTTTTCCTGTCACTAAAGATAACCCAGGCGGTTATGCCTTAACCTCCTCACAAAGATCGCTGATTGTGTCTATTCTCTCCGCTGGCGCGTTCTTTGGTGCCCTTATTGGTGGTCAAGCAGCAGAATGCGTCGGTCGCCGCGTCACAATCATGATATCTTGCCTCATCTTTGCTATTGGAGTAGCGATTCAGATTGTCAGCACCTCCGCAAATATGCTCGTTGGAAGTCGTTTGGTCGCAGGTCTCGGTGTGGGGGGGGTTTCAGCTGTCGTCATTGTCTACGTCTCAGAAATTGCGCCAAAACGAGTGCGCGGTCTCCTCGTGTCTCTGTACCAGTTTTGCATCACTCTTGGTCTGCTCATCGCTGCTTGCGTCGATCAAGGTACCCAGGCCCTGAACAGCCGCAACTCATACCGCATTCCTATCGCTCTCCAACTAATCTGGGCGGCGATACTCGCACTCGGATTATTCCTGCTTCCAGAGTCCCCTCGCTATCTGATCAAGAAAGGAAAACCTGAGGCCGCTCTGAAGGCTCTATCCAGAGTACGTGGCCAACCACTTGACTCACCATACCTGGAAGCCGAGCTTGCCGAGGTTCAAGCAAACTACGACTGCGAAATGCGAATCAGTTCAACCAGCTGGCTCGATTGCTTCAGAGGTGGCTTCCGATCATCGAGCAACCTTCGTCGCGTTTTGATCGGCACCTCGTTGCAGATGTTCCAACATGGGACAGGAGTGCATTCCATCTGTAAGTCCATCTCGAAGGCCAAGCATTGAATCATCTATTAATCTTGTGATTCATAGTCTACTACGGCACAACCTTCTTCCAACAATCTGACATCCGTAGTGCTTTCCTCATTACCATGATACCCAATATCGTCAACGTATGCTCTACACCCCTCTCCTTCTACACCATCGAACGCTTCGGTCGTCGCATCCTCCTCATCTACGGCGCACTCTTGATGCTGATCTGCGAATTTATCATCGCTATCGTCGGCACCGCGGCCCCGAAGTCCGATGCCGCAAGCAAAGTCCTCATTGCCTTGGTCTGCGTCTACATATGTGTCTTCGCTTCAACGTGGGGCCCTACGGCCTGGGTTCTAATTGGCGAGCTGTTCCCACTTCCGATCCGTGCAAAAGGTGTGGCGCTCGCGACGGCAAGTAACTGGTTCTGGAACTGCATTATCAGGGTCGTGACACCATACATGGTGGACGCGGATCAGGGCAATCTGCGCTCCAGGGTCTTCTTCGTTTGGGGCTGTACATGCGTCTTGTGTCTGCTGTTTGTGTATTTCTGTGTCCCGGAGACGAAAGGGCTGAGTCTTGAAGAGGTGGATCGCATGATGGAGGAAACTACGCCAAGGACCTCGAAGAGATGGATCCCGCATTCAACGTATGTGCAGGAGGCCGGGTTGTTCAAGGGAGGGGGTGTTACTCTGCGACCGGCTGTGGCGAACGCAGGAGAAGCTGAGCATGAGGAGAAGGTTCATGGAGGTGACGGTGATGTGATTGCTGGTGGGAGGGTCTGAGAATGTCTCACATTCCTTTCTCTCTGCTTTCTTCCTTTCTCTGATCAGCCATCCGCCTGTCTGATAAAGCAGTGGCCGTGACACTGGCGCTGGCAGAGGCAGTGGCCGTGGCAGTGGCAATGGTGACAGCGTGCTTAATCAGACTCGACATGCCAGCCTGGTCATGACAGATTCAACCCTCTGTACCAATTACGGAACAAGCAGTACTTTTTCCAGCAGAGGAAACCTCCTACTACCCTGTTCTTTGAGTCTGACTCAGTTCAATCCAGTCTCTAACCACCATAGTAGTGGTCAAGCTCTTATCCATCATTCAACGAGTTGCCGAATAAGAATAACAGATCAAGCCGCACGAGTATCAGTTGTGATTACGTCTCTTGCCCTCTCCTGATCGCTCTAGCCTATTCACCTACCTGCCTACCTGCCTATCTACCTACATAAATCACCTAACCTTGTCAGATCACGGTCCGCTTATCCAGCCACTCAATCACTCAGGCTGCATTTGTAACCGTTGATTTTACCCTGATTGAAGGGATTCCGTCCGTCATTCTACAGGGTGCATGTTCAGCTCGAGTACCGGGATTCAATATCTGTCTGTACTTATGGATTCTACGGCAAGTTTCACAGCGGTAGCTTGGGGCTGAGGGGTTTACCACAAGCGGGGGGGGGGGGGAAGAGTGAAGAGTATTTGACTCATCGTAGCAGCAGAGTTGTTCGCTGCCGAAGGTGCCTGTGTAGCGTAGCGTAGTGTAATGTATGTATTTTTGTGTTATGTGGTGCAGTGGTTGAGACGGATTGGAGATGGGACATGGGACATGGGAGCAGCAGTATCTGGCGAAATGGCATTGAGACGCGGAGAGAGACAGCAGCCTCAGGGTGGATTAGGGGGAATATATACATGGGTTTGGATATTTATATAATACCTTGCAAGCCTAGTCACACGGGGTGGAGAAAGCATGCATATATTTTTCCGGAGAGCCAGCCGCGTCAGAGTCCCTATGGTTGGCGCGTGAAATGACGAACTTCCAAAGCCAACTCTATGGTGGTCTGTGCCGACGCGGCGTTTTTGGGTACGAGGAGTGATGGGTAGAGGTGGGGCGATGGAGAGAGAGGTATGTTTATGCAGCAGGGCCGGCGTAACGCTGGGGAGACTACGGATGAAGGTGTGTAATGTCAGAGAAATTCGAGCCGAGTCTATGATGCTTCCTCGCCTTGGTCCCGACCTTCTGCGTTGATGTGTACAACCACGCTTTGCTTTTATGATGAAGAAGTGTCTTCTGCTGACGTCTTACGGCGCTTTCTCCTCAATCTTCTTCCAAAGGCTGGTTTCCATTGAACTTGGGTAGTCTATCTGACCATATTCGCACCAATCTTTCGGACTCCTGAGATGTTTTGTGACCGCCTATGCTGTTGGCACCCTCCAGGTCAAGACTTCCGGAAACGGGTCGGAGACATTGGATCTGACTCTAAAGGAAGTAATCTGGTGTTCGTCTACTGACCATCGGTTCGCCTGCTCGCGGACAAGGGTCGAATTGTAGGCTGTACGTCAATGTCAGCGATTCGGACTTCATGTGGAGGATTAGAGGTCACTTACAAAGTGTACTTTAGATGCTCATCTATCTCCATAATTGCAGCCTGATTACCACATCTGTAGCAGTAATTGGGTGCACTGAAGATAGTCACCACGTTCCGATCCTGGCTCCAATTGTAACCCTCCATGACAAGCTGATGCGCTCTTGCCACCAAGGTCAGGCCGTTATTGTGGTTGAATGCTTCGCTGATGTCTTGACCAAACGTGTACCCAGCCCCTCTAGGACTGATCCCCCATCCACATCTGTCGTCTGGATCACTCCACAACAGGTCGCACATTGGTCCTTCATGCGGCACTTCTTGGATACGGTCTAGACTTCTGATATTGTCTAATGTGTCAATGCTGGGACTCAGTCCTCCGTGTAGGCAGAAAATCTGGTTGTCGATGAGGGCAGTGAGTGGGAGATAGTCAAAGAGATCGGTAAAATATTTCCAGACATTGGCGTTGCCGTACTTTCGCAAGCACTCGTCGTAGAAGCCGTAGACTTGGGTGATCTGGCGGGATTCATGGTTACCTCGGAGTATGGTGATGCGCGAAGGATATCGGATTTTGAGGGCGACGAGGAGAGTGACGGTTTCGACGGAGTAATAGCCACGATCAACGTAGTCACCTTGTGAGTATGATATTAGTGACGAAAATGCAGCGCGACCGATAATGCTCACCCATGAAGAGATAATTGGTGTCTGGATTTGGTCCACCAATTCGGAAAAGCTCCATCAGATCGTGGAACTGACCGTGGATGTCACCACAGACAGTCACAGGGCATTTCTGAGAGGAAGAAATCAGTGACCTGGCCACACAGCATGCATTGGGGTAGCTTACTACTGGCTGCACATTCGATTCTTCTTGCAGAACCTCTCGAGCCTGACAGAAGGCGCATTAGATTCGATGTGCTACACGCCAGGAATTTGGAGGACTCGCACCCTGTCACAAAGTCTCGAGACATCGTTCTCTGCCAGCTGTTTGCAGTTCATAAGGTTCTCAATCCAGCCATCAAGTGTTGGTATCGATCCAGGGTCGGTTGTAGGCGATAGCCTGTGCGGTTCGGGCATCTTCCCCACATCGACATCCATTTTGGAATCCATAGCAATCTATTTGAAGCGCAATCTGAAAGCGCAGTATGAAAAAGAGAAAGAGGGTGGCGCTCTCGCTGGTGGGTGTGTCTCGCAGGAAATGCTCGCGTGCTCACAAGGTTTCGACCCTTGTGGTGAATATTTCTTGTAACTGGTTGAGGCTGCAGCGGTTGTGGTTCTGCAGGGTATCAACAAGGACAGATCGCTGGCTAAAATTCTGATCCAGAAGGTGCAAAAGCATGTATATTGTCCTTGTTCAATATGCAAGGGCAAGAGTTTCTGGCATGACAGAAGCTTCGGAGCCAGTCAAGTGTGATGCCACCCCAAACAGAATGCGGCTTGGCAGAAAGTTGAGATTAAGTTTATTCTTGCGAGACATAGATACAGTGGAGGCAAGGTCTGGGAACGAGTGAAAGAATGCAAGATGTCTGAGTTGCAGTCTCCATCATACTCGATTGCAGCGCTCGACTATCTACCTGCCAACTGGATTACGAGATCTAGCAGTCCTGAATCACGTCACCTGTCACCTGTCATGGCTGCAACATGGTTGCTACCTGTCAATAACATCCCAAGCTCCCTGCAATGCGCGCTCGCTCTTCAAATACCCCGTCGTGATCTCATCTACTCCTGTGAATCGTAGCACATTGTCTAACTTCATATAAAGTCACCGCTTCCAAAGCCGCCGAATGGATTGCCTCCCATATTACCTCCACCAGGGCCTCCCGGAAACCTAGGACCACCCCTCAGGTTTGGCGGACCATCTCCTGGTCCAACAGGATCATATCTCGCACCTGGCGGAGCTCGAGGATCGTAGGGTCGTGCGCCACCTTGGCCAGCAAACAGAGGGTCATCAAATGTTGGATGCATACCACCACCTCCAAGCCCTCCACCACCAGGTCCTATTCTTAGTGGGTCATGCGGACCGAGCCCCGGCGGATAAAGATCCCGCTCGCCAATGTTGAGTGGTCTTCGTTCACCAAAGCCCGGTAAGCCTCGGGGAGGTCTGTTCATCTCATACTCATCCTCAAAGTCGGGAGGCGGAAAATCGCCGGGTGGTATTGGCCGTCGTGGGGCCGCAGCAAGAGGGTCATTGAAAGGATATGGCCTAGCAGATTCTGGTCTGTCGTCGCGTAGAGGGTCGCGCTCTGGAGGACGTGTCTCATCATGCCGTCGAGGCTGCTCTGGGGTTGTAGATGTCTCCTCATAACCTTCCTTCCGGATTCCTGGAGCGAGCTTTTGTATAATGTTCACCTTGAACAGCGAACTCAAATCCGCAATCCGCCCCGAGGAGACAAAGATGTTCTTGATAGCCGAGTTGATATCTGAACTCGAGGTGCTCTCCCTGATCGAGCCTTCTGATACATAGTCTTGGACTTTGATCTCGAACGAAGCCGTCTTGTCATCGGGTACAGCAAGGGCAAAGATGAGCGCCTTGCTACCAAGCCGACTGACTTTGACCAAGAACTCCATCGAAGATTGTGCGTGAGCATATCTAAAGGCATATGTCGAAGGGGCGTCCCATTCAGCAGGCAGCCTTTGAACCTCTTGCGAATCTGAAGATGCATCATATATCTGTAAGCTCATGAATTTTGCCCGGAACATCGTACGTACCTATTTTGTGTTCTTCTCCTAGTCCAATTAGGCGAAAGCCCACAGCAAGCATGCAAGCATGGGCGAACAGCCCGATTGCAGCGTAGGAATCTTTGACGACTGGACTGGACTCTGCTGCCGATTTTGAAGGCAGGCTTTGGACCATCAAATTGAGCAACGACTCAGCGCTCAACGCGCTATTCGAGGATGAAGCCATGATGGGTTTGAGGTAGCAAATGTAAAGTTGTAAGAAGATGGAGACTGCATCTGGGGTGCCGGGATTATGTTCGAGAGGGTTGTTAAAGATGCTGAGATGACGCACAGGTGACAGCCTAGCTGCAGTGTGGGGAAGCTGGAGCCTCAGGAACTGCAGAGAGAACCTTACTACGTAGTTACTGTAAATAGCAACCAGCAAAAAGGGTCAGAGATTATTCTCCCACCAGCCACTACGCAGTTCTTTAGCCCGAACTGCCAATGCAACAATGGCAGTACCAGCGGACTACTTTCCCACCGTGACGAGATCTGTTCTGAACCCCTGGATTGGTCACAAACAAGCTGGAAAAGGCGCCACGCTGTGCTCCACAATGTTTGCTGATGTACAAAGACACACCCATATCTACCAATTCACACCAGCCCAGCATAGTACACCTTTCTGACGTCCACCATCTTCTTCCCCCTTGCCCTAGCAATCTCTTCTGGGTCTTTCTGGCTCAACAGCGCTTCTACAGTTGCCTTGACGGTATTCATGGGGTTTCTCGACCTTGTGACACGGGCGGCGAGATCTGCGATTCCGGCACATTTGCAAATCTCCCAGATATATTGCTGACAACGCAGACCAAAACCTAGATCACGTTCAGCAGCTGCCTCTTACTGTTGGTGAAAGAAATGCAATGCAGCGTCACTCACCAGGTGGTCTGGCATATAGCTCCAGTTCTGTGGCACTGACTTTGCCCTTGACATCGCCAAAGATTGTTCGTCCTTCGTATCGCAGAATTGGTTGCATGTTCCGAATGGCTCGGTATTGACTTTGTAGTCGTGCTTCACCTGGCTCTTCACTCTTCCCCTCTCCAATCCCAAGAAGCCCATTGCCATTCCCCGCTACGCTCAGGTAGTACATTTTGCCAATCTTCCCCAGCCGAGTTTGGTTGACGACTCGGTGGTCGACGATGGACTTGACTCGTAGAGCATTGATTTGGTCCCTGGTGAACCCGGTCATCTGCATCAAACGCAGCAACGCGGGTGGAGCCTCTTCGATTCTTCCCCTCAAATCAGTCGAAGGCAGCTTCAAGATCTTGCCGTCCAGATTGGCTTCCCCAGGTCTGAAGAGGTCCGGAGCTGCTGCACTTCGAGGATTGCGCTCCCCTTCCTCCTTACCAACTGTCAATCGTATCTTCTTGTCAAATGCTGTCCATGCCTCATCCGCCTCAGGACTATCCTCATTCTCGGGGAGATTACGAATAAAGTTCGCGAGGTCTTCGTCGAAGTCGTCGTCCGTCTTCAAGCGTTGATTAGGGTCGGTATTTGAGTAGGGAGCACGGACAGGATGGTCCACAACTGGGTCAATCTTTGATAGATCATCGTAGTACTTTAGTGACCAATGGTTCTGTCGGGCAGATGCTTGGTATGCAAGGTACTTGTTCGTAACGGCTTCTTCCCCTACATCGATGACGGCGCGTTGAGCAGGCGTGTACTTTTCGGCAAGCTTTGCCTTCTCTTTCTCAGTGTAAGGACGGAACATCTTTGGCCGAAGCTCTGATCTCGTCCATCGTCGAGCCTTTCTTCGGTTTCCCCTAGGCGCTGCAGAAAACTGCTCAGAAGATGAATGGAACGGACGTGGCGAGTTAGGAGATCGCGGTCCGGATCGCCAGAATGTGCAGAAAAGGCACTTTCCCGACCGTGGCGTGCTCATCTGGCTGAGGGTCTCTATAAGTCTCAGTTCTTGCGCAGCCTTGTAGTATTGCATTGGAGAAGATAGAGTTAATCGAGGTATTTTCATGTTTGTAATTTTGGTATTGATAATACGCAGACATCCGTCTTGGCCTCACGTCTCCTTGACTTCAATCTCCTCTTCTGACAACTGCCATGGTATCCTCTTCTGCAACTCTGCATAAATGGACTCTATCACCAAGCTTACAGCAGAACCTTTTATGCTTTCATAGGTGCACAGCTTCTGCTTTTTTGGCTTCAGTTCCACGTACTGATGTTCCACGACGGAGTTTCATGGTTTCTCCTGCCAATTGACTTTGGAAATATATAGATGCCTCTCTGGCACTTCAGCTCTAGAGGCACTGAAAGACGGTCTCGAACCCGAATTGCATCTCCACAATTGTCGTTTCCAACGGGAAGAATTCCTGAGCATCCTTAATCTGCGTCGAGTCTGAGAAGCCTGGAAGCTTATGGACAGTATCAGGCTACCCCCGTTTCTAGAAAACAGCAAATTAGAGCGAAGTAGATTTCAAACCAAATGCAAGATTGATGGGCTGCTATTTTATGCGTACTGCAGGTTTTTCTTTCCAAGACAGGTTGTCATGAAGCAAGCAGGAGAGAGGTGAGGACACCAAAGAAGATTAAACTGCCTACACACAGAATATTAGGTTATGTAAACTGAGTAAGTGGAATTGATTTGACTAAGATATGGTGTTTCAATAGTAGTGGCTAACCAGAAGACTTGACTTCGTTTACTGCCTCTCAAAGTTGTTACCTAGCTTCACATTTGAGTGAAGATCGCACTCTATGAATGCTTGCAGATGGAATCGCAGTGTCTCTGTGGCTCTCACCACTTTCACGGCCGGCACTGCTACATGCATGACCTCCACTCACATGATCTGGATTCTGACACTGCATTGCTGTGATGGTTGTTTGCTCAGGATTTGACGGTTCTCAAGAGCCGTTCATGAGTCTGAGTAGTGTCGTGGAGTGCATTTGCAAATTTTGTAGACCCCAGCAACCAATGTTGCTTGGACGAGATTTGCTCACCTATTGCTGACCTTCTGAATATTAGGCTAGGATCTAGCTAAACCGTTGCAATCAATCTGGGTTTCGCTGATTCTTGCAGCGAGGACAGAGGCAAGCGTCCGTACACAAGTCAGTGAACGCAATCCTTGGCAGTGGCATTCTTTATGTGACGAGAAGATGATGGATGCCCGGAATCCTGCGACGAAGAAGATGACGAACGAGGGACACCCTGAGGTCTTCCTCGTGGCGGTGGTTTCTGTGGAGGAGTACAAGGACCAGCACCGCGGGCAGGGGAGTTGTGTGCGGGTGTATCTGCTACAGGCCGATATCTTGCGATTCGTTCGCGCCGAACAAGAGATGGATCCACATCACTAGTATAGCCATCAAATAGTGGTTGTTCCAACTCAAAACAAGTACTAGGACGATTGGCGGATGGCAGAGACGAAGGCTCAGCGCGATTCATAGGAGTAGTCATCTGAGATGCTTGCCCTTCTGAAGATGGACGGTCCTGCTTTGGTCGTCCTTCCCGAGAGAAGCAAGAGGCCTGGCCCCCTTGTATGGCCCTGTTTTCCATTTGTCGAGAGCCAGAGAGATCGGTTTGAGCTAGTCGCTGAGCCAGCCCTCTGATTTGGGGAGTGTCAGAGGAACCAGCCTGTACTCCTCCTACACGCGGTGAAGAGGAAGTAGAAGAAGAGTTGCTTCGTTTTTCCTCTCCTTGTGGCAAAGAGTTGAAAGAGTTACTTTTCGTCTCTCCTGTGCGTGGAGAAGACTTGGCAGAAGAGCTGCTTCGCGTTCCTACTGAGCGAGGAGAGGCCTCAGCTGAAGAGCTGCCTTGTGTCTCTGTACCACTTGGGGTAAAGTAAGTTGTGTAACGGTCGCTGCATGCTCCTCGTCCGGATGAAGAGGAGGAATTCAAGGGAGAGTCATCATTGGCCCCTCTTGCCAGAGCTGCTAGGGGAGAAGAGGATTGCCGTGGCTGGGTTCGAGATGACGGACCTGCTGTAGCATGTTGTGCCTGCAGAGAAGGAGGAGTTGGAGCTTCCCGGGGGTAGGAAGAGACCTGTCGTCGAGGCTGCGAAAGGTCGACGTAGATTAGCCTATCTAAAATGGTAGGGTCAGAAGAAGAAAAAGGGTGTTCTTCTTGCACTGTGGATAACCCATCCGTTGAAGAGCCGCTAGATGTTACATTGTCTACCACGTCGAACCTACTTGTACCGCAACCCATATCTGAATGAAAGGAAAGGTGGTGTGGGAGTGGTTGGGGGAAAGACCTGACGGTAGCTAGACTGGATCGTAAAATTGTGGAGCTTAGTTGCGGTGACTGGAAAAGGACTGCATTGATCGGAAGATTCCAGAAGCAGAAGGATTTCACCGAATTGTTATAAACGCAGCGGCTTCAAACTCTCTCAAGTGTTTACAGGGAACCATCTAGGACAATACACCTTCTGCTGCAGGACTGTCTCAAAGAGGTGAATGGTTGACCACGGAAAGGGATCGCCAGGCTTGGCACTCTGGCCCTCCGAACATCGGTATCAAAAACATGGCCGCCACTTGTCGAAAGCCTGGGTACAAGGACGACACCCATTCCGATACCTTGTCCTCGAAGAGTTGCGACATTTAAATCAAGGTGCCACAGAAACGCAGTTCGGATCTCCATACCCACGATGTCGTTGTTTTGCAAGTGCTCTAATGGTTCCATGCCCATGGCTGAACTATCTGCAACCTTGCCATTAACTTAGGTACGACATATACGCTGTCAGTACGGAGTATAAATCAGCGTTTTGTGAATGCTCATTGTTTCTACCCGAGCGAAACGAGCCCATGTAACTTATCCTTCTAGGTGAATCTGACGTGGTAGCCTGCCTGTTTTCGTCTTGCGTTTCTGACACTACCCACGGCTTGACAGCATGGTCATTTCCCTCGAATGACATGATTGTCCTGTATCGTTTTGTGGGATGGGTTGTAGATCGGCCTAGAACGTAGGGAGGGTCTGAGTCGACTGAAGTCCTTTTCACATCAGCAATGCTAGTGAATGAGGTGAAGCAACCCAAGCCTAGAGAAATGCTGAAGGGCATGATTTGGAGACGCATCCAAAAGGACATAGTGCTAGATATACATCTAGGATAAAATCATTACCACATCGATTCTTTGCCATCCGACGTGGTTTTCAGTCTGTAACAGACAGATGTGACTTATCCGTTCTGGTTGGGATAGGATCGAGGGCCTTATCCTGTAAGCTATCGACTCCTTGGCCTTCTCGCTGCTACACATCACGATCTTGTAAATTACTAGAGCAGTACCTAACTAGTATTATAGTATCTGACGGAAATCATGTTAGGGTTTACTGGTAATTTTGTTTGGTGCTAAGATTAATATTATCTGGGTGCAATCTTATCCATCATCTTTGTCCATAAACATCAAAGGTTCTGTGTGGGATCAAATACATAGTGATATAGTCGGACACTTTATAGTCTGCTAACGAGTTACTCAATCTCGTGGGTTGAGGATCTATCGCCCAATTGAGAAGTTGACATTGTGACAACTTGAATGATACATGATTTGTCTTGGTATCTCAATGCCGTTAGTACTTTCGCCTAGTAGTACTAGTACAATATTAGTAAGTATCTCTAAATTCTAATTGAAGTCGTACTGCAGTGCTACCAAAATACACTTTGGCATTGCCCCTTCCCACTGAGTTTACTATTTCGAACTTCGCCCAACTCTAGGTACAAACTTTGTCAGATCATTCCATTATTAGTATATCTTCTGCTCTGAGAGTAGTTAAGCAGATTCAACATGCTGCGTCGGGAATTCTAGAGTATTCGCTATGGCCTTGATCAAACTCCACTCGAGGCCGCTACGGGCTTCCGGCAGCACATCTTTGAGAACGGTGTTGAAGACAGAAAGGCATCAGTGCTAAACAGCTCTACTAATCATTTGCAGTGGTGCTCATGCAAGTCATGGAAGACAGTGTTCCCACTTTCTGGATTGGCCACCATGAAGACAAGCGGCAAAGCCGTGTTTCGCCAGAGTTGATACAGCAGGCGCACTCATCTGGCGTACGCAAAAAGTTATATCGCTTCATTCATATCTAATGTGTTTTAGTATGATATGGTAACAAGTCCAATTACCACAGATCTCTTTCACTCAAGAGTGCTGGCCTTGCTTTCATCAACCCAAACTCATGCCAGTCATGCTGATGGCCACGCAAACCCACGTCCATCAGAGACTCCCTTGCGGGTAATGGTGCCGTCGCTGACGCCGGTGGATACGGACCTGATTCCCGACGAGTCAATGAGTCACACTGTTGCCACCACAAGCTCTTGGACAGATTTGTGCTCTTCTGATCCGCTAGTTGCCGACGTTTCCAAGCAGGTATTGATGCTGGAAATAGCCTACGCTGCATTTTGCGGAGTCAGCTATGTTCTCATCCCTGGTCCCAGGCTGTATTGCCAGACCATGAAACAGGTCGGACTGATGCAGTATGCTCGTGCCATCCAAGAAGCTCTGGTGATTGGAACATACATGCAAATCAAAATCTGGTTTCCAATGATAGGTCATCCTGAGAACGAGATACCGCGGATGGGTGACTTGACACCATTTGCTCGCTCTGAATACATTGGCAACAGCCCGGAAGAAGACACCGTCCTGGACTTGTATGGAACATGGGACGCCTGGAATGCCATCCGCTCATTTTGTAAATATCATACAAGGCTATGTGTAGGTAAGAAACTCCCACTTGGGTGTTGCAATCACAACTTTCACGCAAATTCTGCGACAGTCGCGCAAATCAATCGCTGACCCTAAGAATATTCAGCACTAAGACTCCCCAAACATCTGCCACCAGTCGACATCCAAGCCAGGTGGTATTCCGAGCCGGTAAAACTGCTCACAATAGATAGCACCTCCTTCACCAAGAACCCCAAAGGCTACCCTGTTCTATCAAAGCCCCATCAGACCTTGATCAATCGATACATGCGGCTACGCTTGCCACCGTGGATATTGCTCTGCAACGTTGGCCCTATTTCCAGTACCGATGACTCCTATCCAAAATCAGACCCCACAACGGGGCTTGCGGCAAGTCTGACATTACCAGGTACTATCGCAAGCTTCCCCACACTGGCCGAAGCAGCGCAAGAACCCTGTCAACGGAACGACAATGCAACGCCGCATCTCTCGTACTTGCGGAATTTGCAGAGAAAACAGCCTCCTCAATCACAGCTCGAGAAGTTTGGCAGCGGATATCAGGACTACTTACAGGCACCGTTGCAACCTCTGACGGTCAACTTAGAGAGCATCACCTACGAAGTTTTCGAGAAAGACCCCGTAAAGTATGACTGGTACGAGAAGGCCATTGCTCGAGCACTGCATGACTGGATCGAACAAGGGAAGCCAACATCGAATCCTGACGGTCGTGTTGTCGTTGCGGTTGTTGGAGCAGGTAGAGGACCACTCGTTACAAGAGCATTACAAGCAAGCGATGATGTAGGAGTCGAGATTGACATGTGGGCACTGGAAAAGAATCCAAACGCTTTTGTCCTGTTGCAGCATCACAATGCAAACCCTGAGAAATGGGCGAACCGGGTCAAGCTTGTGAAATCGGATATGCGGACCTGGAGAGGGCCATGGCGGAAAAGGGAAAGTGGACCTCGGGAGAGGATTGAGCAGGCATTAGTGCCGGAACTTCCTACATCGTCTGTCTCGACTGATCCGCTGGCCCAAGAAGCACCGTCAGGTCCCGTTGAGGTCGAATACTGCGGTATCGACATCCTCATATCAGAACTTTTAGGCTCTTTTGCAGACAATGAGCTCTCACCCGAGTGTCTTGACGGTGTACAACATCTTCTCAATCCCACCCATGGCATCTCTATCCCGGCATCCTATACCGCTCACCTCACCCCAATTGCAGCTCCAAAACTCTACGCTGATATCAACTCACAAGCACACTCCAATCCCAATGCTGCCGAGACACCCTATGTGGTTATGCTGCATGCCATTGACTACCTTTCCACCACCGCCTCACCACCTCCAGCTGATTCCAGCCACTCCACCAGCTCATCCCAGCAGCAACCCTCCAGCAGTCCAGCGATCCAAAAAGCATGGTCCTTCGCCCACCCCAATCATCAGCTCCCCGATTCCCAACCCACCGTTAATCCCACCAGTTCCCCAAACACTCTTCATCCAGTCACTGCGATAACGAACTCCCACAACACTCGCCACACCACTCTCACCTTTCCCATCCCACACCGAGGCACCATCCACGGTCTAGCCGGCTACTTCGAAGCCGTCCTGTACGGTAACGTCGAGCTAAGCACTAATCCATTGAGTATGGATCAGAAGAGCGAAGGCATGATAAGTTGGTTTCCGATTTATTTTCCACTCAAGGTACGTAGCCAGATCCGTCTTCCCTGGCAATCGAGTTCAGCGTACCACTCAGCTCTCTGCGAGAGTCACGACCATCTTCCATCGCTCCCCCAGTTCCCCTTTCTCCGGAGTCATCCAATCACTAACCAGTTTCTGCGCACAAACAGACACCCATCTACGCCCCCTCCGCCTCCGAACTCGTCGTCAACATGTGGCGGCAAACCGACGACAGAAAAGTGTGGTATGAATGGATCGTCGAGGTTCTCGCTTCAATCCCCACTCCTTCTGCTGAGCCTGAACCCATCTCCCCTCCTCCCGTTTCCGGCCACGGCCAGGGCAAGGGGAAGAAGGGCAAAGGGAAGGAAAAAGAAGGGAAGAAGGAGAGGGAGAAGGATGGAACGCAGACGACGAGGCTGATGAGAACCAAGAAGATACGCATCGCGATGAGCGAGTTGCATAGTAGTGTCAAGGAGGCTTGTTTGATGTGATCGATCTCCTTACTCTAGCGAGTTGTCAGCCGTGCCCGTGACGGCATCGGGATGGTCTCTTTTCCTTTATATTTTCTACCCTTCTTCTAAGTTCTGCGAAATGGACGGGAGGGTACGGTAGGTTGAATCCGCAATGGCGTAGGACGGAGGAGGAGGAGGGGGGTGGGTGAAGATAGCTACGATTCATGGTCACGAATTCCCTGCTACCTTATGATATACGCCCAAGTCTTGTGCTGCATCAAAGATGTTATCACGCGGTGATATTCAACTTAATTTCGCCACCATTTCCAATTTGGCATTCAGCCATACTGTTTTTAAAGAGAAAATTCGGCAGGAAAATTCACGCGCTTTTCTATCTTGCCTAACAAAACATCTGCCTACCCGTAACGGAGTCAATTCATGACTCGACGTGACCTAGTGATATAGAAATACAGTTTTATCCTCCATCCTCGCTCTGAACGCAGACGCTTTTGGAGGGGGAAAAGAAAGGAGGGGGGAGGGAAGTTTCTAACCAGCCTTGTGGCGGATGTACAGTAATAATAAGATGACTTGATTAGTGCAAAGTGCACTCAAGAACCCAGATAAGAAAGAAAAAATCCACCCTCAGCTCGACTTGGTCTTCTCCATGCCATCCGACAAGCCCTTCACAGATGCCGCTGCCGCTGCAGCCGCCGAAACCAGCCCACTCGTCATGTGCGAGTCCGAGGGGACCTGGAGCGAAGAAGCCGACGGCGCCGAGGCAGAAGAGGAAGAAGCCGCGGCCGCAGATTCCGTCAACTCCTTTCTGATCGCCAGCACGCTGTCGACGATGACCGCATCAATTCCTTCCTTGACTTGCAACTGCACTTTCTCGGCATCATTGTTGATCACGCCGTACGAGACACATACCAAGCCGGATTCCTTGACCACCTTCACCAGTCTCGGACTGATGACAAGCGGTTCCGCATTGGACACCACACCCAGCAGATTCCAGCGCGAAGCGAATCTGATTGCCTCTTGAAGACTACTGGCGCGGATATCACCGACTGGCGTGGTGCCGGAATCAGTCAGAAAAAGGACAGGAATAGAGGGCTGTTTGAAGGACAGTAGCAAACAGATATCTGGATTGAAGCTAGAGAAGATCATGTTCCTGCCCTGGCCCAGGTCGTAGACGGTGGTCAGAACCGTATCGACAAACGAATTAAGTTCGACGGCGTAGGTGTCCATTTCTTGCTCCTCAGACTCGTAGAGCATTGGATACTTCATCTCGATATTGAAGCCGACGGTCTTGGGCAGCTTTCGAAACATGTCTTTCAGGGTTGCGAAGGGCTCTTGGATGTGATTGCCGCGGCTGTTCCCTTTAAAGCCTTTCTTTTTAAAGTCGCGTGTATGCTTCATTTTCTCACTCATGTCGAAGGGGTCGTAATTGTTGGGGCCGCCGACGGACATTGATCTTGGGCGCCTGGGCTCAAGGCTTTTGAGATCGGCGAGCTTTGGGTCTTTCTGAATAGGCGAAGGTGGTCGAGAGCCTCGTGGAGTCCTGGTGTCATTGACGTGAAGGAATTGCTCAAGGGTAAGCGTATGTACTGGCGCATCGATGCCAGTCTCGCTGACAAGGAAGTCATGATAGATGACAGGAACAAGGTCTTTGGTAAGTTGAACATCAAATTCGACGTATGACGCCCCTAGATTTGCGGCCGAGATGAATGATTGAATTGTGTTCTCTCCCAGCTGCAAAGATTTTCGACTAGCAATGTTTTTACCCAGGCCACGATGACCGATCACCATGGTCGAAGCCCTACTCTTCCAGTACGTCTGCTGTTCGGTGATGGACATCCTGGGATGCTTGAATGGAGTAATGACAAGGAAGTTGAAGGTAACAGTACCTATAACGTCCAAGGTATTTGCCGCAATAATCGGCACGGTGGTGTCACCTTGCAAAGTAATTCGTTTTGATCCAATACTGGGCTTGATGCTGGATAGGAGGGCTACGCCACGACCAACCACGCGATCCTTGGAGCCTGCGTACGTTGGAATCAGGTCAAAAAGAAGCTTGACCTTGCTTGCATCAGATGCCAGAAACGCCATGGGTTCTGTGGATATGTTGTCTTGCACGGGAAGGTCAATTATCTCCGGCTCCCCTTTCGCACCCGACGCAGAAACAACAATGGACAAGGCAGTATCAAGTTGGGTGGAATGTGCGTTGGCTAGTGGAATCCGATCAAGACTCACTGCCCTAACCGTCTTGCGAGTATCCATTGTGCCGAGGCTCACCAGTATCATAGATTCTTCAGTAAGATAGCGATGACCAAAGGACTTCACGGGCTCGGTTATTTTGACTCCTGTTTGCTGACCTATGGATGCGTTCGACTTTCTGTCTGTTAAAGACGAAGAGCTTGATGGAGGAGTAGATGCATTGGTCGATGTTTCTGAGGGGGTCGATTCAGACATCACGGTCACCTCTGCCAATAGTCTAGCCACATCGATATGTCCTCGGAGGCAGGCATGCTCCTTCGCAGTCCAGCCGGAAGAGTCGACGCGATCGACATCAGCTCCTGCTTCTATCAGGAGCTCAACAACTCCAAGATTGCCATCGACCGAGGCAATGAACAGGGGAGTCCAGGCATATGTGTACTCAGCCAGCTCTGTATTTGCTTTCTGCAGTCCCGATCCCTCAAGCAGCAGCTGGGCGCAAGTATCGTGCCCATATCGTGCTGCTACATGTAAAGCTGTCTCTCCTTGCTGATCTTGATAGTTGATGTCCACTTCGGCCTCAATCAGCAAGCGAACAATATCAAGAAAATTGGATTTGACTGCCATTGCAAGCACAGCGCTGGACTTTGGCTGGTTGCGTCGCATTGTGGCTTTGCTTTCCCTGGATCCCAGCCAGTTTTCGGCATCGAGAAGTACCTTCGTCGTAAGAGGGTGGCCGCCAACGACACTCAAATGTAATGGAGCCCAGCCCTCATTGTCTTGCCATCCGGACCCGTCAATGCCACTCTCTGCCTTGAACAACTTCCAAGCCTGCAGGTGCTGAATGATGATCTGGCAAACAATCTTGCAGCCGTACTGTGCACCGTAGTGCAAAGGCGTTCTTCCGGAAGCGTCTCGCGCCAAAAGAGATGAACGTTGAGCAGGGTTCAGCTGATCTAAGAGGTATTGTAAGAGTAATACCGATTCATCTTCCATTCCGAGCAACTGGGATTGATAAGCCTCTTGGGGCACTTTTGGTGGGGGAAGAATCGGCGCAGCTGCAGGAGTGATAAACTGATCACTATCGTCTGAACCTTTGAACGACACCTCAGCTGAAGCTCCAGCATCAGAGCTGGTCCGTGACCTCCCAATGGAGATGACCAGGCGATGAATGCAGTTTCGCTTGTTTATGTCATCATGATCATCAAGAAAGTAAATGCGATCCAGCAGGGCCGCGATACATTTTCGACTCTTGCAAAAGATGGATCTTTGGAGCAAGTTCTTCAGAAATTGCTGAAAGGCTGTTCCGTCCGTACTGAGTCCCGATTCCTGTAGAGTCGCCAAAGAAGCGGATAACTGATCCACCATATCATTACGAATGTGTTGCTCGACAAGAGCTAACTTCTCGGGTTCGAGGTTGAGATTTTGCCCCGAGGCGACACGTCGAAGGGGGTTGGTGGAAAGGTGGGAAGATCCTTCACTGCGAGCCGGTGATTCTCCTAAGATGGAGAGCCAATCGTTGATCTTGTTCACCTCTTCAAGCAGCTGAAAGTTTGTCGCAAAGCCCAACGGATATACCTTGAGCTCCAGATACTTTTTTTGAGCGTTTGCTGTGGGTACCTTCTTATCCAGCTTCTTCGTGATCTTGATAAATCCCCTCCGATTGACATCTCCATACCACTGTAAGTTCCTCAGCTGTCCTCTTAGCTCCAACAATGCCGCCATCAGGTCCTGTCTCTCCTCTGCATCCAGCTCTTGGACAGCTTCAGATGAGCGTCCATAGCGATCTTCAAGAAGTTTGAGGCGACGAGAGAAATCAGCGAGCTTTTTGTTGTAGAAGTAAGATACATCTTCGAGGTTCCGATCTAGAGAGTAAAGGAAGCCTGATTGTTGATCAGTTTACCGCATTCGCGGCACAACACGAACGCACCAGCCAGATCCGCCTTTTCACCCTTTGCCGCCTCATTCCCGATGATCTTCTTGAGCCCGCTATAGTTGATGTAGAAACTAGCGTACTCAGGGACCTGGTTCCTCGGAAGGTTCTTTCCGAACTTCATGGTGCAATTGAGTGAAGTGACTCTTGACAGAGACTTCTGTAAGGCTAAAGAGTGTCTATTCTCATGGCATTGGGATTGGCCACGGGTGTAATGGCGTAGTACACGAAGACAAGAAACTATACTTCAGCCAAATGTGTTCCCAATTGGATCTTTTGTGGAGGTCGGGCCTGGGCAAATGAAATTTGGAAACCACTTCCGGAGTAGGAGGACAAAGCAGCGGTCAGCTCCGCAGCCGGACGCGGATGCGTGGAGTTTGAGGTCGCCCTCGCTGAGCCATTTAAATAGGAAGAGCCGACGACGAAGCTCGGCGAGAGGAGCCTTCAAGATGTACGTTGACGTAGGGGGTCGATTGGTGCCGGTGAAAAGGCGGAGAGCGTGGGTGGAAAGAGGTTCTCAAGTGGTCAGAGTGGTCGGGGATGTCAGGAACACTTTGGTGGCGGCTTGCTGAGACGCTGCGAACCGCCTGAAAGGGATTGGGCATAGCCTAGAGAAGGGACCTCCAGACGTATCAACCATGGTACTCCACTTAAAGGATAGTGCTAATGGGTTTCAAAGCATACTACGTACTTAGTTGATGTATCTTGCCTGCAGGCCCTTGTTGACAGGTCACACATAAATACTGTGCGTTGCAAAATCGTTGCGAATTCCTTGGCACTACCCTCGAATTGCTGGCGCTGCGGGGCAGAATTACGGTCAGATGTAGGAATAGTTCTCCAGGGCCGTAAAACGCGTAGAATTGCTTGAAACTGCTTCTAAACGTTGCTGACGCTTGTATTTTGCCTTATATCAACTACTGTTTCTTGCTGTTGAGTTCGTAATGAGTAAATTATGCGTTTTGAAATGGCCTTATAACTTGTTATAGAGGAAATATCTATAAGGAGAAGGGTATCTATAAGGAGGAGGACTCAAGGAGGAGGAGGATACCAAGGAGGAGGATCTCAAGGAGGAGGATCTCGAGGAGGAGGAGGTCAAAAAAGAGGAGAAGGTCAAGAAGGAGGAGAAGGTCAAAGAGGAGGATATTAAGAAGGAAGATATCCTTCTCCTTCTCCTTCTTGACCTTCTCCTCTTTTTTGACCTCCTCCTCCTCCTCGAGATCCTCCTCCTTGGTATCCTCCTCCTTGAGATCCTCCTCCTCCTCCTTGAGATCCTCCTCCTCTTTGAGATCCTCCTCCTCCTCCTTCTTGAGATCCTCTTTCTAAGATTCTCTTTAAAGCTCTTTCTACGTTCAAACGTTTCTTACGATTCAACACCATAATTTCTATCTCAAAACTTTAGCAGCAAGGTCATAAGAGAGTCTATTTTAGTATCCGGGCGACTTTGGGCATTCTACTACGATAATTAGGTGGTAAATGGCCATCCTCTACCCTCATCACAATCTGCTCTGCGGCGCCCGAGGGGCCAGCAATTCGAGGGTACCGCCAAGGAATTCGCAACAGTTTTGCAACGCACAGTAGCATACACCCTGGCGGCATGTGATCGTCTACTTTTCAGTCACTTCCCATTAAGTGTATCATCTGTTACAAGTCATGGCACATTTATTATGACATTGAGCCCCGTATTGTGCCGTTCATCCAGCACGCTATGCTGAAGCCAGCATGGATTGGTCTGGACCGAGATCGACATCTCTCAATTACGCCAGCAAATGCTCTAGTACCCCCTATCCTTACCGCTCAACACCATGCTCTCGTTGAAGCCCTCCCAACACGACTACAAGCGCACAGTAAATCTGCATCTGAAAATATTTGTGCTTGAGAAGAGAAATCACAACTCCATAAGAAGCTTCAGAGCATCAACGCCTGGTTGAAGCATATCCTGATTGGTCAACTGTCTCAGGCACGCTTTGAGAATTTCGATTCCTTTCTCTCCCTTGATTACGTCTCTTGCTCGTTGTCCAACGTTACCAGTGGCACATGTGAGATTCCTCACACAGACTAGTCCTCGGTGCACAACGTCTTGATTATCGTCTTGACAGAGCCCAAGCAGAATATCGACCCCCCGCTTGACTTCGAGCACACCAGCAATCACAGCGTCGTGCTCCGTAAGCATAGCCAGAGCACCACCTGCCGCGCAACGTGTTGCAAGGTCATTTACGTCGGCGAGCGCTAGGAGTGTATGCAGCCTCTGTACCGAACGGCGAGAACGATCAGCGTACTTGGCAAGTCCAGCCTCGGTGGCTGCTAAATTGCAGACAAGCTCACAGGTTGCACGCCTTATCATGGCATTGTTCGAGAGCAAAAGGTCCTCAATTGCATCCCAAGCAGATTTGACAATTATGTTGGCTGGTGAGTTGTCGGATGATGATGCCAGGTTTGTCAGAGCAAGCAGACTTTCGAAGGTCGGAAGAAGGTCTCGTGGTTGATCAGATAGGCCTTGAGTGGTAGCGGGCCTTAGAAGACCGATCAGAGGCTGCACAGCGCTCGTGATGTTTGGGAAGCTGCTGGCTGGAAATACGAGAGCTGGGTCAACTGATATCAAGATCCTTGCCAGCGCGTGCGCTGCTTCCACGTTCACCCTCACGTCCTTTTCTGCCTTTCCAGAGAGTTGCTGGAGGTGAGCCAGAAGAAGCTTCACCGCGCCTTGCTGGGCTATCTTGCCACGAGTTTTGGGATTTTTAGACAGGTTCAGAATGATCTTGTCTATCAAGGATTTAGAAGAAGACGTCCTCCCCTTGTTGCATTCTATCAGAACTGGCATGACGCCGGCTTCAATGATCGCGTTGCAACGAGCTACAACATGCTCATCATCGTTGAGCACATTGGGAACTGAAGGCTTCGAAGCATTTGCATAAGCTTTGAGCTGCGCAACCTTTTTCTGTTCTTCGGAGAGCACTAGGGTGTATTGAGTCAGGTTTGAGAGAACGCTCAGTCCACCAACAGCCACGTCAGCTTTCTCAGAGTTTGACCGAAGAGCTTGAAGGAATGAGAGCAAAAATTCCCTGTCCAGGGCGAGCTCATTTTTTACCTCAGCCTTCAAAGACGCGTATGCAAGGCCCTCGACCGAGTCGCACAAGTTTGGTACATCTTTATTGCTTATCTCCTCTTTGAAGAGATGTACGAGGTCTTGAAGGTTATCGCCATCCCTTCCCATTTCGGGTCCTGGGGCTGGATTCTCAGAGGACGATGTTGATCTCAGTTTTGTGAGTATGGTAGCCGCAATAGCCGGCTGATGACCCTCTGCGTTACTGATGATATACGACAACCAGTCAGAACAGTGATTGGTGATAGCCGCCCGACAAGCCTGATCAATGCAAGCGGCATTGAGAAGCTGCAGAAAAGCCTCTTCGACCTTTGCACCTTTCAGCTTCCCTTCTAGAAGTGGTACAACTGACTGCAGAAATCCTTCAGTAAGAAATAATGGAGCCACAATGGCGGGTATGATGGGGAAGAGACTGGCTGCAGCAGAAAACGCAAGGATCAGGTCTTCACTCTTTTGTTTCCCAACATGAGACCTGACAAAGTCGGTAAAATAATTCTGACCTGTGTCTCCAGAGACTTCCAGATATTTGGAGCCGGCCAAAGTCGCTTGAGTGCGTAGGTCAGTTGCGAGTCTGATGTCCAGGCAGCCAAGGATGGCATCAAACCCTTCTGTGTCTACGAAAGGATGTAAGCGTGTCGGATCTGCTACGAGCAACAAGGCGATGCCTTTCAGTGCTCGTCCATCTAGATCATGACCCGATTCCATGAGCTTAGCTAATAGCAATTGGAAAAGATCTTCCTCAACACGAAGACGGTCCTCCTCAGACTTCCATAGAGAATCATCCAGCACAATGACTCTAAGGCAGTTTGCTGCGCAATCTCCCCGTTCGTAGATATTGTCGAAGAATTCGGTAGACGAAACCTGTAACTCAGAGGCAAAGTACTGACGAACATCTGAACTTTGCTGCACGAGTTCCACAATGATAGTGTCCTGGGCTGATGACAGAGTAGCATAGTTGCTGTCCAGGATAAGTTTGAGGCACTCAAGAGCGGTGGCACGGGGCAAGCGTTCTTGATTGCTCTTGAGATAGCGGGCAGCCTCCGTACCAGCCTGGGTGTCATTGTACAGGGCATACCTGCGACACAAGACAAGCAGAGGAGAGTTGTCCTGTCCTTGGTGAAGTCTTAGGAAGGCAGCTTGAACGTCAGCGTTATCATGACCTAGAGTCGCCGCCTCTCGAAGTTTGCGTGATGCTTTCTGATAACAGAAGTCAGCAGGGTCTGGGCACCACCAAACCAAGTACTAGTAGCTTCGTACCTCCAACTGTCCAGCATTTGCCAGATCAACAGCCTCCTTTGCCAATCTTGAGGCTCGTTCCTCATCAATATCCCGTGTCATTCTGTTGACAGCAGCCATAAGAGAAGAATATGTTGAGCTTGGAGTTGAGGCAAGAATTAATGGTTCTATGCGGCTTGCATGGTTCTGGACTTGACAGAGAGCCATGGTCAGCACCAGAAGTGACTGCAAAGTAATTGAAACCTTCACCTTTTCTGAGAGAAAGATAGATATCTCCCACAAGACTGCTACTCACTTATATTCATCTGACATTGCTACGTTGCGCAAGTGACAACTGCGCCCGATAACTCCGAGACGACGAGGCTGTGGAGGGATGCTGTCAAACACGTGGGGACGTAATTTTGATTCACTGGATCACTAAATTCAACCGACATCGGCAGGTGCTTCCCGGCTCGAATTAGAATAATCTAAGTTACGTCTACACTCACCTAGGTCTATCGTGCTTGCATTTGGCCATGCTGTGCCACTATTATACGTTACTCTGAGCATCACGCGGCCTGTCAGCCTCTAAGAGTATACTAGTAGTTATAAATTGATCCGCCCACGGGCCCGCGGGCTTCAGGGCGCGGGGCAACGGGCACCCACAATACCTCTCCATGAACACACTGCCAAGCTTCTGTGGTAACTACTAATTTACCGGGAAAAGGGCTCTGAAAATGACGCGGTATTACAGAGTACTCCATAGTCCTTAGGGATTTTGCAGACACTTTATTATTTTGAGGAGTGTAAATGACCATAATTTAGCCATAATTTGACCATCATTTTCTTCAAAATAACGTCCGAAATAACATAATTTTATTAGATTCCAGATATTTAGCTGCATTATTCTGTATAAATTAGATCATATCACGGTTAGGCTGAAACTAAACCACATTGATGGTAATTTACGCATAGTTTTCAGAGGGCCTTCTGCTAAGTAGTAAAAGATTCAACTGGGATATTGATCATGACTGGCAGGCCACCGACTTGTCCGAAGCCATACTCTGGTAGCTATCTCGACTTTTGAGAGGTAAATTCCATCATCACTTACACCCACGAGTCCTCTTGGATTAACGAATACTTCCGTGAGCTAGACCTTCCATACCTCTCATTATGAATGCTGTCGATGGCTCACAGCATTATGAACAGCCCTCGAGTGGTGAGTCTTTCTGGTTGGCAGCATTTCTGGTGAGGTTGTCTAAATTGTATCAGAACAAAATCCATCTCTACTAACCATCATTTTGGACACAAATCCCGTAGCATGGTCATTGTTGTCTGGCACACTTTCTCTATCCAAAGCTGTTGCAAGTCTTCTGGTTTTCATTAATGCCCACCTAGCATGCAACTATACCAACAAAGTTGCCGTTGTTGCAAGCCACTGCGATACCGCACAATGGCTGTATCCCACTTCAGCCCAGCAGCATCTTCAGAACGCTAGACAAGCGAAACGGCGCCTGGATGACAGTGGTCTAGTTGCCAATGATCAGCTTTCAGAGCCAACCAAGCGCTTTAGAATCAATGGTCCGAAAGATGATTCAACCAACGGAATCAAGCTGAAGTTCAACATCGATCAACGCAAACCCATTGCAAATAGCGATAAGTATAGACCCTTTCGTGTGGTAGAAGAGGAGCTTCTGGACAACTTATCCAAGCTTCTCTCCACTACTGGTCCCTCTGGGATCTCGTCAAACACATCCACGATGGTAGCGGGTGCTCTGACCCTTGCTTTAAGTTATATCAATCGCCAGAATAGTGCCTTTGCTGAGTCAAGTGGAGGTGCTACGAATACTGCCGACTCCGCTCCTCCGAACGCTTCTTCGCGTGCTGCGGAAACCAATGACAAGAATCTGCTTCACTCAAGGATCCTAATCATCTCGGTGAGCCCTGCACACGACCTCGCACATCAGTACATTCCAATCATGAACTCCATCTTTGCTTGTCAAAGACTCTCTATCCCTATCGATATATGCCAGATTCCAACACCAAACGCTCCTTCCAGCTCGACAGTGTTTCTACAGCAGGCTTCTGATGCGACAAAGGGCGTTTACATACCCCTCAGCAACGCTACCTCCGGAGGACTCCTGCAATATCTAATGATGGCCTTCTTGCCCACTCAGGCGTCCCGCATTCATCTTGTACTGCCCACCCGCGTGGATGTAGACTTTAGAGCGGCCTGCTTCTGCCATCGAAGAGTGGTTGATATTGGGTTCGTCTGCAGCATCTGTCTCAGTATCTTCTGCAACCCACCTGAGAATGGAGATTGCTTGACCTGTGGCACTCATCTTGAACTGGGAGACTATGGTGGGCGACCTATGGTAGTACCTCGGCAGAAGAAGAGAAAAAAACCGCGATCAACTTTGGACCCAAGCCGTGTTTCGACACCTACACCTGGCCCAGCATGAACCATACAATGCTGCAGTGGAAACAGATGCACAAAATCCTGCAGATAAGAAAGATCTCGAGTAGCTCGGAATGAAGTCTTAAGTGACAAGACATTAGTTGTCAATCGGAGAACATCACCCAGAGTCTCCCTCACATGGACATTGACGGCCGTTTCGCAAAGTGCTGCGTCGGATCGCCGGATGTTTTCGGTCCCACCCGACTTGTCAAGTCTGTCCGAGGTAGCAGAGCTTGATTTTACTCTCTTGAGGCCCCGTCGGGAACCCTCGGAAACCAAACTGCTCCCCCAAGTATGGTGATGCTCAACTTCTCCATAGTCTCACAGTCTTCATCTATTGTCAGTGGTCAGGTTACAGGCCTCATCCACGCTCTTAGCGAGATCTTCGAACCTCAACTATATAGAGCCATAGAGCTGCAGAATCTACTTTGTGTAGCTGAAAAGGAATTAATGAAAATGGGACACGGTCAATTCCCATAACCCATGAAGACCTGTCACCTGACTGTTGTCTTTGTTGACTTCTGTAGATATGTAAGGGAATCAATGACAGTATACTCAACGGATGGAAACTAGAGCGTCTGAAGGATCCTATCAATCCGCACGCTGGTTAACACTTTGAAACCTCCAATATGTATGATATATTACCGGTGCGAATCGTTCCTAAGTTGTTGGATCAGTCGAATGAAAGCTATGACGCCCGCCTCTATGGACTAAGTAAGTTATAGAACCAGTATTCGCCAATAGATCTATAAGACGGTACGTACGATATCTTTCATACTACTAGTTTGGCTCATACGATCGGTGCGTGCTATGGCAAAGGCAAACCTTGAATATCCACTACTCGATAGCGAATTCAACTTCACAATCCTACGAAGAAGCTTACCGAGGAGCGAAGGATTGCCATATTTATTTGGATCAGAGCAGTTTTGGGCGCTATTGCTCCTTTGGTGGAGCCGTGGGTACGGGCATAATGGTACAAGAACATATATTACGTTGGTGGCACTGCTAGATAGGGTTTTCCCGTACAGAACCAATGGTTTGTACGGTTATGCTTTCGTAGCGGATGCGGTTATACAGCTGGGTATCCTCAATGTGTATAAAATTTAGGTCTGTAGTTGCAGTAAGTGCCAAAAGCAGGCATAACGATGAGACCTAATCTCTACTTGGAACTTAATGAAGCTTAAAGGTTTATCCCAGATAAGAAATGCCTATAATATTAGCGATGATGGTGCGTTAATGCAAGCTAGCTTCTCTTGATAGGGTTGGTGTTAGCGCAGATCAACAATGTTTGGTGCACGACTCCGTATTGCCAGCTCCCAGCTCCATTGTCACTCACCCACCACTCACCCAGCCATCGGTCCTAGCAGGTGATACGTGGACGAGCGTTGCAGGATGCTGCCCTGTACCTATGTGATGGCTTGTTATTGGTGTCCTGTATGGGCATTTAGCCGTCAAGGCTGGACCGTAATAGGTTTAGCCAGAGCACCTGGCATCAATCAATCGGAGGTGGGACAAACTCAGTGCCAGGGCTGAGTTGTGGAGACGGTGCTAGTCTACGATGAACGAGGCTGTGGATGCGCTGTTAGGAACAAGGCTGTGGGTGAGCTGTTGGATGTTTTACAGTCCACAATTCCAGTCCACAATTCGAGTTCACTCTTTGCTATCTTGTGATTTTCTTGTTCTGATCAGGTAAGGAATCACCAACTCATGAATTAGCTAGAGATACCTGGGTCAGTCTACCATATATGGCTAATCCAGCCAGACGCCTGGACGGCGCTCACCCCGCCGCTGGGACTCTGGGCCGCGTCGCGGAAGACGGCAACTCAAGTCCCACTCGCTCCAAGGCGGTCGGTCTCCTCCCTTTTGGCACCACATCAAACGACCGCCTGTTGTTCAACTCGGATCACGACAGAGACTCTGAAGCAAGCAGTTCTCCACGGTATTCCTTTGAGCATCAAAATTTCGACAACGTTTCTGGGCATTCAGCAGCCTCCGAGATCGACCTTTCACTGCAAGAGCCGGGACAGCATACTTACTTGAATCCACATGGAGAGACTACCAATCGCCAGGATGAACCATCCCATGAAGATGCTCCTCCACCAAGCTCAGAATCACCACCTCGCTCTAGGTCGCACCAGCAGGAGTTTTTCGGCAATGAAGGAGGACGGTTGCAAGCGCATCAAATCCTGGAGGGTTCTTCTGGGACTCCACCGCCAGAGTGAAACGAGTAGCCAAAACCCTTACGCTGCGAGGGATTGTTCTTGGCTTCCACTGACACTACGATTGCCGTTCGTGCTCTGTCTATCTGTCCTGACTTTCGGTCTCGCCGCATTGGTCTTTGCACTGACGATCTCTTCAGTGCGAAACAACGGCCTAGGCGATGAGGGTTCTTCTGCCATACTATTTTTTGGCTGGAGATTCTCTCCTACACTAGTCGCCGTCATATATAGCTTGCTTCTCACCAGTCTTCTGCTCGACATTCGAAGAACCGAACCCTATTCGAGGCTATCTCGCTAGAAAGGAGCTTCCGGGCTGGCCTCTATTCTCTTTTCATTTGATCAATTTTGGTGGGCGGACCTGGTGGCAGCTCTACCCAGAGAGCTTAATGGCGGAAAGACGAGTTGGCCCTACCTCTTAGCCGCATTAGGTAACGTGCTTGGCTTTCTCGTCATTGTGCCGCTTTCTTCTGCACTCATGGAGCCGGCTCCCATTCCAATCTCCAAGGTGACAAGCTTCAGCCAACTCGACTTCCAGCCACGACCACGGGGTCCGATGGTGGATGACAATACATACTTTCGAGTCACTTCAAGTTTTCTGCTAGGAGTTTCAACGTCGGCTTGGGTGACAGAAAAATACGTTATTGCGCCTTTCTGGCCTTCGAATCTCGAAGACACACCATTTGGACCTACGCTTGCAAGTCAGCCACAGGACTGGCGTGGCTTGACGACGGCATTCCAAGCAGAGTTGGTTTGTGAACCTCTTTCACTCGATACAGTCCGTAATGTTTCTCGACCATACACTTATTATATAGATGACAAGCCGTACCACTCGCAAGCCAACTTTCCTGGGGTCAGGCTCAAATCGCCCGGTGATTGTATCGTGGAATATGATGGAGGCAACATTCATCAATCCGGGACCTCCGTGAATTCTTCTCTTGCTGGTGGTGGGGGCTGGTGGGCCAACTTGAGTGACATCATTCCTGAAAACACCTGGAAAGATGGAGAAATTACGTCGCTAACTAACTCAACATATGAGCCACGTTCTGGGTCTGGCTGCGGACCGAGACAGTATCATCATGATACAGAGTCCGCTAGTGTGGAGTACGGCCAGCGATTTCTCGGTACGCGCGGAAGCCTGCAGATCGGAGTTTTACTCCGCCAATGTGACTGCTTCAGTGTATAACTCTGCACCCTCGTCTGAAGTATTGTTTGATGAAACAGCTTTTCGACAAGATCGACAGTCATTCAGTTTGGAAGATCTTGGTATTCCAGATTTTCAAACATCTTTTCTATCATCGAATTGGAACGAAAAGATGCGTTCCCCAGACCAAACCAATTTCTTCCTGCCTGCTGCCGGTCCACTAGCATTGCTTGCTGCTCGCTACAAAACGGATGCCGAAAAGTTGAGAGCCAGTTCTAGCCTAGTGCGCGATGCTCAGCAGCTTCACCACCGTTTCTTCGCAGAACGAGTCCAGAGCGTCATGAAAAACCTCAGTACCAGTTCTTCCAGGTTCGAGGGCCTAGAGACTAGGGTATATTCCCGCATCAGAATCAATCCTGCTATCGGCATCGCTATCAGCACGTTGCTGCTGTCAATTATGGTTGCAATGCCAATCATATTTATCCATTCAAGACTGACCAGGCGTCCCTTGGACCTGTATCGTGACCCTGGATCCGCCGGCTCGGTTGCTTCGATAATCGCTTCAAAGAGTCTAGAAACCAGAAAGGTGTTTGAAAGTGCCGACAGAAGATCTGCCAACTGGTTGAATTTGGAATTGAAGTTCAAAAGATTTGCGCTTGATAGGAGCCAGCTTGTCCTTCTTGAAGATGGCACGAACTCTTTGCATGGTTTGTAATCCTCTGGACCCCGTTTGAGTTTCATTGTTTTCCCTGTGTGCGGAATGCTCATGGCGCGCGCTTTCCTGTCTTCATGCACATAGTCAACTAATATGTGGGATCCCCGCAGGCCGAAGAACGACAGCCTGGCCGAAGAGAACGAAAGTATGGGTGGAAAAGATGAAAGCATGTCTAAGAAAGAAAACAAGGCTGAAAACCCCTGAAGTCAAAGACTGGCGTCCATTGGCGGTCAAAGGATGGGGATTGATTTCTCTTTCCTTCTCAATCGCCGCGGTTTTAGCTCTGATGATTGCGTTGAATCGCGTGTCAAGCAGTCATGGGCTGTACAGAGAAGCCTTTGTACAACCTTGGAAAATCTCTATTGGAACGCAACACAGCTTCTCGCTGGCACCCTACTCTATCATTCCTACAGTGATCGCAGTTGCAATCAAGCTTTGGTGGGGAGCTTTGGAGATGGTGTTAAAACGACTTCAACCATATATCTCGATGACGGCAAAGCCTAGACCTCCGTTCCAGGGGCTCACACTCTCCTATATTGCCTCGCCTCTCATATATTCGGCTGGAAAGGCGGCGAAGAACCGACACTGGATGCTTGCCCTAATCTGTACAGGTGCGGCCTTTACAGAAATCTGTAGGCGTCCCCCCAAACGCATCTCATTCTCCTAGCCGCACGCCTCACTAGCTCAAGAGTAATAACTTTTGTGCTGCTCTAGTCACTGTCGGGATGTCAGCCTTGTGCCACGAAAATCCTCGTCGTGTTTCGCGCGTTGAAAATGCTACTAGAGCCTATGAGCTCCGGACGGTACCGCAGTACTATTCATACCGCGGAAAGCCAAGGGGTGCCCGCATGTCGTACCCTGCTGAGGTACAGGTCATCAAGCATGTCTATGGGAATCTTCTGACGAATTGGATTGTAAGTAGCCCACACCATGAAACCCTTTCGGAACGTCTTACGAAGGCAGTATGGCGCAACACTTCAGCTTACACTGAACGATCTTAAGCCTATTTGGACGGCCGAAGATTGGAGCTTTGTGCCTGTCAATCTTACTGAGTTTTCAGGAGTTGATGAGAGTACCAAGTCTGAGGGCGGAATATCCGATCAATCGCCTCTCTCCGGGCCTCTCCACAATATCACACTTGACACGCCCGCCCTACGCGCACGATTGCAGTGTTCCCCGTATACTGAGATACTTAACCAATCAAACTGGCTCATAAGACATGATCTGACCAATACCTCTGAGTGGAACCCAACCGACCACCCAGGGGGACCAAAGGTTGGGTACGAGCTCACAGATTCCGGTTTCCGGGCCGGGTCCACCTACTTGAGGCTGGCGGATGATAATTATTTTGCGACTTTCTATGCTCGCGGAAACCAATTGACTTGCTGCGCAAATCAGACAAGCGATGGACCAGGAAGAGCGGCAGTTGGGTATTGGTCTAAGCTGGGGACGCGGTCCGCGAGCACTCCTACGAGCAATATCTCAGTAATGTGGCTAGTGGGATACCCTATTGAAGGACTATACCAAAGAACGAGCAAAGCTACTGGGAGCACTTCCTCGCATTGGATCTGGTCAGAGCCGCCAAAGCTTACCGGCATCAACTGCCTTCCACTTGTGGAGAGTGCAGACGCAGAGGTCACGATCGATCCCGTTACCAGCATTGTCCAGTCTCACAACATTACCGGAGAACCGAGGAATTTCACAGCAGCGTGGCAGGATAAATACATTACACACAATAGGTCTACTGGGACTGATGCTGGACCCCCACCGGAGTCAATTGATTACATTCCGCAGGGAAACACAACAGTAAGGTGAGTGAGGAACTAGTAATGAACCCCTGACATCGCTAAGATCACACACTCCCAGCTTTGGGTGGGTTTTCCTTGACGCCTTGATGGGCTCTGCCACCGTCTCGTCCAACATACCTGACCCAACCATCGGCTTTCGCGGCGCCGAAGACCTCTCCGACCGGACCTTCAACTTCCGCATGAAAGGCTATAACCTCGACTTCATGTCCTACTCGATGCTCAACCAAGCCCAAAACAACGTGGACGTCCTCTCTGACCCGTCCAATCTTGCCCGCCTCGCCAGCAATGCCTTCTCCGTCTTCTTCCAGCATTTCGTGGCGGCGAACGTGTCCGACGCGAGCGCCAGCGGGGGTTGGGCCTTTCAGAAAATTGGCGCCAGACTTCCCGCCGACCTGGGCTGTTCGGTAGGCTACCTAGACGACCCAGAATGCCGAGATTCGCCGGCCCCGCCACCGGACCAGAACACGAATCGCACCGCGAGGTTACAGGTGGATCGTCGTGTGCGGAGCATCGAGTTCGGCGAGGTTGCGGTGTGGCTATGTGTATCGATCCTGGCGTTTCTGGGCGGCGCCACGATGCTTGTGTTTTGGCTGTCGCGAGCGCATTTCAAGAATCTTCCTCGGGATGTGGATATTGTTGCGAGTGTGCTCGGCTTTGTGTATGAAAGCTGGGGGCTTCTGAAGTGGGTGAGGGGCGGGGGTTTGGAGGGTGCTAAGGACCGCGGCCCTTTGGTTCAAATGGGCCCGTTCACAGGAGCGGACGGGACGGAGCGTTGGGGGATTGAGATCGTTGGTTCTGGGGCTGAAACAGGTGCCGATGAAGGGGTTCACCAGGGAGGAGGAGAACAGGAGGAGATTCAGCACGGCGATCCGGACGAGGAGCACGTAGAAGATTATGGGCAAGCAGAAGAACAGGCTGGTGCTGCATTTCCTCTTATGACTATCCACCCACTCACACCAGCACCGCCATGACCATGATGCAGGTAGCTAATTGACTATGAAGTACTAATCAGTTATCGAGTTAGATGTCTTGCTCGAGCGCGATTAATGTGAGATCGTCTCGAATGATATGAGTTTATGTCAGGCTCAACAATGAGAGGTCATTTACGAGGATGAGCTGGCCATATTCTTCCGGTGGCCCCCGCAGAGCAGCGATGCCATGGCAGTCATCTCAAACCGGGACTCACCGTCGCAGATAGTCTCTTCTCTAAAATATCTTCGTACAGCTCTCCCAGATAAATCGCCTCTTGCTGTGGATCTAGAACCCTCCGTCAGGCTGACGTGTCTAGCGAAATGACAGTGAGCCATAATCACAGCTTGCAGATCTCGTAGTGATATCAGCCAAGGCACTGCCATTATTGATGGGACCACAGTAGGAATAAAACCTTGCCGCGAGATGGCGGCGAATCACCCGACTCCGTCAGGGATGCTAGTAGTCAGAAAGGGATATTAGACAAAGTCTCTATTGTTGATAAAGTATTTTAATCATGTCTTGTACTTAAAAGGGCGTTTTAGAATCCACCTTTTCTGTCGTAAACTTTGACATTTTCCTAATTGGTTGTTGCAAACGCGATGGCGGATGAGAGCTTATAATTAGCAGGTAAACGCGCGGCTTACTGGATCGTGCTTTAATTAGTGTCGCAGTAGAAAAATACGTCTATACCTCTAAGCCGAAGGTGATCTAGCAAACATCTTCAACGGGTTTAAGGCTGTAACCGGCGCCTGTCATCCGTTGAGACTAATTTAGACACTTGCGGCATCGAGTTTCAGCCACCAATGAGAAAAATGTCTTTGCTAGAAAGGTGGATATGTCAAAGATGTTAGAAGTATGCCATGAAGCAGTGCAGATTAGATTAGTAAGCAAGAGAAAGTAGATGGAATGGATTGATTGACTTGCTATCTCAACTCCTGAGGAGTAGGATGACCGCTATATATACGCATAGAAGAGGCAAGCTATAGAATCACCTAGAAGGAGATCATAAACCAGCGTTGCAATGCTAACTGCAGCATTTTGTGAGTGTATGCGTTTCTGAGTAATAGCGCGTGGCGAACAGTTGCGGTGGTCGGAGAACTCCGTCTTCCGCTGACAAAAGAAGGGTCATAACAGAAACTCGATACCGATTTTTTTATATTGATATCTATTTAGGAAACAACAGTGACATTGATCATACAAATAACGGTGGCAAAGAACCCTTTAGGAACGCTACATACAGCCAGTCCACGTGGCTCTGGAGATGAGGGCAGTGGACTTACGGGGTCAATTATAATACAGCATCGAATAGTTGTAGTCAACCAACCTGGCTGCTCGTTCATAGACGTTTTCCAAGTAGTCAGCCTCAGCTCAGGGAGTCAAAGTACAGGTTTACCAAGGGCGAATTCAAGAACGCTCAAGAACGCTGCCAGCCTTGTCGCCAGTTACTGCCACTAGGCCGCTCGTGCTTGTTGCTGCCTGGCACTACGTAATAGGCTAATTAGGGCAACTGAAGCTACTCAAGCCGCCGAAGAAAGGTCTCCGCCAACCTAACTTTGGAGTTCATAAGTAATGACCGTCAGGCGCCCACCTCTGAGGATCAGAGCTGTCGATACATATGAAATGCTTGCCCACGCTAGCGGAGACTCGTCGACGGCACCGAGTAAGGTGTCACCATCTTCCCAGCTACAGAATTCTCCACCAGGAACCTTGTGGGCTGGCCTCTGCACCTTCAATGACCATCATTTGCGGCAAATGACGAATACTCGTGCCGCGAACCGCCACCCTGACAAGGAGTAACTCTCTACTCCGGCTGCTTGAACCACGGATCCTGCAACAATTCCCTTGCAGTTTTTCTGTCTTCGGGTCTCCACTGCAACATCTTCCTCAAGAACCGAATGAATATTGCCCGGTTTTCCCCACCCAGGTTTTCTTCCTCGTCTTCAAGTGAGCCCATAGGAATCTTGGTCTTGGCGATGAAGTTCCCTGGGTATAGAAGTCAGTGCTTTCCGTACGCCAAGCCGAATCCACTTTTCGTGCATGCAGAAGGGGAATGAGAGGGCTGGATGGTGGAGCTGACCTCTGTCATCAAAGTATCGCCCTGACTTGGATCCACGTTTCAGAAGATCTGGAGGTGGTGGGCCAAGTAGTGCCACCATTCGTGCCAGATGTGCCGCCTCTGATTCCTCTCTATTGGGAAGCCTTTCTGTGAATAGGCGCTTGCCTTCGAAAAGATCCCAGATCTGGATAGATATTAGCAATGATGCAAGCAAGAAAGCTATTCTCGTTGAGGCGGAACGGTGACTTGCCATCACCCCAACACTCCAGATATCTATTTTCTCGTTCCATGGAATTCCCAGAACTATCTCTGGCGCGCGATAGAGATCTGGCATGACCTCTCCAACGTATTCGTTTTCGCCGTAATGCGCATCGCCAGAGTCACACAGTATGAGAGGTCCAGTATCATCAGGAATGTCAAGTTCCCTCGAAGCGTAGATGACATAGTCACCATCGAACTTCCGTGCGCTAGGCTCCTCCCATTCCTCATCTTCAAAATCCCGCAAAACTGAGTCGTTCTTGAGTCCTAACATTAGATTGCCTCCTTGGATGTCTGGTCTCATCCCGTAAGCATGCATCCAGTGAAGAAGAGAGATGTACGGCCTGTTGTCATCACATACCGGTGTGAACGACATGCGCTTCAGCATGAAGAAACTCAAGCGCGAGAAGAAGATAATGGACCATGGCTTTCAACATTGACCCCGGTATTTTCCCGCCAAACATTTCCTGAATCTGGGACGCAGTCAAGCCAAGAGGGTCGTGAATAAGACACTGATGAGGTCCCTTCTTTCCCAGCACTTGGAACGTCTCGCGCATCGTGCGGACCAGAATTGAACCGGATTTCCTCTTAGACCAATGGCTGATGTGATTCATGACATTGAACTCGTTTCTGGCTTGGCGATGGGCAGATACATACGCCTTCAGTGTAACGTCTTCATGATTTCTAAGGACCATACCTGGTTAGCTTTCAACAAGTTTGAAGGAAGCATATAGCAATACGAACATGAGATCTCGACAGAGCCAGGCTGTGGACACAGACCCATACCCAAGCTTTCCAATCACTTGATATTTTGATTGCAGGATATCACCAATATTGACGGGACAAAACGTGTCTGAGGTGTACCAGGAGAAAGACTGCTCCTCGAGCAGCACTTCCTCCCCTACAATTTCGAAACCTGAAGTAGGGGGCTGTCTTGCAGGTGATGGAGCTCTTCCTTTCTCCATAACACATAACGTATTCTACCAGACGGGACAGAACGAGTGACAAATCCTATGTGAGCGATAATCACGTACTATGGACAATAATTTTAGTGCATTAAGTTGAGAAAGTGGACGCGCTGAAAAGCCAGGACGTCAATACGAGAAAGCGGGATATTCTTCGTCCAGCTACTCCAGACTCTTTTAAATCCCGCTATTTGGAGCATTTTGATAACGATCAGTGAGTGTATGAAGCGCTTCGACGTCTTTCCTCGTAATGGGATACTGGTATGTTTCACATCTTGCATGTGCAGAAACTGTCAGTGCAACATACCTTGGAGGACGCTGTGGAGATGTACGGCTGAGGGGTTGATTCTGAGGAACGGCTTCTGGAATAGAGCAGAGGAACACGATTTTCTATCTATTTAAAGTTGAGAGCATAGATATGTATAGAATTTGCTGTACGGTGTAGCGATATCTGCTCCGAATTGCACTCAAGATAGATCAATCAACTCGCAGGCCATAGCAGGGATTAAACGTAGAAAAGCTGGCCAATTGGCGCTTGCCAGTTTGGATCTTTTAGGGCTCATCCCGGGAAATATAACAGGCTAATACCTCGTTACACTATGCATTACGCCAAGGACAAACATAACGTTATTTACCAAGTAAGCCCAACGCTATATAACACATGTGCAGCACATCCAGTGATTACCTGCAAGAAAGGAGAGCTCTTTGGAAAGAAAACTTCTGTCTGCTTGACTAATCCCAAGGCTTCCTTCTCTGCTCGCACCACTTGGAAAAGATTCGGTTCCGAACCAACCCACAAAAAGACGATCATCACATCCCAGAATGTCCTTCCCAGTAACCACCCTCTCCCTCCTCCGCACAGCGGTCGGCCTCTCCTCTCTCATCCTCCCAGCTCAAACATCCCGCCTTTTTTACATACCTCCCTCGGATTCGAGCATTCTCGCTCGCCTCTTCGGTTCCCGCGATCTCGTCCTCGGACTTTACCTCTATCTTTCTCGAACCGACGACTCGAAGACCCGGCGCACAGCGCTGCTACTCGGCATGACGGTGGATGCTATTGACGTATTGAGTACAGTGGCGTGTGTGCTGCAGGGCGAGTTGGGGTGGGAGGCTGCAACGGCGGCGGGGGGGGGGGCGATCGCGGCCATTGGGCTTGGATGGTGGGGGCTTAGTAAGTAGGTAGTGTAAAAAGGGGGACCCGCGGAGTGAGAATGGACGGATGAAATTTGTTCCGTGCACAGAGTTGGTCATGTCCCACTCGTTACGAGTATGATCACTTTTCCGGCGCAATTACTCTCTGCCACCTGAATCCTCGGACATACCCACAGCTCACGCCACACATCCCAATCATTTTCCTCTGTTCCTTTCTTTGTCTCTTTTCGTCTCAAGGGTGGAAAGGCGCCACTTAGGGATTGCAAGATGCGCTCAAGGTGGAAAGGCTCAAGGCTCGGGGTGGAAAGGTCCCAGTTTGACCCACATTGTCACGTTTTCTTCCCTAAGGCCTGCTCTCCCCATTCCGTGGAGAATATGATTGTTCAGCCGTTGCATGAAGCAGTCAACACCTGTAGAATGGATGAGAAGCATAGCGAAAAGCCCCGTCAAGTGTCATCGCAATCCACTGTCTGTCCGTTTTACTGTTCGATTCGAAGCGTATGGCGAATTGACTCAACGCTTGCACTCTATAAATACGAGTTCCCACCACTTAGTAAGTATTTGCCATAGCTGCTGGATCACATGATCATTTCTTGTCGGCAACAAAAGGCAACAATTTGGGATTTTTCTGCAATGCAATCTGAAATGAGTTATGTCACAGCTAAGATGAGTACGGCTGGCTTTCAGTTCACAGTAAGGAACGAGTATCGTGAGACCCGATCCTCAGTGTTTGGCTCAAACTACGTGCAATGGTATTGAGCAAATTGATTGATTGAGTAGGGTATGGAGCTGAGAGAAGTTGCAAGAGAGCAACAGAAGCTAATCTACGGACGCCAAGCGTAGCAGGCACGTGACACTTCGGAACGAGATTGTTGTGCCTTCGCCTAAAATAGCAGCATGAACCATTGCAAGTACTTTGTAAGTGTCTTAATACGCGTCAAAGCTGGGCTAGCATGCTCTTGAGGGTGTCAGCTCCCAGGCTGCATATCAAATGATGCTTCATGCAGATTGCGGAAGTCGACGGGATGGTGCCTACATGTCTTGGATAAAGTGATGATAATTGTGGCTAATGATAAGGGAACATGTTGTTGGTATGCCAAACACCGAACACAATGCGATGGGAGGCCGAAGCGATCCACCTGTTTCAAGAGATCAAATCCATAGCGAGAGACAAAGGAAACCCGTGTGAAGACACCGCGAGAGACGATTTGATCATTTTACGCCGACAGCCTTTCTTCTCTCTATCGCACAGACGATTCTTCAATCATGTCATGCATATGTTTTCATCCTCTCATTGAGACAATTTGATGTCATGATGGTGGAGAGTCCATGTCCATAGAATCTTCCGGTACTTGCTTGTGGCCGCCAACGCCACCATAGTTGTGGATGTCAAAGTCATTATCAGCAAGGCTGTTGCCAACCGAACCGTTACTATTTGAAGCATTGGCAGCAGCGTCGCTTTTGGTGCTGACACTTGCAACAGAGATCTTGCAAGCATGGCTGCTTCCGCCATAATTCCCCTCCTAAGGACACCACATCAGCTTTACAGACGATCTGATCCAGTACCTTGACGTGCCTTGAACACCCTATGCCGCTTCACTTTGGAAAGCACTTCAGTTCCTATGTCGCCATTGATGGTTGATATGGTCTTTCGATGACACGGTCTACGGTACTACGTCAGATGTGGTTGACGCGCAGACTGCTTTTGATGAGCTGATCCAGCCAAGCACTTTGGTGCAGATGCCAGCTCAAGAAAATACTCGATAAGCAGCGTCGAATATAGCTTACCACGGGACATCTTATGCGTGAGACATTTGGACCTTCGGATGGTGTGGAATCCCGAGAAGTATATGGCTTTATCGATCAGCCTACGTGGAAATCGGCGTATACTCGAATGCATGAGCAAGGTCAGAAATAATGGCAAGGAAAGTATGTACCAGTAAGAGGTATTACTCGAAAATCCCGCATGAAGGCCACGAGATGCGTTGGCGAAGATGCAGGCCATACCTTGATGATGTATGCTGAAGATAAGATATCGGATAAGGTGTCTGGAATGGGATCAGAGAACGATTGTTCGTAGAGTAAAGGTTGTGCGGAGCAGAATAAGAATAAAGTCTACGACCAGGGAAGAGGGTGAATTGATTTAGGTATCTAGTAGACACGCTAGGCCCAAAATGACTCCCTCCTTTTTGAAATGTCTTCTCTCACGTATTGATCTTTCAATTTCAGTTCAAGACTCTTTATTATGTCTGTAGCATCGTGATGATTCGAATTCATTTTTGAGATGGTCGTGTATTGCGATACGCTCAGTTCCAAATTAGGTATAGTGGTGAAGTTTTCTTGAATTTACTTCACCACTATACCTAATTCAGATAGCTCTCTTTTCGACGCCGACATCCTTTTGTGGTTAGTAGGTCTCGGTCGATAATCGAAAATCATGTGACTGATCATTTTAGCAAAGCAAATCAAACCCCACAGTGGGGTTGCCGATCCACGTGTAACTAGCATCTCGTGTTAGAGACACGCTTTCGGTGGCAAGGGAGCATCTTGTAAGGTTCAAGGCGAAGATATCGTCGGCCGATAGATATCCCAGAAAAAGACCTTGCTCACCTCCAAGTCCATCTCCAACGGAATGATGAACTGTCTGGGCTTCAGAGACCACAGCCTATCTCCTCGCCGTGACTCAAGAACATCGCCCAACAGAGACTCGCACCCAGCCAGATATTTAAGTAGGAGTCGTCCAACGTCGTCAATGCAATTCGATCTAAGTTGCTGGCCTTGAAATCACCATGGACAAATTGTGGCGATTGAAGAAATATGGACGTTTCGTTGTCTGTCATCACTATCTAGAACGTACCCAAAGCGGAACCTCGACCCTTTCTGATCATGACTGTTTTCATTTATATGAAGAGAATGAATCGACATGAAATAAACGAAAGCGCAAGGAGCGTACAATATGAGAAAGGTTGAATCTGCAATCGCTCCAGTAGTCCGTTTCACAAACCAGAAAGAATCTTCGCACTCAATCGACGTGGCCTACCATCAATGCCGCACCATTCTATGAAGTCGAATAGTTGATGCATTGAGAAAGCCGAAGCCATTATATGACGGCTCTTTTCAACGCTGGCCGCCACCATTTCCAGTGCCGTTGTTGTTCCGATGTGCGCCCTATAAGAATCAGTTAGCTTCAACCTGGACTCAAGCGGACATTGGTGCTTACATGAAGCTCAACATAGGGCCCCACTATTGCGGACTCCAATAATCCATTTCTACCATGGGTCGAACTTCTGATGGTGCCAACATGGAATTTGACGACCATACCAACAGGAATTAAGTCGAGATTTTTTGCCGTGACAGTGTCGTTGGTCAATTGGCTTTTGGTGGGAAGGTCAGACCAGCATCATGGAGTAGAATTGTAGACGAGGTTCTTACATGGAGACGGCTCGAGCTGAAGGCATCTTGATTACCAGGGCTGAACTCACGATCCTGCTTATCTTGGGTGAGTCTTTTTGTGTCTTGTTGATGACGAGTCTGAACCTTGATAGGAACGGATGGTAGAACGAAAAATAGTGGTAGCTGAAGGAGGTTTTGAATCCGAATGTCCACTCAAGGAAGATACTTTGCAACGTCGAGGTGTTCGGTCGAATGTTATTGAAGTATGATGGGAAACATGGATAATTCAAATGGATGAGGTGAACAGCATGAAAAGCCGTAAGTCAACTGGAATGCTGCGACATGAAGAGGGATTAAAGACATCTCAGATCCAGGGGAAAAAAGCATCTTATATAGTTGAAAGCACAATCTGTAATGTTGAAGATTCCCCGGATGCCATCGCCTTGCACTACACCTAATCAACCAGATAACTGATTCAACCGCTAACTCAGTACCGCAATGCGGCTCCGCGAATTCCCGCTAAAATTTAGCGAATGCCTTCTGGTTCGCAAAAGATTTTCGCGGATGCCTTCTGGTTCGCAAACCGCGATGGGACACCCAGGACCCAGGTTGCCTACTACGTATGCCGCAAATTTGCCACACTCTAAGTAATATAGGGTTTGGATAAATGTACTACGTGTTGAATTGCTGCCAAGCCACTAGCCTAGTAGTCGTCACATGACCTATGGCTATGCCGGAACAGGCATAGCGCCACCAGCCACCAGAGTAAGATTGCACTTGAACTTCAGACAGGATTGGATACAACTTCTATACAAGTTACTAGATCAACCAATCGATCGAGTGCAGACATCCATAGATAGCAGAAGCAGTTTTAGCGTTACTTTCAACACTACGTAGTATACTGTAGTATGATTCGATTAGATTATATTAAAAGTGCGCTTGTCACTAACTTTGGATTTCGGTGGATTTTTGTCATTCAGTGGGCTCAATAAAAGGTAGACGAACGCGGCTATATAACTAATTACAAAATATGTAGAATTTACGATAGTTTGTAGGATGAGAAGTCAGGAAACTATCTTCGTTTCGACCTGGTATGATGTGTCTTGCAGGCCAATACACAAACTAGTGCCAGTGCGTGCTGTCACAAAGCGCATCTCCCCGTACCTGCTAATGTACCCCACTCGGGTCTGATGTCGCATTATCTGTCACTACGTAGACCCCTACTCGCCCACTGCCACTGCCGAAGCAAATTTACGGCGTCAAACACAACTAGCAATGCATGCTTCAAGATAGTACTACAGGGGCTTGAAGTACTGTTGTTTCAGCGCTAGTTATCTATAGTTAAGCGAGAACGTTATTTATACAAAACAGCTAAGCCCATCTTAGACGAAAGATAAATTTTCGACTTCTCTGAATGGTCATGCTTAAATCAAGCTTTGCAGTAACAAGTAACAAGAACTGGCCGCTACTAGCACCAGCCTAACAATGCTTCAGGCCCCTGTAGTATGTTTGATTCGATTGCTCACTTTAGCTTGATGTGTGGACCTATACTACGTAGACCAGTGACCAGCCCCGGAACACTGACTAGCCCCGGAACACTGACTAGCCCCGGAACACTGACCAGCCCCGGAACACTGACCAGCGGCTGACTAGTGACCAGCGGCCGACCAGTGCGAGGCCGCGCCTGTTCTCCGTATACGATCTGCCTACGTAGTAAGCCTTTGCTTGGCGTTAAGGAACGGCGCCGCATCATCTGTGCTACGCCCAGCTCTATTTGGGTTGGTGACTGCAGACTCTCGTCTACGTCTTGCACAGTCAACACCTATGGTACTGCACAGCCCACGATGCCCGTTCCAGAGAATAGGCGTACAGATAAGCAAATCTTAGGTATGTCACTCGCCTGCCGCCCCCTTCACTTTCATCAAGTTTTCAGGATTTAATGCCTGACACCATTTCCTCGATACTTTGCCAATCTGCCACCCTGCGCAATACTTCCGAAACCGTTGCTCCTACTCATTACACAAGACGGTTTGCGATCACCACTCTGCATACTAGCCACAGCGAAGCTATCCGTATTGTGCGCAAAATAGAGCATGATACCGTGTCTTGTCTTCTTCACAGCCAGGATACCAATCGCACCAGGGCAATGACTATTCTTGACCCCTGGATGGCCCATGAATTCTTTGTCGATGACACTATAAATTGCCTCATCTTCCGTGCAGCTCTGTAGTCCACCGCCTCGTGCTTTGCGAACACTGGAGTATATTCGATCTGCACAAGTAGCAGCTGCGAGTGTGGTGGCCATGTGCTCGCCAGTGCCGCTGGTGACAGTGGCGATGGAGGTCTCATCTGGGTCTTCGGCGTCAGAAGGAATGACGGCAGTACCGATGCCGACAAGAGCCGCCGGTCCACATCTGCCACGGTGCTTCATACCAATGCCCCCAGAAGAAGAGCCGGCAGCAATGTTGCCGAAGCAATCGACTGCAATTGCTCCAACAGTATCCACGACATGATCTTCATTGTGCTTGGATGGCTGCAAGTCAGATGTAGGCTGAATAGCAAGTGACATATCCAGCTTTGACGAGTCGAGTTCCGCTAGTCTCCCAAGAGGTGACTGCGCATTGTCGAATGAACCGTCCTTGCTGAGCCGTCGTCTCTTCGAAGCCCAGGGGTGATTGTCATCTGTGGCAATATCGTAGGCTGCTGTTGCCCTATTGCCGTCAATGTTTGGATGACGCTCCAATTCTACCCTTCTGATTGGATCTGACAGAGAAGGACCTGGTACGCCAAGATATCTAGCATGGTTTTTTGTATGGGCATCAAAATAGGTGTCAGGAATGTCCGCTGTGGAAGCTACCAGCGGCCGACTTGGAGATTTTATGTGTGGAGTTTCAGCCGCGCTCTGGATGGATGCAGGTGAGACAGGCGTACTAACCTGCGATGACGAGATGATAGGCGCGTGGTTTGTGAACCTCTGGTCGGGGAATTTGCCGAGTGCAGACTTTTGTTTGTCCTGTTCGTCAGCCAAATCTAAGTCCCTTTTCCATTTGTTCCATCGTTCTTTTGCTGCTCTCGATACCATGTGATCATTGAAGACTGTGAGCAGGCCTTTCTCATTGGCATAGTCAATTGCACCTTGACCAACAAGTAGGTTCGGCGGTACACGCTGAAGTGAAAGAGGGCGAGTGGATTCCTCCAGGATCAGCCGAGCGAGCCCAATAGGATTCTTCACCACTGAGAAATGTCAGAATATTATGGGAGGGGAAGAAAGAAGAGACACGTACTTGAGACTGCGCCCGCTGCTCCACTTCGACCATAATGATCTACCACTGATGCATCGCACTCTACTGTGCCGTCCATGCAAAGATTGCTGCCATACCCAGCATTGGTGATCTCCCGGTCCTCAAAGACTTTAATGGCCATTTCCACAGCGTCCAAGGCACTGCCTCCGTTCTTCAACAGTGCCATGGACACGCTGGCAGCACTAGATTTATGTCAGTACTGAATGTTTGCTCACACGATATTTTGATAATGTTAAAGGAGTATTGATCACGGCTTACGTACTCTGCGCAGGCCATCAAATGGTGCTTCTCGTTTGCATAGCTGTGAAAGCCCGCTCCGGCATGGACATAGATGGCACAAACATCACCACCTTCGCGATGACGCCGAAAAGGCATTGATGATAGCAAAGCAATGGCAGAAGCCTGGTGGATTTCTCGATCGGTTTGGGTGTTTCGTGGACTAAGATTAGACTTTGCCTTTCAATGAGGGCCAGAACACCGGTGAAAGTGAGTCCAAAGCAAGGCAACTTTTCACTTTACACTCAAGGAAAGTAGACAGTGCTCTGCGTTCAAAGGTTCAATAAAGTCCCTGTAACGGGATGGCTGAGATACTGCACGACGTCCGTAATGTACCTGTTACGGCGATACTGTAGTTTTCTGGCAAGGTCCAATATGCACAAGGCAGCCTTCGGAGTATTGGAGGACTCCAGTGTTGCGGAACGAGACAATGAAGAAGTGTATCGATGATACGAGAACATGTATTTAGAAAGTGATAGAAGGTAGGAATGCGCTGCTATGGTTGAACAAAGCCATATGAGAAACGAGTGGAATGCGATCGCAGAGGTAGAAGACCGTGGATACGAACTGTCACTGTGCTGCTGATGCTGATATTGATGCAGACGGAATGAAGATGAAAACCCTCGTCATGAAGAGCTTTAAGGATAGGACACGAGTTGCGGAAATAGAGCATTAATTCACATTTTTGAGATGGCAATTACGGTCTGTCTTATCATGCAGTAACCTGCACAGCTGCTCTTGCCTTCTCAGCATCAATTTTCACATTTTCTTCACTGTTGGAACTGTTGCTGAAGCAGATTGCGCTCAAAAAGAGCATGCACAGTTCATCCCCAAGTCTGCATCACGTGTGCCCATAGTCCCTCGCCTTCAACGCCAAGATTTGAGGGGTGCTGCACGAATATTGCCGTACTCGCAGCTGCGACATAACCGCACTTCGGTCTATATGGGGCATATTTGGTTTTTTTATGCCTCCTATTGACCAATTTTCCTTGTATACTAGTCATTAGAGGCCTCCAGTCCTGTCACACAGCTCTTCTGCAGCAAGAGCAATTCGACGCATTTTCTCTTAGGCCCCACCATTTGGTGGGTGCGCCTGTTCAAGCAAGATGGCTTCGCAAACGCCCGCCGTTGTCATGGACAAGTATGTAGCCCACCGATTCCTCATCGCATACTAAGCTTCAGCTGACGGTATACACAGTGGTACAGGTTTTTCAAAGCTTGGTAAGGACGCTCGGCCAAACCGAGTCGAACTCAGTAGCTTATGCCAACCCAGGGTTCGCCGGCAATGACTCTCCTTCTTTCGTCTTCCCTACTGCTATTGCGACCAAAGGGTCCGCTGCAGGAGGCAGTGGATCAGGATCAGGCAGACCCGCTGTCGCCAACAAACCCTCATTCCTCACAGGTGGCGCTGGACCAGGATCGCAACTATCGGGCAAGCGAGGGACAGAAGACCTGGACTTCTATATTGGAGATGAGGCGTTAGCGGCAGGAGCCGGGCCTGGATACGGCATACACTATCCAGTCAGACATGGGCAGGTTGAGAACTGGGATCACATGGAGAGATTCTGGTCCAATTCCATATTCAAATATTTACGGGTCGAGCCTGAAGACCATTACTTTCTTCTCACGGAACCGGTATGTACCCATGCTGACCAGGCTGTCATGTTGACTCACTGTGCTGTAGCCACTGAATCCTCCAGAAAACCGAGAAAACACAGCCGAGATCATGTTCGAGTCCTTCAATTGCGCCGGTCTCTACATTGCGGTACAGGCAGTCCTTGCCCTTGCAGCCTCGTGGACATCGGCGAGGGTCTCAGACCGATCATTAACGGGAACAGTCATTGATTCTGGCGACGGAGTTACACATGTCATTCCAGTTGCAGAAGGCTATGTAATTGGATCATCGATAAAGAGCATACCAATCGCGGGACGTGATATAACATATTTTGTCCAAAGCCTCTTGAGAGACCGAGGCGAGGCAGACAGCAGCTTGAAAACCGCCGAAAGAGTGAAGGAAGAATACTGCTACGTATGCCCAGATATAGTGAAGGAGTTTGCACGATTCGACAAAGAGCCTGATCGATTCCTGAAGCATACCGTCACTCAACCGAACGGAAGGACGGTGCAAATAGACGTTGGCTACGAACGATTCCTCGCTCCGGAAATCTTCTTCAACCCTGAGATCTACTCTTCTGATTTCCTTACACCTCTACCAAATGTAGTTGACGGAGTCATCCAGTCATCCCCTATTGATGTCCGACGAGGCTTGTACAAGAATATCGTGCTGTCAGGCGGCTCAACATTATACCAGGCCTTTGGTCGGCGGTTACAACGAGACATCCGACACCTCGTTGAGGCGAGGATACGGGCATCAGAAGCGAGAAGTGGTGGAGCGAGGAGTGGTGGTTTGGATGTGCAGGTGGTGACTCACAAAAGGCAAAGACATGGTCCGTGGTTTGGAGGCAGTCTGCTCGGTCAGACACCAGAGTTTCGAAGTTATTGTCATACCAAGGCGGAGTATGATGAGTTTGGGCCCAGCATTGTGAGGAGGTTTGCCTTGCTTGGTGGGCCTGGGAGTACGTGATAGACGAAAATAGATCCCCAAACCGAGAGAACAGAGATGCCAATCAAAACGAGTCTGATCACTCACAAACATCAATTAGATAATGTACAAAGGTCTGACCCCAGACCTATACCTTTTGCACCTCCACCCTATTCAAAAACCCCACCCCCTCCACATGCCCCGTCTGCGGAAAGAAATCAAAACCCCTCAAACTCTCAATCTCGTACCTCACCTTCCCATTCCCCTGCACCAAGACCCCCACATCCCTTGCCTGACTATGCACGTTACAACTCACATACACCACCCGTTTCGGCCCAAATCCAAGCAGCTGCTTCAGAAAGTCCGGCGAGCAACCTTTCCGCGGCGGGTCGATGACCACGACCGTCTCTGCGGGCGGGAAGGGCACACCTGCAAACAGGGCAGAGGCGTCGGCTTCAATGAAGCCGATATTGGAGAGATTGTTGTCCGTTGCGTTAGCGCGGGCGGCGGTGATGGCCGTTGCGTCAATGTCGACCCCGAGCGTTGACTTGAAGAGTGACGAGAGGGTGACGGCGAAGAGTCCCGATCCGCAGTAGGCGTCTAGCAGGTATTTGACGGCGGGCTCACCCAGTTTCGGTGCGGGCGGTAGGGCGTGGCCGCGGACGTAGGCGGTGAATTTGCTGAGGATGGAGTTGTTGTTTTGGAAGAAGGCGCCGGCGCGGCTGGTGAATTTCCAGTCGTCGATGTATTCGACGCTGTTTTCATTCATGTCAGAGATGTAGGTCTTTTCTTCGATGTAGGTGGGGAATTCTTTGTGGATTACTGGACGGCCGGTTTCGGGGTCGGTGGTGATGGGTGCGGATTTTGCGGCGCTGCTGAGGTGCTCGGTGTCGCCTTTGATGGCGTAGGGGGCGGAGGTGGTTTTGGGGGTGCGTTGGGTGGATTCGCGGACGAGAATCGTAGCACCCTGTTTGTATTTATGGATGTTGGCGGCGACTTTGGCGCGTTCGCGGATGAGACCTTCGCGGACGATGGGGCTGCCGATGGGACAGTCTTCGATCTCCATCACTTTCTTCCGGCCTTTCATGGTAAAGCCGATTGAGGGAACTTCGGTGAATTTCCTTTGACCTTTCGGTCCTTTGGGTCCGTCGAAGTGTGGTGTCAACTTTGTACGGTAATTGTACTCGAGGGGAGAACCGTAGGTGTCACTGATTGGAGGCACGAGGGAAGGATCGAGGCCGGAGAAGTTCTTATATGCTTTCTCAAGGATACTTTTCTTATGAGCGAGCTGGTCATCATAGGACAGCATTTGCAGCTGGCAGCCGGAGCACGTCGAGAAGTACTTGCACCCGATTCCCCCATCATTCCGTTTTGCGGATGGATTGATGACTTTGATAAAGTCTGTCCTAGCATATGGTCTGAATTTGTGGTGCTCTATCACTCTTGCTAGAACTCTGTCACCCGGCACGGTGAAAGGGACAATGTACACAAGCTGGCCAGAGGGCGACAGAGCCAGACCGTCACCCGTTGAAGATAGCTCCACGATGTCCAGCTCGATCTCTGAAAAACGTTCCGGCACCTCTACATCAGTACCATTGATCTCTTGCGCACTGACATCGCCATTCACTGAGTCAGAGCCACTGGCGTCTTTTGCGGCCTTGTCTAGCAAAGCTTGAACTTCAAAGTGGAGGACTTCCTCGTTCGAGCCTTCTCTTAGCTGAGGACTGACATGCCCTATCTTCAATCTTTTTCGGTCTGCGATAGCTTGTCGCTGTTTCATATTTGCTATCTGTAAAGCATTATAAACGTGCTGCCCCTGAACTGGGCTTGATGAGAGAGAATGTAAGAACTTTTTTGCGAAGACACTTGCAAGATCATTGGTGACGAGGCGATGGCGGCAACAACGGGAAAGCAGCATGAGACAACAAAGACTTCACTTTTACCGTACCAATGAAAATTTCTTGATCGCTCAGCCAGTACTCATCAATGGCATAATAGGAGGCATAATAACAGAAATCCTGTCTTGAAGGGAGAAAACCATGGTCACGTGGACCCCTATCGATAAGAGTCTTGGCCAGTGCCAAGTAAAGATCTTCGCAAGATTCAGTTTAACACCACGCAGACCCGATATTCAGCGTCAGACCCGGTCTTATTTGAAGGCGAAATAAATCTCACTGCTCATCTCTTATTCTAGCAATGGCAGCGAACCGATCCGACTTCCACGAAGGTGCTCCTGCGAAGCGCCAAAAGACATCTAATGGCAACACAGACCCGCGAAATAATCCCTACCTCCAGCACATGTATCCTGATGAGGGTACGGAGAAGACTAGCAATGGTTATGATACGCCCCCGAGACGAATGAACGGCTTAGCTGGCTCTGGGCCGCTTGCGCGATTTCAACGACATGGGACGACGGCTGCTTTGGCTCGAAGTGCAGAAGATGGCAAGGCGAATCCATTCACAGGACAACCCTTCTCAGAGAGATATTTTTCCATCTTACAGACCAGACGAGACCTCCCCGTTCATTCTCAAAGGTATGGTCATGCGGTCTCCAAATTCACGACAGCACAACTGACTTTGCGCCAGGGATGAATTTCTCCAGATGTATCAGAAGTGCCAAATCCTGGTCTTCGTGGGTGAGACTGGATCTGGGAAGACTACTCAGATTCCTCAGTTCGTTCTCTACGATGACCTGCCCCAGCTGAATCGAAAACTTGTAGCATGTACGCAGCCTCGGAGGGTAGCAGCAATGTCAGTTGCACAACGTGTCGCGCAAGAAATGGATGTGAAGATGGGTGAGGAGGTCGGTTACAGCATTCGGTTTGAGGATATGACGTCCCAGAAAACTATTCTAAAGTACATGACGGATGGAATGTTACTGCGAGAGGCTATGAACGATCACGACCTATCGCGCTACAGTACCATCATACTCGACGAAGCTCACGAAAGGACACTCGCAACAGACATCCTGATGGGCCTTCTCAAGGAGGTTGTGGTTCGTCGGCCGGACTTGAAACTCATCATCATGTCCGCCACATTGGATGCGCAGAAATTCCAGAGGTACTTCAATGATGCACCGTTACTGGCTGTACCTGGCAGAACTCACCCAGTCGAGATATTCTACACTCCTGAACCAGAGAGGGACTACGTAGAGGCAGCTCTTCGAACCGTTCTCCAAATCCATGCTACCGAACCAGAGGGGGATATACTACTATTCTTAACTGGCGAAGAGGAGATTGAGGATGCAGTGCGGAAGATCTCTCTGGAAGCTGATGAGATGGTTCGAGAAGCCGATGCGGGCCCAATGAAAGTCTATCCGCTCTATGGTACACTCCCACCGGCACAACAGCAAAAGATCTTCGAGAAGGCCCCAGGACCTCGGAAAGCTGGAGGACGACCCGGGCGCAAGTGCATTGTTTCCACAAACATTGCCGAAACCTCGCTTACTATCGATGGTATTGTTTATGTGGTAGATCCAGGGTTCTCCAAACAGAAAGTGTACAACCCAAGAATACGAGTTGAGTCACTTCTTGTGTCGCCTATATCAAAAGCTTCTGCCCAACAGAGAGCTGGTCGCGCCGGTCGTACACGGCCCGGAAAGTGCTTTAGACTATACACTGAAGGCGCCTTCAAGAAAGAGCTCATCGAGCAGACATATCCAGAAGTCCTGCGCTCGAATCTATCATCAACAGTGCTAGAATTGAAGAAGCTCGGGATCGACGACCTTGTCCATTTCGATCTGATGGACCCCCCTGCACCAGAAACCCTGATGCGCGCACTGGAAGAGCTGAACTACCTTGCCTGCCTGGATGACGACGGGGAGCTCACTCACCTCGGCCGTCTCGCCTCAGAATTCCCTCTCGACCCGGCCCTGGCCGTAATGCTCATCTCCTCACCAGAATTCTACTGCTCCAACGAGATCCTTAAACATACAGTATTCATTCTCACTGCAGTGAAATGGTATCCATAGAAAATCTGGGGGTGCAAGAAGAGGAGAGCTTCAGCCTTCTGAACGTCTATCACGCCTTCAAAGGCGACGCCGCCCAACAAAACCCGCGCCAATGGTGCCACGACCACTTCTTGAGCCTGCGCGCCCTCCAATCCGCCGACAACGTGCGCCTGCAGCTGAAGAGAATCATGGAGCGCGAAGAGCTCGAGCTGATGTCCACGCCGTTCGACGACAAGAAATACTACGAGAACATCCGGCGCGCGCTGGTGTCGGGATTCTTCATGCAGGTGGCCAAGAAAGAAGCGAACGGGAAGACGTACACGACGGTCAAGGATAATCAGACGGTGCTGCTACATCCGAGCACGGTGCTGGGCCAGGATAGCGAGTGGGTCGTCTATAATGAGTTTGTGTTGACGACGAAGAATTATGTCCGCACGGTTACGGGGGTCCGGGGTGAGTGGTTGTTGGTAAGTCCTCGCCCATTTCATACTGTGCTAGTTCCGTGCTTGCGTATGAGCGATGGGATTAATCTCTGTGGCAGGACATCGCACCGAATTACTATGATATCTCGACGTTCCCCAAGGGTGAGGTCAAGACCGCTCTGATCAGGACGCAGGAACGGATGCAGAGGAGACAAAAGATGAAGGGTGGTAGGTAGCTGGAGTAGCAGGCACTGCTGCAACGGCTGCGTCAGAGCAAGCGAGTCTTCCGTCTCCATGGGGCCACATGACCAGCATAGACAAGATACTAGAATTGCTTTGCACAGGATCTCGGATGTATGACAAGCACAATCACTCACGCAAGGATACCCGGTTGTAGAAGACTCTCGTGCCTCATGTATTCTCTGATTCCTTGAGTCTAACACGTATCTACAGTAACGCCTCCCCCCTCCCCTCCACTCCCAAGTCCAAGCGAAGAATGCCATCCCTCCTTGCCGTGGGCATGTTTTCCGCTTCTTCCGGCCTCGAGCCAGACTCCTGGATCCTGAGTATTCGATATGGCGGGAGAAGTGACGGAGGCTGCAATGTTGTAGGGGTGATGGGAGGTGCCGTCTTCTCTTCTCCGGCCTGTGTGGGTACGGGGGTCGAAGGGGCGGTTGGTGCTTCCGGATGCGTGGCGTGAGGAGGTGCTATCTTCTTCTTCTCTTCTTCCTCCGACTCGGATGAGAGAGGCGCTGGGGTGATCGGTGCTTGGGTATCAGGACTGCGAGCTAGTTTCTGCTGCCGTAGCTCCTGGAGCTGGGAGCCCGTTCGCTTTGCACGAGGTGGGTGGAAGCGAAGTGTGGGTTTGGGTCTGGTAGGTCCGGCTGGAGAGACTTCTGTTTCTTTTTGGAGCGAGGCGAGGGTCTTGGGGACAGTGAATATGGCGGCGGCCTTTTTACTCGTTACATCTCTTGGGGAATTCTTGGATAGGAGCTGGTTTTTTTCTTTTTTCTGTGAAGGCAGCGGCAAGGAGGAAATGTTGTTTGACTCGTTTTGGATGTTCTTGGACCTGCTTGTGGATGAGATTGGACGCCATGCAAGTGAAGGTACTTTCATTGAGGCCGTTATATTAAGTTCTCCTTCCGTCTTGGGAAAGATTTGCGAATCAGGTGCACGAAATGCAATGCCTTGAAAAACCTTTGTGCTCTTTTCCTCGGTTCTTGAGGGATGCTTGTCATGTTCCCTCCCCATCGAAGCGGGGTCCAAGTCCTGTCCAGATCTCAATGCTTCAAGTTGTCGCCTGAGCGAGTCCAGCTGAGTTTGCTGTTGACGACATAATTCTTTCCATGGGGCAGCCTCAGCCTCATCATGAGCGGAATTGGAGGTGGCCGAGCCCTCCTCAGGGTGTGTATCGACATCTACCAAAAGCTCCGACAAGCCTTCTGCAGAGCTCCTGGTGTTGCCGCCCCTTCCTGCTTCCTCCTTATCGTCAACAGGTCGAGCACGGTTAGAGGCATTTTTTTCCTCAGGCCCGAGTTTGCGAATGTGTCCGAGCTTCCGAGCAAACATTCGTGCCTTTTGGACGGATGAGAGAGCTTCAGTCTCACCATTGTAGACCAGCTCATGATAAGATTGCCACTCTCGAAGTATGTCCGCCGATCTTTGTGGCAAAGCAAGACCCAGATCAGCACTATATACCCCTAAGCGACACTGGACCGCTGCGCGTAGTATATCTCGATATAAGCTACGTTTCCCATGGGATGCACAACAGTCCAACATGGCGAATACTATCCGCTGAAGGTGACGAACGCCTTGGCCAGCAAGGATTTCTGCTTGGTCCAATGCCGTTTCCATCCAGGTCTGACCTTTATGCCAATTTTTGTGCACCGAATAATATTTCAAGAAGTTGCGTATGACATGTGAGAGCCACATATTACCAGTACGTGCATAACCCAGCATCGTCGACCACGCTTCAGCCCGATGCGGCTGATTGCACTTTAACGCAGTATAGATCAGGATTTGCAAGATTTGTGGGTCTCTTGATGGAGGAACTGGAATAAGTGTGTGGTTGATAGTTCTCCATTCCCATTGCTCTCCAAATTGAGCCTTTGCGCTATCTGTGGTCAGCTTCTTCAGTAGGCGGTCAAAATAGTGCGACTCTTTGTTCTTGCCATACTGCCATAATAGAATGAAGACTGCATGTCGGTCATACGGAAGTCGAGCCTCTATCATAGTACCATCGATCATAAAGCCCAATTCATCGAATCGCGCCTGAGAGAGAGCGCTAAGCAAAGGGATGTATCCACGGACAGTAGGCGATTCGGGCGAGGATAATACTTTTGCTGCGAATTGCTCTACCAACTGCGCCACACTTATCTCGCCGCGCCTTAACTGCCCTGCCAGGTCGCAAATGTCTTGATCAAGTTTGCATGTGTCTCTCCTCGTAAGGATCTGATATGCTCTCCAAGATGAACGTAGATCCTCCGAGTTCATCAACCTCAAGCTATTTCTGACCCGCTTCAGATGTCGAATTAGTTCGTTGGCATTTTGAGGCAAATGACCTGGTTCATAGACATAGTCGGCGCTGTTACAGATATAACGCGGACTCTTGCCGATGTGTATATGCAGAATCATCCTGATGGCAAGCTTGATAGCAACCAGTCTTTGTAGACGCTTGCATTTATCGATACTCTTTTGGACCAGATTAGACTCATTGAGCCCCTCTGAGAACTCGTGGCCTGGCCCACCGTCGTGGCTTTGAGCAATTGGTGTACTAAGAAGGTCTTGCTGGTCAGGTCCAAGCGTAGACGAGTAATCAACAGCTTCAATCGAGTCTTCTTCGTCTGTCACTGTGAGACGGATTGCTGACGCAGAGCTGTAACTACGACTGAGCGCAGGAAGCCTTCTCAGATTTCTTCTTGTGCTGCTATAAGGTTTGACCTCGTTTCGACGCATCTCCTCGACCTCTGCCTGCGCTGCAGCGATCTTCTCGTCCCATTGTCTTCGCCGCTTATCCTTCGCCTTCGCATCCGCAACAAAGGCGCCGCCGAGAACAGGGCCGAGGAGTAGAGTGAAGGCATCGCCCGCATTGAGTTGTTTTCGGAATATCCCAGTTGTAGTTCGACGAGACAACGTGCTAGGGATTTGGGTGCTACAAGGGATGCAACGAGTGTTCTGTGGCCGTATTGACCGAGACCATACTGTTTGCATCGATGAAGAAGGGCCTCATAAGTTTTGCTCCGAGCTTGATTGCGGGTTGGATGGATTTCATGCCACGCAATGACCTTCAATTGAGAGGATGCTACGCGTACTAACTAACTAGTAACCAGATGGCTGAATGCCAAGCTCACTGTACATGTAATTACAAGCTATGGCACCGATAATTTACGAGCTTGACTTGTTACACAGTTTTGATGAGCGTCATCGGCAAAGACGGAGTATTAGAGTGATATAGCCTTTCATAAGTAATGGCTACCTGGTGCCAATCACTGAGCATAAGAACTGTCAATGATTATGAGGTATTAGCTGGTGCTCGCGGAGACATTTGGCGGCACCGAGTATCTCTAACTATTTTACACTTACTGTATCAGTACAGATTCAAACGCTCAAATTGTAAGTGGCTTGTCTTCGATCTATTAATTTCCAATGCCTAGCTGTCAGACATCAGCTGGTTTACCGTCCTTTTAGTCTAACATCAGCAATGCTATACGTGATCAGTTGCATGTCCTGTTGGTCCGTGGGATGCATCTGGCCAAAGATGTGAGTAATGGGAGGATGATAATGTCAGAGATCCAGAGAACACTCACAATCGGTCGTTACGAATGCCCGATCGACTTCATCAAGACCTGCAACAATATTAGAGCCCAGGCGCCGGCGAGAAGGGGTCTCTTACCTTCGCAGCAATACTGCAAAGTTTCCGCAATGTCATGCGCCGATGCTAATGGCATTTTCTCTGGTAGAAGTATGTCGTACTCAACCCACGCTTTATCTCCCGCATGATAAGCTGTGATAGACTTGATTCCGTCTACCACAGGTGCGAAACGATAAGCAAGGAAGGTGAACTTTTGCTGGATTGCTTTTGACACTGCTGATCCGGAAAGTCGAGTAACATTTTCGAAGGACGTCGCAGTCCAATCGTAGATAATGAAGAGAGAAAGTATAGCAGCGCCCACTATGACATACAATCGATCAGTTCTTGCATAGAAGCAATCGTTAGGCCATAAGAAATCGCACCTGGATCCAGCCACCATACGTTGAGCCTGTGACCGAGCAGTGGGAATAGAAGAGAAAGAGTGTTGAAAACAACATCCGTCTTACAATCTACAAAATATCAGTTATTGACAGATACTGCCCAGACATTCACTGCCCAGACATTCGGAATGATCTCACCTTGAGCTAGGGCCTGCACCTGCGTGGTCTTGATTCGAATGCATCCAAACCATATAATACCTTTCACAATCACTGTTCCACCCATTGCGCCAACGGCTATCAGAGGCAGCGCAGCAGCCTTTTTCTCGCCACCTGGCAGCAATTTCTCCACGGACTCCTGAAGGACTTGCACGAATGCAATCACCATGATGACGGAGAAGACAAGGATACCAATCGGTTCGAGTCGTCGACGCCCAACAGGAAACTGTCGACTGAGACGACTGATTTGCCATTGGACGAGCCTGTTCGTGGTCCACACGATCACTGTGCAAAGCAAGTCTAACGCCGAGTCGATCAGGGATGCGATGAGAGATAGTGAGGAAGAATAGGATGCAGCCATGCACTTGGCAGCCAGAAGAAGTATGTTCGCAATGACATTGACCTGTTGCGTTACGATTATTAGAATTGCTAGACCCGTTTAGATGTGGCGATCGACCAACATTTATCGCCCATTTTGCATGCTTTTCGCCTTGAAGACGTTCTTCTCTGGCCTCTTTTGGTAGTAGTTCTTGAAGACGTCCCCCGACCCCCTGAAGAGCACCATCTTGCTCCGGAATGCCATCGCGGTCACGATCTGGATTCATGCTCTCAAGGATGTCTTCGGCCATAGTCATGACAAGGGTATCCACCTCGAGCCAGGCATCTAAACGTTCGTTCTGGCTTTTGTAAAAGTTTCGGACTCTCTTACTCTTGATGCCCTTCAGGTCCTCATCGCTCTTGCGGTACTTTTCTAATTGCATACGGTCAACGCCTTCAGTCAGCTGGTTTTTGATCTTCTTCCTCTGATTTTGAGCAGTAACCATATCGACAACATCCCTGAATCTGGCAAACTTTGGTTTTTGCAGACCGTGTTCAATATCTCCGTTAGGGGGCGAATCGGGTTTGAAGACATTGGTGAGAGATCTCTTTCCAACCATTCTCGCTATGTAGGAACCGAGATAAGTCGAGAATAAACCAGAACATAGAAGCATGTTATATTAAATATCAAATCAGGAAACAGACATGACGACATTACTCTGACCCAGTTTACCTTGGCCAAAAGCTTCATTTTGAGCCGCAAGCTCCCTCTAGTGCCCTGATGGGTTCAGCTCTGCCTGAGGTAAGTCTAGAATTGTGCCTGATTGCTACTATAAGCTGAATTGGCATCAATATATTGCGCGTAGAATGAAATCGTGTAAGGTGCGCCGGAATCCAATGATGTCTTACTTTGTAGTAGTAGTCTTCTAGATCTAGGTGCGCTGCCTCTTCAGGCTTAGCTCCTCCAGGTCAGGCAGCCCGTCTCGAGCCGCTTGACTAATCATGAATAACCATTTACCATACCGTCCCACGCACTATACTTCGTAATGGTCTCCATTACTAAAAGTTGTGGCCCTGCCGAAATTCCTCTCTTACCGAATTCCATTTCTCAGGGGCTCGGATCCGCTGTATGCAAAATAAGCATTGGAGTTATAAATCCTTTCACATCTAACGAAGTTGCTTTCTTGTAGATAAAAGCCGTCCTTTGCGATGATATTGTCCACAGTCAGTGCCGCTTGCAGCTTGAAAATTGACACCTGCACTGAACTTATGCATCATGGTTGCTGCTCGTCAGCGTGGACATGGGGTAATATATGGACGGCAGTCCTGCGTAGGATCGTGAACGTTCAATCTGCGAACACTAGGACGGTTTTCTTTGCAGAAGGCCGAAGAGAAGGAGGGGGGAATTTGTGGTTTGTGAATGTGGTGAATGTTGATGTTGGGGCAGATATACAGTACCCAGTCAAAAGTATTGGCGCATATCGTGTTTTACGCGTAAAGTGGTTTCTTTGAAATATTTATTGCTTGATCAAAACAGCTCATAACTACTTGAGATTTTATATATAGATAGAGATTTGATAGTTAAAACTTTTTTTCATATATTATTTTATTACTAGTGTGCTTGATCAAGACTTAACTCGTGATTAAGTTGTTATATTTCATTTTTAATAATTTTTAGGTAACAACTCTATCAAAAAAATTCCTCAAAATTTTCAAGTCTGCTTTGTCTCTTATCTCTCTCTTCCACATAGTATTAAGATAAAAGTTTTTATATATAATTCATTTTCTAATATTTTATAACAACTTAAAAACACTTTTTAGATAGTTTATTACCTAGGAAAAGTAGTTAGCTTAAATTGAAAAGTACGTTTTTTGGTGCAAAAGTGGGGTGTTGAGCCAATACTTTTGACCTAGTACTGTACAGGCCCGGCGACAAAAATGGCGGCATGAAGTTACACGACCGGGGAGATGCAACCGGTGTCCGAAGCGGCGGCAAAGGCCGCCTAAAACAGCGTCCAACGGCCGGAACCTAGAGTTGAGAGGTAGCCAATCTCCATTCGTTCCAAAGTGGTAAATGAAATCTCTCGGCTTCCTGATACGGCTAGCTGCCGTTACTAGCTGTTAATTATCTTCTGCGACAATACTCAGTATTTTGGACCTCAGGTCCAAAGACTGTTTCACACGGAGACACAGCTTTAGGATCCTCGGGATGCATGGACTTACGAAGAGCAGTTCTGCTCTCTTTGTAAATGTCTCTGCAAAGGAGATACATCACCGTCGACGAAGAACTTGGGAAGAAAGATGACGATCATCGAGAGGGGAGGCGGTCGGCAATGTCCAGCCCAACTACAACAAACTTTACATGGCGAGGACCACGACGAAAAAGAATTTTGCTGGCCATAGCGGTCTTCTCCATCCTATACATCTTCTTCAAGAACCTTCCTAAAGATGCTGCTACGGCAACACGCCGTCAAGGGCTCAAGTCCCCCACTGTAGGATCCTCAAGACAGGCGCCGTCAGCCCCCAAAGGCCCACCTCCTCGGTCTGACAGCTCTGTGGACGAGCGACGCTATTTCGAGGGCCCTATCAAATACTACCGCCTTTCAGCTTCCTTTGGTGCCGGGCTCGGACCCGTTCATGACAATCGAAATGTACTGTTTGTGGTGTCGAACCTCAAGAGCGCATCAAGGATATTGCCATTGGCATGTGACATGTCGAAGCAGAACAAGAACAGAATACACTTGATGTTGACGGGAAGGGATGATATTGCAATAGAGGATATTCAGAAAATCAATGGCGTTACCGAAGCCGACTGCTCCATCAGGTGGCATGATGGAAGGCCAGACTTCTCTGTCTACTCCACGGACTATCGAATGGAAGTGAGTGTTCGAGCTAGCCTGGGTCACATCACTTCTGTCATGAAACCAAGAGTGGTATTGGTGGATAGTCCGGAGCGAGAAGACACATTCTTCACTACAGGAATAAAGGATAAAACAAGGGACTTGGGCCTGCCATTGATCGAGCTACCAGTCAATGCTGCTGAACAGCTACAATGGATATCCAAGCTTGACGGAAGCTCTTTGAAAGCTTGGAACGAGATAAATATCGAGATACTCATCCATTCCCCACCAGAGTCTTCTGGCTCACTCATTCGACTGCTGAGATCGTTGGAAAGTGCAGACTACTTTGGCTTTCCCCACCCGCGACTTACGATCGAGTTGCCAAACAATATGGATCCCCCCACTTCGCAATTCCTATCCAGCTTCCGCTGGCCTCCTTGGTCCCACCGCGGAAACAGCAAATTGACTCTCCGTCATAGACTGCTGTCCAATCACTTGGACGCCACCCAAGCCTCAATCCGTCAACTCGAATCCTTCTATCCATCTAACGTACCCCAATCCAACGTCCTCGTCCTCTCACCTCAGGTGGAGCTCTCTCCTCTGTATTTCCACTACCTTGTGTACACTCTTCTCGACTACAAACATTCAAACACCGCGCTACATACCTCGGAAGGCATTATGGGCATTTCCCTCGAAAGACCCTTTACCACCCTCAGCGGCAAAGATTCCCTCTCCATACCCGAAGAAGCATCAAGCAAACCTCTATTCCGCTATCAAGCTCCAAACAGCAACGCTGCGCTCTACTTCGGCGACAAATGGGTAGAGTTGCATTCGTTCCTCTCCAATCGTTTCGCAGTCGACAAAGACCTCCACAAAGACAGCGATGCCGCATACCCCATCTCACAGGCATACCCTTCGTGGCTAAACTACGTGCTCGAACTCGCCCGCGCAAGAGGCTACACGATGCTCTATCCAACCCTCTCATCCTTGGAAGCCGCGCTCGCAACAATCCACACCGAGCTCTACCATCCTCCAGAAGAACACAGCGACCACACCACTCCAACCATGGCCGAAACCCCTCCCAGCAAAGAAACCCCCCTCACCGCCTCCTCGGAACCCATCGAGATCACCCACGGCCCCAGATTCGAACCCCCAGTTGCCTCCGGCTCGCTCCTCCACCTCCTAAACCCAAAGCTCTCATCATCTGACTCCGGCGGACCTCTGCCCCAGCTGTCCGACCTCCCCATCCTTTTATATACAGGCGAATACCTCCCTCAAGGCCAGGTCTCACTGAATCAAGCCGCGTTCAGCTACGCGGAGGACTTTTCTCGAGACCGAGGAGGCTGTAACACCGCCGGCAGTAGTGGTGGTGAGGAGGAGTCCGAGAAGAAGAAGAAGCAGCAGACGAGGCCAACGAGAAAGCCTTGGAGCGCGGATGATTTGTTTTGTCTTGAGGAAGGGGAGATGGAGGGGAGCTTAGGGGTGGGGAGGATGCCTCCTTCTACGCAGGAAACGGAGGGCGCGGCTCAAGAAGAGGATGGAGGAGAAGAGCATGCAGGGGGACCTGTGGACGTGGACAAGGATGGATGAGGCTTGATGGGTAAACGGGCAGCAACCGGAGGGAAAGGGCGCGGCTGATGGGGGTTCTGGAAAAGTTCTGGGCCAGGAGCGGGAACCCGTTTCATTACTTTCACATAGGACGTGGAATTTTAGATTTTTTTCCCCTTTCTCTTAATGCAGGTGAAAAACACGTGTTTCTCAGTCATCTGTCTGAAGCTCAGCCTCGCAAAATGAAATATAAGACTTGGGCCCTGAATTCGGGATAGACTCGAAAGAACAAAAATTCGTGTGGAATTCACATGTAAGCCGTTTCTGAGATTTCGTTACTCGCTCTCGCTCACTCCCATTCCCACTCCCACTCTTTCAAGCGGCAGCTGAGCGGGATCGAAAGAGAGAGAGAGAGAGAGAGAGAGAGCGCGCTGATGTTTTTGGAAACTCCGCTGCGCCGTAGCTTGTGTGGATGGCATGACTCTGAACTGCAGAGAAAAGTAAAATATCCCCGCCCATATACGTTGGGACTTCGTAGCTCGGGTCCCTTTCCTTCATTAGATGATCGTCAGAAGACATGGTGCTCATTGGACATGAGCAATCACGTCGTTGGCATGAGATGAGATGCCGTCGTTGGTTCCCGTTTGCGTTTTCTGTCTGAGAACCGGGCAAGGCCTGATAGCCGCAGGTGAGAAGGACGAGGTCAGCGCCGATCCACAACCCCGGAACGCCGTGCGCTTCCACTGCTTCCCTCGTTCGGTTCTCATTTGAAGCCCAAGGAAATAGTCCTTGTGCTCCCAAAACCCCCTTCCTTTGCGCCAACCTCCGTCCTAGAGCTGCGTCGTGTTCGCCCTTTTCAAGTGTTAGGATCTGGCATAAGGTCTATTCATGCAAGCGATCTCGCGACAGACACTCTGCCATTCCATCTCCCGCTTGATACCTCTACTCCTGTCCTTCCCTTCACCTTTTTCGTTGCCTGCCCGTTGAAGCTGAAGATGCTCATCCCACTTTAGGAGCTCATACACAAAACGAAGATGAGGCTGAATGATGACGTTAAGGCGGCGGGCTCGGACGAAGCAGCTTTGAAGATGGATGTTAGAGTGGGACGAAGCGAAGAACTTGGATCTAGACAAGGTCTAGTATGGTGCCGAATGGAGGTCCAGATGTCTGGTTTGGGAGTAGGACCAGGGTTCACTTACTAAGCTCTAGGAAAACTGAGACCCATGCTTGCCATCACTTCGGCGATACAGATGGTAGCAGAACGACTGACGCCAACGCGGCAGTGGACGAGGGTTGCTGTGTTGTCCTTCTTGCCTTGGCCTAGAAACATCAGGTTGGGATGGTTAGCCACTTTACTACGATGTGCCCTTCCGGTTTGGGAGAGAGAGGTAAAGCTCACCAATAAACTCCAAACACCTTTCAAACTCATCCGTCAGCGGATCAATGCCATTGTCCTGGACCTTATCCACCAACACCAGATTTTCTGCTCCCCATCTGTCCTTTTCCTTTTGATCCCACGATACCGGCTCACCAATACTGAGAATCCGGCTAATGCCCATACTACGCAACAACTCCGGGTTATTTGCATGCGTCAAGTTCCCTAAATACATATAAGGTAGGATCCTGCTGGGTAGACTTCCATCCATTTTGCTGAGCCATGTAGGCGGGTCGTCTGATCCCTTCTGCGCTATGAGTCTGCCCCTACGTGCGGGACTTTCAGATAAGATGCGTTCTTGGATGGAAGTGAGCAATGCAACATCACATGGGTACGCGAAGAAGTTACGCTTTCGTTCACAGTGCATCTGAAGCCAGGCGGCGTGAACCGGGACTCCTTCCGCATACATATAGTAGGCTAAGGAGAGAAGGGTGGATTCTGTATAGCCGTCTGCACAGTGGATAAGGACTTTTCGCGGTTCGGGAGGGGCGAAAGATGTCATTTGGATGTCGCCATCCTGATCTTTTGGGGATTGCTGGCGGGTTGAAGTGGATATAGACGTGATGTTGTCTGGGTGAGTGAGATCGTAAATCCAGCGGCACATGCATAGGAGCCCATCGACTTCAGCTGTTGACCATGATGGGGGAAGGATACTTCCGGAGGAAGGGAAGTCGACATGGACAGAGTCTGAAGATTCTAGTTGTTGGAGTCGTGATGATAGACATTCGTCATCAGGAACTTGTGCTTGGTCACCTGTTTCAATAAAAACATCGAAGATATTTCCCGAGTGGTTCTCGGCTACTGAGTTCCAGTCCGGTGTTGGTCCTTGGTAAACGCCTTGAGTGAACTCGGAAGCTTTGGACATCTCGCACATCTCGTCTCGTTCCCATTGCAGGAAGTCCATTGACTGAGCAGTCGGCTTGCCAGCAGAGTCAACTGCGATAAGCTCCGGATGCTCACGTTCCACTTCTTCAAAAGGCGTAGTCAGGACGAACGTGTTAAAATGCTCCAAGCATTGACCACTAGACTCAAGCTCCTTCCTCCATCTCCGTTGAACAATGGACGCCCTTTCCGCCACAGATTTGATGATTCTCTGATCTGTGGTCTGGTCCCCATAGACGATAATGTCGGACACTCTGGCAATCTTCGCCGCCTGGATGTGAAAGTTACGAACCGAAAAGCCTTCTCGCGGATCACATTCCAAGAAACCCTTATCATTGTTATCACATAAAGATAAAATCTCGTCTGGAGCAACAGATCCTTTCAGGCGTGACACGCTTAAGTCTCCCCCTGCTTTCACAATTGTGATTGCTCGAAGACATTTTGGTGTTCTTCGTAGCCATTTCTTCTTGGCAACGAAGAATGCAAGCTGTATCTGATTTTCCGCATGCAACCCATGAAGCCATGGAAATACCTGATGGGGGTCTGGTAGAGGAGTGGTAGAGATTTGTTCTAGAGCCAAGGACAGGGTTTTGGCGCTGATGCCGAAGACTGGAGGGGTATTGAGAAGCTTGGTATGGGAGGTTGCAGGGTGCAGCACCGAACGAGGTTGGGCAGTGGACGACTTTGCTTGGGGAGAATTCGGTGGAGTGATCGTCTGGGAGGACGGAGGAGCTGAACCAGCAGGACAGTAAGGTATGTGTTTGTTCGGCACCGGGGTAGAAGTTCGAGGGATATTCAGAGTGAGGGCAGCACCCAATGGTGGAGGTGTCGGACTTTGTCTTAAAGGGACTTGATGTTGCTGGACGACGACAGTCGCCATCTTCTGATCGGGACAGGCCGAGCTGGCTATATACGAAGAGTATCACACGATCTGACAGCACATTTCCTGTTGCTCCCCTTAAGGTTGGCGGCTCTCGCTTGGTGGGCACGCGATAAAGAACTGTAGACTGGATAATATGAGGCTAGACAAGCTTCACCGACGAGCCCCGGTTATTGAATCGACATGTGTAGAACCCTATGATGGATTGGCTAATTAGGAACCGACGTCGAAGAAGGGACATTATGCCGGTCTTACCTTCGTCTCAAAACGACAATACAAGCATACAGGAAGTTGGGGGCAAGCAGATTGGATAAAGAGGATGAAAGAAGGTAGAGAAGATTCAGAAGAAGTGTGTTTATAAGGGTGCCTTGCTATTAGGGTGCCAGTAACAGGGAATCTGGTGAGAAGAAGAAGAACAGTATTCCACCACAGCAAGAAGCATTCACGGAATGCAGGGTGAGGTTGTTGCGACCCCGCGATTGATTAGGACGACTTGGTCAGAGATTGGCTCGAAGGGACAGTAGTAGGGCCAACGCTGAGTCAAGCCACCACCAGCGAGGTGACAGGGAAGATGTTTGGGAGGTTGGATGCACAAGCGTATGTGGAGCATTGACTGCATACCAATGGGGCCGAACATATTCTTGTACACTGCATGAAGCGAGTGCTCGGCCAGCCTTCCTCGTAGCACAACAGTGCATGGTGGAGGTGGATAATTGGTGGATAACTGACGATCCTTTGATCCAGGTCAAGGCGGGGAAATTCTGAGCTGTAAGCTGTTAAGCTTTGAGGGTTGACGGTTGAAATGGTGAAATGGAGGGGAGCAAAATGTTCGTTTCATGCCCAACCCAGCGAAGCAGATCCGCCATTTTTAGGTATGCCATCTAGCCACTTCCAGGCTAGCCGGGGCTAGTCAAGGCTATACTAAGTAGTACTTGATCGCCACATTCCGTGGCGCGGGAAGGGTTTGCAGGGGACGTGCACCCTCCTGGTCAAGCCCCTAGCTAGCTTAGAGGAGGAGTAGAGAACTGCACTGCGGCTTTCCAGATGCCCCACCATCGCCCCCCAAAAAGACTATCACCTACGACAGACCTCCAGCAGAGGAGGTGGTGTGTTCGTACGAATGTGTCCCGTCCTTCGTACTTTCATAAAGGACCCTCGGCACAGTCGACAGCTTCAAGTATACACGTTCAATCAAGAAACACCGGTCAGATCTAGGTTAAACCCCCCAGGGTATCACTTATACCTGCTCTGTCGATGCACCTCGGTCGAGATAAAATAGTCTCCCCAGAATTGCCTTGATCTTTGAGAACCTTGACTGGATGGATACCAGACTTGCTGAAATTGAGGATCGAATTAGAGTTTCCATCGTTCCGGACCCCGCAAGGGACATCCGCACAATATCCACCATAGCAAGTACAAAGACTTGAGAGACAACTAGATTGAGAGCTGCAGTGCATGCATAACATGGTCAACGACACGTAGAGAAGCGATTCTGACCATCGTCAAGCTACACCCGACTCGGAGCATACCTCTCAGCTTTGGATTGCAACTCGTGGGCGAGCCGAAGCAGGTAGGCATGGGCCAGATCCGGTGGAATGCCGTCGAATGCTCTTGTAATCTTCTCCACATCTCGTCTGCCATTCTCATATGCTTCAAGATCACGGTTGCCGTACACGTCTTTACCAGCTGCGTAACCTTTGGTCAGATTACGGAAGAAAACGTTGACCGCGATCGACACTTTTTGCAGAGGTGCTGCTGTGTGGGCCCACAGTGGAGGAATGAAAAGCACATCTCCAGGTCGCAGTATGACTTCATGTGGGTGTGTGCCAGCGATAGGAACGATGTCATTCGGATCGCCGTCCTTGAATATTTCGAGATTTGACGTTGTTGACCCCGGCGGAAAGTCAAGCTGCACCATATCCGCGGGAGGAAATAGTATCAGTCGCTTTGAACCCTGTATCTGACATAGCATATTAGCCATGATATCCACGTGCAACCACATGGCCACGTCGCCGGTGATCCGTAAAGGTGAACTATGATAGGTATCCGCCGCTAATCGCAGTTCTGGAGGTAATCCAAAATCTTGCGCTATCTCTGGGAAGTCCAGGTCCAGGTTAGCAACCTTTTTGCTTGGATCAGAAGCCGATATCGACCGAAGATATTGATGCCCGCCATTGTAGGCTTCGTCCAGGAAGACGCCAAATGATTTAGTCACGTATGTGAAATCTTTTCGTTGAAAATTCATGCTTCTGCCATCTGCTTCGTGAACTACCACTTGTCTGTCAGTACCAACTTTCCTTGAGAGGTACTCCTTTGTCCAAAGTGTCCTGCAAGGTCCAAAATCCAAACCCTCAAGGATTCTGGGCTGCGACTGCTTGACAAGCCCAAGGAAATCTGCCACTGTTCCGCTAGGTATTCTTTCAACAGCGGTCTGCTGGTCTTGCTGACTCTTAACATGAGACAAACTGTTCTGCAAAGGGGGATCTGTGCTACAATCCACCAAGGCCCAGTCAAGGCAAGCTGGCGCCGTCGATTCATACAGGATGTAGAAACCCGGGTTCCAGTAGGTTCCGAACGAAAAACAGACAGCACCACCACCTACAATAAGAACCTCCGTACCGGCACGGTCAACCACGGAGTTGCCAACCAGCATGGGTTTTGGATCGTTGGACCCTCGTCGCACATCAACCTTAGATACATGCAACTCGAGCTCGTTCCTTGCATCTGCGCCAGTGAAATTGCTTACATCCAGCGACAGGACCTCGTAAGCATTTTGGATACAACCCGATGATGCAATGCCTCCAATCAATAACAGCTGACCTGGAGCAAGACTGTAAGATGCACCGAATCTCCCGAAGAACAACTTAGCACCAGGATCAATCTTCAAAGAACAGGGCGCGAAGGCAATGGCGAGCACGCTTCTATCTCTATAGACGAATGTCCATCTCCATGAATCTTGAAGTACCACACCGTCAGCCCGCATGCCACCAGAAATGACACCAAAGTCATCGCCGAGGGCGACACATATGGTGCCAAATCTTGGCTGCGGGCGACTCCCGAAAACCGGAAGCGTTCTCCACCCCGTTGCTCGATCCCATAGAAGTACATCATGCTCAACTTGATTGGAAGCACTCTTGCCCCCAAAGACGAGAAGTCCAGGGATCGAATTTGGAAGCATGACTGCCGTGGCGCTGTGCCGAAATCGTGGAGTTGGTAAATCCTGTACCGAATCCCACCCTGTTTCCGTTTGCAGGTAACAGTCTTGCATTGCAGCTGATGGGGATGTTCGCCCCCCTATCAAAATTGAGTAGCCGTTGATTAACCTTGTGATCGTATGACACTGTCTTGCAGAAATTCTCTGCGGAGGGAGATGTGCACGGTCCACTCGAGTTTTCGGTAACCCGTAAACGTCTGAAGAAGACGTTCGACCTGTAGATATCATTCCTCCATGGTGTACCCAAGCTGTATTAGTATAGCCAGGTCCGACAGGAAGTCTCAAAAGCGCACCACTCCGACGACGACCTTTCAATTTCGGATTTTCGACGAATTCTAAACCATAAGTGCCTCTTGGTTGATCTGAAGCAGATGCTGTTCTGGTGGAGACGTTAGATCTTGCTTCCTCATCAGCACCACCCGGCTTTTCCTGTAGTACCCGCTTCGTACGGGCTGTCAACAAGAAATAATGCGCCGCGAAAAGAGCAAACTCTTCCCATTCGTCAAACGGTTCGATGCTATCAAGCTGAAGGCGCTGAGAAGGTGCTAGGAAGGATTGATCGCTCCATAACTCCCAAAGATTGACCAAATCCACACGGTCCCATCCAGCATCATGGAATCGCTGAGTTTGCGTGTGCGAATCAGGGTATTTGTGGACTGATCGTAGTGGAGTATGCAGCTTTTGGAAGTGCCCCAGCATTGTTTTGGCAAATGGATGATCCGGGCCGTCAGGCAGACACTGCTCCAGAAGGCCAAATGTTACGTCTATTTCATGTCAGCAGGATTTCACTACCTCAAGGAGCCAGACTTTCCTGCAGACAGTGTCCTCGCCCAAGCGATCAGTGCATCAGCGGCATTCGGATCCATATAGGTCACAGATACCTCCGCTATACACAGGACTGAAGCTTCGTCAATGTTACCAAGAGACCTGATGGCAAGGTCCAGACTCTGAAGGTCTCTCAGATCACAGCCAACGGCATAGTACTGTTCGCTATCCATCACGAAATTTTGCATCGAACCGTGATTTGGCTTAACGAGATCCACGAGAACAGAAGTCTCCTTGATTATGTTTGTTTTCGTGATCATGAGCTCCATATAATCCACGTCCACAAATAGCACATTGCGACAAAGACCTGGCTCTCGAGCAAGCCATTGAAATGGCAGTGGATCACTTCGAGATGATTAGAATCTCACCTAGCAAACATCGCCAATAATAAACCCTTACTCACTAGCCACAACCCAAGTTGATGACCACTTTCCGCTGCGTAGATTGCCGTTGCAGAAACGCTTTCACAACGCTGTCAATTGCTTGCATGCGTAGCCAATATCCTCTATTGATTGTTGGCGACCTTCTCTGAGGCTTGCGAACGAAGTATTGGAAAAAGTGCGGCTTTGGATAATACAGCCTTTCCACACTTCTTTTGGAAACAATGCTGCTGTTGTTGGTGGCCATGATGAGGCCAGCATTTTTCTCCAATTTCATGCCTGGAGCAGAGCTACTTGAGTCTGACGGCAATAAATTTGAGCTTGCCATTGCACTGATCTCATCGTGGTTTGCCATATATCAATGACTTTGTACCGTGACTTGGTGAAAACAACTTCAAGAAATCGAGAGATGCTCAGACTAATTAAGCAGCAAGGAAGAGGTAGTTACCGGATAAACTTCGGATATGACATGTCGGGGTGAATATTCCTCAATTGTCCTGCGAATGAACTCAGGGTGTCTCTAGACATACTGCGCGATGCAAGAATCCGTATGCCAATGCTTAGCAATAGTGCTGTCGTTACTATGCGTGGTCGATTCTCATGGCTACCACCCTAAACCCCAAGACTTGCCCAAAGATCCTGACTGGGCTACTGTGCACATGGCCGGTAAGCATCCCTTCCTGTTGGCGATGACGCTTTTCTCAATCAACTCGTTCTGTAGAAGAACATCATATCGAGAACTTTGACCCTACTTCTTTCTTCGTCCTCCACGACTTCAACTCGGACGGCCATTGGGATGCCCGCGAAGTTCGCCTCTTCTACGGCTTTGACTCTGACCCCAGCCCCGGTTTCGAAACCACCGAGGAGCACAAGGAGCACGCTATTCGCGACGTGTTTGCCCTTTTCGACCCAGACGAGACGGGTACGATTTCCAAAGAGCAATGGATGAAGCACTACTCTGAAGGGAGGCGGTTACCAGACTTCGGACTGGGCCCGGGACATCATGGTGATGACGAGTATGAGTACGAGATTCACCACTTTGAGAAGTTTCATGGAGAGGATACAAAGGAAGAAGATCTGACACATCCGGAGGATATTGCGCACTTTAAGAAACATGATCGGTTGGAGGATGAGCAGGAGAAGTTGGCGGCATTGGAGAAGATGAGTATTGTGGAGGGGAACATTCCCTTGAAATTTAGGAAACAGCAGTGAGCCGAATCCTACATGGTTTAGCATTCGAAATGCATCTAGGCGGCGCACGGTGGGAGATATGCAAACGGACGACATAGCCTGCAACGAGTAAGTCACCCATTTCCCATTACTCCTGGTGATATTGGCTTGGGCTCAATGTGGATGTCGAAGACACAGTGCATAACTCCTGGCGCATAAGTCTTCACTTGCTCGACATGCGAGCATGAAGCTGCTTTCGTGTCTCCGAGTTGTGAACGGAAGTGCAGGAGAACCGATTCCCTTTTCCCCTCTATGTCCCAAATGTCCACGTTTTCATGAACATGAATCCAACCACCTTTCTTCTGGTCTAGCATGTCTATCGCGTCGTTCCACGACATTCTCGAAGTCGGCAGCAGGCCCAGGTTGATATGCCGGACATCCAGCCACGAGCAGCTGTCTCCAGATTCCACCATCCTCCCACTCAGCGCCTTGATCTTCGTCAAAATCTCTCCGGCCCATTGGTTATCTCCCTGAAACACCACCATCCTCAGCTTCGAGTCCTGTCCAAGCTCTGCCACCAATACTTCAAGCGCATCTTGCCCAAACCTTCCCTCTCCATCACGCACCAAGCCCTCGTCACCGACATTTAAAACCCGAACTGCCCACCCGTTCCCTTCACAGCCCCTTCTCAGCCCTTCCACGCTCCACCCATTGACCTCCCAACCAAACACCCTCCCAATTCCCCTCTTCAGGTACGAAAAAGCGAAGTACCCTATCCCCACATACATATCCACCACTGCAATCTCCCTCAAATCCTGCTGCAGCATCCCATCTGCACCATCGAGACCGTCAAATGTCCCTTTACTGAGAATCCGGGCTTTTTCGCTGATATTGCCACGACTGAACATTGTCCATAAAGGAGCCCAGGTCTGGAATATACCACCATTTTGGGTAGTGTGGACCCAGAAAGCAGCGGAGAAATCGGCCTCCAAAGGTTGAGCGGAAGGGTCATTGTCACTGCTCAGTAGACTCCGCGGTCCGAAGTCTCCAGATAGTGGAACTAGACCAGATGGAATTCTAGTGGTGTTTGAGATGCCATGGGGAGTTAAGGAGGAGATTGGCGCGTTGATCGCAATGTGGGTGACACCTTGGTGTTTAAATGCTTCTATGATAAACTTATAGAAGATTTGCAGATCTCCAGAGCTGAGTTGTGAGATAAATGCTGTCCAAGTTGGTGTGGTGGAAAAGATATTAGTAGGGAGAAGCAAGAGTGGTGGATAGAGAGTGTAGCGTTTTGGCATGGAGGATAGTAATGAGCCGAAATCATTGCTGGCCTCTTGTGCGGTATCCTGATTAGAAATATAGTGGTGAAGAAAAGTGTAGAATGCTTTTTGCAGCGGATTGTTGTGTTGAGTGCTTGATTTGACTGGAGGTTGAGCTCTGAAAGTTGGCATCTTTACCGATGCTGCTCATCATTAATTGCAAGACACGACTTTATACCACATCCATCGCATGAATTCTGCTCATTTGGAGTTCCCTTGGTATGTTGAATGGTGGAGAGATATTAAGCATCTGCATAGGTACAAGAGGGGGAATGAATATCCGCTTGCGTTCGAGACTATGACAACTTCCTGGCCGAAGTTCAGCTAGGCACACGTGGGAACCATTGCGGAGGGAGACTTGCGTTCTTTAAGGAAATGAAAGTGGCGGTTTGTGATTTGTAATGGAGGAGCGGTTATTCTTGAGAGGCTCATTTGCTTATCATATGTTAGACAGAATTGGTAGCCGCTGGTCAATCGATTTGATGCTGCCTAAAAGACACTGGACGACAATCTGCGAACGTGGTGTGAGGGAGGTTCAGGACGATTACTAATTAGCAATAAACTTACCGAGTGGGGAAAACACTACCAACACTGCTACCTACTCAACTGGGCAATTGGACATGACTCTTGGTCCTCGTATCGTGCTTGATGATCTCCCAAGTACTCGAAAAGCGATCAAGAGCGTCCACTTAGCTCGACGGCTGACATATCTCGGACCTCCAGTAGTGCAGTCGCTGGGGAGGTAGAGGAGGTAGAGGAGGTAGGTATATCTTGTTATGTCTTGTTTTATATAGAACGACCGGTGGACGCAATTGAGTCTCGACGAAATGAGGATAATCTTTGCCAACCCAAGACTCCTCCAAGCCTTGTACAGATTGCCTTCACATTCTCAACCATACACGGTTCGCCGGAAAATGTCCGTGACGTTAATGGTGTATTTCACAACGCCTCCGCCGCTAAAATAATGATACACAACCGCTCAGTGTAAATTTGCAAATCATCGATCGTCCTGCCAGCTGAATCTTTGCGCGGCTTGCTGTGGTGGCTGCGGCTCAGCACTGATACCCTCCTCTCTAAACCTGCTACCCCTGCTAACGCTCCTCCTGGGCACTGCGGGCTCTCCTCCGCGTGGTTGGGGTAGAGCTAGATGTGACTGACTTGCAGAATTATTCAATTGAGTTGGCTGAATAAGCGGGCTGGGCTCATGAGGACTGAGTGGCTGAGAGCGCGACGCGCCTGTCTCCAGAGCGCAGCTATTTTTTCGAGAATGATTTGTTGGACTCGGCTCATGCGGACTTATGCCGCTGATGCCTGATGACTGTGTGCCTGAACCAAGACCGGTGGGATTGAAAAGAGTGCTGCTGGGGCTGACATTGCTGCCTGACCTTCCGCCGACCTGGGCGGGGCAATATGGTGGTAATGAAGGAGACTGTGAGGAACGGTTTAGGTGTCGAGGTATGGAGTTTCTCGAAATCGAATCTCGATTTCCCAGCTCGGCCAGGGCGGTTGCGTTTCTGGCCTTATCGGCAGCGAAGTAGGAGGAAGGCACCTCGGCCGGCATTTCAACTGGCGTGTTGCCTTGGAGCTCGAAACGACAAGCTGATTTGTCTGCAGGCACCTCCAGCGGATGGCGTTTGTCTGCAAGAAGCTCACTGGCTGTTGCTGCTGGACCTTTACTTCCGTCCTTGCGCTTTCGCTTGAACAAGCCCTTCTTCTCCGGGGGCGATTCAGAAGCATTACTCCGCTTTCTTCGGAAGTAGAGCAATAGAAGCAATCCAATGGCGGCCACAACTGAAAGCCCAATGCCAATCCCTATACCAGCCTTGGCGCCGGTTGACAACCCACCAGCCGCATCTCTTGGTGGGCCTGCAAATATGCTGTCTTGGGGTCTGGTGATGCTGGCCAGGTTGACACGAGTCACGGCATCATTGGCGAATTTCGCCTGTGAGATGGAGAAATTGTTTCTCTCGTAGTCAACAGCCAGGTACGATTCTTGCAAGAAAACACGTCCAATGGTGAACTGTGTATTGTTGGAAGCTCTGCGGAGTGGGAAATAGTTGACTGCGGGAGACGAAAAGGTAGTATTCAAGGCAGGGAATGGGAAGGACAATTGCTGATTGAAAGCATTGTAAGGCAAGGTTATATCGACAGTATTAGGTGACTCGGGCAGATCTGCAAGGGTGAAGGTGAAGGTCATGTTCCAATCTGATAAAACACTCGGATCGGTTCCATTGCCGTAGAGATAAAGTTGTAGGGTTTCATTATATGTGAGATTGAAAGCCATGGCAAAAGCATCGCATACTTTTCCTGGCAACCAAAGAAATGGTGTAGAGGAGTCGATGGTGAAGAGCTCAGCTTGTGAACTTTGGAGAAGAGAGAATGTTTCTTGAGTCCAATTTGGTGTTGTGGCCGAAGTCGAGAGAGGGTTAGAGGAAACTGATATCGCGTTGATAGAGACAACTGGCTCAAAGTCACTCGTCATGTTAAAGGATACGTCGTTAGGGACAAAGCGGTTAAGGTCAACGCCGCCGAGGGTGAGAGAAGCTGGAACCCCTTTCAAGCCTAAAGAATGTGAGATCGTTCTCTAAGAGAGAAACTAGAAGCTTACGATAATAAGCACCAGCCGTATATCCGTAGCTGTAGCTGGGAATGGCGCTTTGATTTTCCACCATGCTAGTCAGAAATGTTGCCTGGTTCTTGTTGGAAGAGAAGTTGGAAGGTATTATCCCCAAACCGAGAGAGCCAAGAAGGAATTCTGTGCTATTCATCACGCCCACAATCTGATCAGGTACGGATATAGCATCTCCAATCGCGATAGTATCGAGTCCATAGTCCGCCGATCCTGTGACCCCGAGCGCAGGCTGGAAGTTCAACGCATACGGTCCTATCGAGGTCCATGTCGACGACTCATTTGCCTTGAATATTCCTCCTCTCTTGGATACGCAAGCGGTAGCTGGTTGATAGGAATCAGCAAGAGGACCACGAAGAGACTGGATAGCATCAGGACCTACTCTCATCACAGCCAGATGCTCCTATCACCCAGATGTCATGACTTAGGGTGCTGGGGAATGATGATACCCATTGCTGTGGAGAGCCCACTCGGATGTTCACTCTGCAACGCGAAAGTCAGGAAGTAAAATGCCTGCATGAGGTTTTTCTAACGTACGGACTCCAAGTTCCATCATATCCGAACCTGCGGCACCGTCAGAATTTGGTACAATTTTCCCAGCTGCAGGTAGACGAACCATTCCGTACTCACAGGTACCTGGACTGGTTGAGGATTTGCAGCACTTGAGAGACCGGACCAACCCAGCAATGCGACTGCTGTTGCAATGCCATAGTGACGCATGTTGCCCTCTCTGCACGGTGTCCCTCATTGCATGCCGCTTGAATATAGTCCTACCAGCTTCGGGCTCTTCTAATCCATTGTCTACCTCGGCGGGTGCAGGCGCACGAGTCAGGTATCAGGCACTAGCCGGTCGATTAGGACGATCCTACTGCACGTTGGAATGGAGGCTCGCTTAATCAGAGAGGTGTTCCATGAGGTCGCGAGTTTGAAGCTGCTCGAAAATGAGTGCTGAGTGGGGTTGGAACTGGCAGGGAATGGCGCGCAGGAGACAGAAAAGTCAGAGAGGGTCCTTAAGCCACTAGGATGGCTCAATGTACTGCACCAGCCAATCAGACCTCATTTGGCGGCATAAACGCTGACCAGAAAGCCTTGTTGTTTGGTCGAGCTGCTTGGCAATGGCGACCAGTTGACGAATGACGGACAGCTCGTATCTTGAGACAAAGCCAGAAACTTCCGCATGGCGGAGCGCAGCGGCGAGATTAGAATAGTAGTATGATGTCTGTGGGTTAGGCAACAGATCCCATGCAAGAGTTACTGAGGAACTCTCCTGTCCTGATAGGAATGAGTTTCTTGGATGCAACGTCGAGGATGCAAAAGTGGCTCTGCAGATTGTTGATGCACAGCTAATTAACTAACTAGTGGCACGATGCGTTTGTGGGGCCCTGTACTCTGGTAAGTGGTGGCTGCTTGTTTCCCGAAAGATGGGACAAGATGATGCTGCGCAACCAGCCCTCGTACCATTCAGACCAGAATGGGGCTACTTTAGGCACAAGATTTGGCATGATCCGGGAGAGTGACTGGACTGCTGCAGGCCAACAGCCTATCAGCAGGCGACCCAGAGCAGTCGGGAGTACAGATGCAATGCGCGATTTGTGTGATGCAAGCCACGAGGCTGACTTGATTAAACATAGGGTCCTGACGGGGGCCCTGCTCGGGGGCTCTACCAGAATCCACCACTAGCATTGCGGGCCCTGCTCAGATGATGATTCGCAACTAACTTAGAGGCAATGTCCAGTCCGACCATTTCACTTTTCCCCATGGTGGAACACTGAGGGAGACGTCGATAGACATTGTATAGATGCTTCCGCCCCAGCTGCTGAGCAGCAGTAATGAGCATGGTGATCTTGACAAAAGCAGAGGAAAACACGTGGTTGCTGTGGGAAAGTGGAGTCATCCAAGATCAGCTGGCGGGGGGGTCATTGCCTGTTCCAGGCTGTTCGCTGCACTTTGAAGGGGTGGCATCCATGTCCAAATGGCAAACACCATCCTTTTACTCCTGCCATGCAAGCACAGCATACATGCATGCATGCATACATGCATACATACGTACACAACCGAGATGTCTACCTGGCTACGAAGTCCTCACCCGATAATGTACAACATCCTTCAAGCAGTCCCAAGATCTGCCGTAGAACAACGATGGCTCGTGGTGCTCTCCAGAAGCCAGTGAAAGTGTTTCTGAAACTTTGCATCTCCGAGGCTGACTCGTGGACTACCTGGAGCAATAATTTGGTTAAACTGCCCAGCAGTCCACGAGTCCGTAGTGAGCACCAGATTGATGGCCGGCCTCAACGACGCCTCCGAAATGCTTGGTTGGCTAGGAAAAGAGCTTGGTAGAGGCCGGAACTCAGCCCCCATCACTAACTTAGTTGTCAGGCCTTACCTTAACTTAAAAATCCCCCAAGTCCAGTGTGTACATGGCATCCAGAATCGAGGAATCGATACAATAACTAGTTAGCATGGTCCGGCTCAAAACTATACAACTTCGACGTTTCTTCCCTTCCATTGAAGACTTGTAGCGGTTTTCAACCCTCTCACCTTCGTTTGACCCATTGAGTATTCCACAGTATTATGGAACAGGACCATCAACCATGAACGTGTCAATTTCCATTTTCGCTCGTTTCTAGTCCTTCTCTTCGCGAATTTTCCTATTGTAAGAGACATCCAGAATAAACAGCACGTTCCGCTATTGTCACAACCTTCGGACAATATGCGCGTGCGATTGTGCTTTTGTGGCTGCGCGCTGGCGCTGTCGAACATTGCCATTGTCACCGCTGGGCAACAGGCCGGTACTTCCCCTCTTGCCCCAAAAGCCCGGCATCAAACCCTGACACCAGTTCTAGCGAGACGTTTCCCACGAGATGAGTCCGACAGTCCCTCCTCAGGCTCCTCCATAACTCCCCTGTCCCCACCCTATACCAACTCCTCGACTTTGTCTTCGACCTTGTCCTCGACTCTATCCTCGACTCTGTCCTCGACTCTATCCTCGACTCTGTCCTCCACTCTATCCTCGACTCTATCCTCCACTCTATCCTCGACTCTGTCCTCGACTCTATCCTCGACTCTGTCCTCGACTCTATCCTCGACTCTGTCCTCGACTCTATCCTCGACTCTGTCCTCGACTCTATCCTCGACTCTGTCCTCGACTCTATCCTCGACTCTGTCCTCGACTCTATCCTCGACTCTGTCCTCGACTCTATCCTCGACTCTGTCCTCGACTCTATCCTCGACTCTGTCCTCGACTCTATCCTCGACTCTGTCCTCGACTCTATCCTCGACTCTGTCCTCGACTCTATCCTCGACTCTGTCCTCGACTCTATCCTCGACTCTGTCCTCGACTCTATCCTCGACTCTGTCCTCCACTCTATCCTCGACTCTATCCTCCACTCTATCCTCGACTCTGTCCTCGACTCTATCCTCGACTCTGTCCTCGACTCTATCCTCGACTCTATCCTCCACTCTGTCCTCCACTCTGTCCTCCACTCTGTCCTCCACTCTGTCCTCCACTCTGTCCTCCACTCTGTCCTCCACTCTGTCCTCCACTCTGTCCTCCACTCTGCCCTCGACCTTGTCCTCGACAATCTCCGCGACCTCGTCCTCGACTCTGTCCTCGGCAATCTCCTCGACCTTGTCCGCAACAGTAACCTCGACGACCTCCCTGACGGCGTCAACAGTCAGTGACAGTTCAAACACGAACGATACTACAAGCTTAACTCCAACATCAAGTCAACCGACAGATACATCGTACACAACTTCCCAAAACTTCTCGACGACAGGTAGTTATTCAGAAGATGGTGTCTCCACCATGGCCCCTAAACCAAACATTACGCTGTCGGACAGCTTCAACAGCAACAGTACCAATCTCCCCTCAAGTCTACCATCCTCAACAAACGACACCATCACCGCCTCAGACTGTTCAGGAGTAATAACACTGCAATCTACGCCGGTCGAGATTGTAACAGAGACCCTCACCGAGTCGTTTACAGTCACCGTGACTGCCACCGATCAAACCATTACCACCCCACCAATCGAGACTCCATTACCTCCTTGCGTAACTAGATTTTCGACACTATTGTCTATATCATCATCGGGGGACCAAGGTAACAACAATAACAATAACTCGGCAAAACAGGGCACTGAAACGTTCACAGAAGCTGATTTTACCAGTACTAGCGCACTATCAGTGGCCCCGCCACCAGGGCAAACCCTTCCAACCCCTCAATGGCAAACTCCTCCAGGCAAAACCCCTCCAACTCCACGTCCAACCACTCAAGGGAAACCCTCTCCAGGGAAAACCCCTCCACCTCCAGAGCAAAGCCGTCCGCCTTTTACTTCGACAATTTACGTAACCAGCAGGATTCCTGTGCCATACACGCCAATCCCAATTGGACCACAATTTCAGCGTCCCCCTGATCCGCACGGCATAACTGATCCTACACCAACAGCTCCACCAGATTTTAGTCCCAACAAGGAGAACGACAACAATAACAATAATGGCCAGGATAACAACAATCCCACCAATGAAAATAACAACAACAATGGTCAGAACGATAACAACCAGAACGACAACAACCGGAACGACAACAACCGGAACGACAACAACCAGAACGATAACAACCAGAACGATAACAGTCAGAACGATAACAATCAAGATGGTGGAAATTCAAGTCCTGGAATTGGTGGTATCATCGCCTCAATCATTAATCAGTCATGGATGCCCAGGCCAGCTCCCACAAACCCCACAAACAATGAAAACCCCTCCAGCCCGGCCCCAGGTTCATCTGCAGGGAAACAGAATCCAGAGAACCCTGCACCTGTCAACCCTGGCGCTGTTATCTCCAATATAATGAAAATGAACACGGCACTAGCGCCAGTATCTCCTCCAGCTCCAACAGCGCCGCCGGGGCAGTCAGGTGTGCCCGGTCAGTCGGGCCAGTCAGGACAACCTGATCAGTCAAACCCAAACATTCCCATTGTCATCTACCCGTCAGACGTTGTCATTGGAAATCAGGTGGTTCCCATACCTCCGCCGTCTGGGCAGCCTAAGGTTGTGGTTGTGAACGGCCAGTCCTACACAGTAGCAGCATCCGAAGTCGTTGGCCCTCAAACCATTGTACCTCTGCCGAATGCTAGTGGTTCTTCTCAGATACTGCCAGCCCCAGTTGTGATTGGTGGTGTCCCTGTTGTAGTCGATGGGACCAGCCACGCAATCATCTCTGGACAGACCTATGCTATTGGATCCTCTGCAGAACCTACCACAATTGTGGTCAATGGACAGACGATCAGCATTGGATCTAACGGAGTAGGCTTCGCCTCAACAACCTTGGCGGGCTCGGAGTTCAGGAGCACGGCGATCGCTGGCGTTAGCATCGGCGTAGGTGCCTCAGCGGTTGTTATCTCAGGCACCACATACAATATTGGTCCCACTGCCACTCCCACCACGGTTGTGGTGAACGGTCAGACTGTCAGTATCGGCTCTGGCGGAGTAGGATTTGCGTCGATCACCTTACAAGGCTCCAGCTTTACTACCACAGTGGTCGGCGGTCTCACTTTGGGTATTGAGCCCTCTCAAGTTGTGATATCTGGCACAACCTATCAAATTGGGCCTTCCGCAACCCCAACCACAATCGTGGTGAATGGTGAGACTATTAGTATAGGACCGAGTGGAGCCGGATTCGCGTCAACCACCCTCCGCGGCTCTAGCTTGACTACGACAGCAGTCGGTGGTATCACTCTTGGAATTGGAGCGTCTCAAGTTGTTATCTCTGGGACAACCTACAGTATCGGCCCCTCTGCAACCGCGACAACCATTGTGGTAAATGGGGAGACCATAAGCATCGGACCAAGCGGTATCGGCTTCGCTTCAACTACTCTCCAGGGCTCTGGCTTGACTACTACTACGGCCGTTGGTGGTATCACCATTGGAATTGGAGCGTCGCAGGTTGTCATATCTGGTACAACCTATAATATCGGCCCTTCTGCAACTCCAACAACTATCGTTGTAAATGGAGAGACCATAAGCATAGGACCGAGCGGTATCGGCTTCGCCTCGACCACCATTTCAGCCGCAGGAGCAACAGCAACATCGACTGCGCGAAGAACATCAGCATCCACGCTTCCATCACGAACCGGTGCTGAGTCATCCTCCTCAACAGCATTAAGTGGTGGCCCTCCTCCGACCGGTACCGTCCTCGGCTCCATCACGCCTTTACTGCTCGCTGGTGTAATCGCTTTATTCCTTCTATGACCTTGTTTGACCTGAAAGACAACTACGATTTAGCGGGCGTTGGAAAAGCAGGTAGCACCCCATTGCCATAATATTGCGGGAGTCTAGAGCTTAGATGTTGGGTGCAAGTTACGATACGGAGGTTTTGATGCGGCAAGCGAGGACTCTTGGAGCCTTATGCATGGATAAATCTAGCGGAGGATTTGTTTCTGTTTTTTTGACCACCGATGTATCCTCATGTACCATACTGCCACATATGAAAGTTCCTCCCCTTCCTTTGTTTAGAAGGCCCACTGTTTATATATGTAATAAGCCAAATAGTCTTGAGATTGTCAGAGCAAAAATATATCCAATACTCAACCCCCTCCCTTCCTTTTAAGTTAGGAGCTCGATTCTTTCACCTTGCTCCTCCTCCTCCCCTTCCGAGACGTAGACAAAGCTCAACAAACCCCACCTACCCATCATCGCCGAGATGTTCTACCCTCTGCCCTTCCGTCTCCCGAGTCCTTTTACTCTACTGACATATCTCTCATACATACTGCGTCCGCTCCTCTTCTTCCTCTTCCTCCTTGCATCTCCTTCTCCACCATCAAGAAGGAGACATTGAACAATATGCTCCTCTGTCTTTCTACTGCTCCTTTGACAACGAAAACGAATTTGCTCATCTGGGCCTCTCTTGTGCGTACAGGCGATCAGCGCTCTTATTGCTGTTATCGTCATCGTTGTCATTAGTGTCATCTGTGATCGAGAGATGAGATGTGGGACCCTCTCAACTAAGTTATAGTCATGGCTCTGACTTAGTTGAGTTCAAGTTCCTGACTCGTCTTTTGGGGGGGTCGATCTCAAGAGTACTTGAGAACAAGTACTAATTATGGGACTGTGTTGTGACTATGCTATGGAGATCTCTGGAGCCACACGATAGGAGAAGAGAACGGAGTGCTGGAAAATGTCATGAGCTACGTATACGAGCTGCACGACCAAGCACTTCTGGAGACTAAACCGCCATCGTCTAGACGACTCTAACGTAGCATGGATTATGCTGTACAGAGAGATTCCTAGATACCTAGGACTATCAACCAACCCATATCTATGTGACCCTCCCTCACTCCATAGAACCCCCTTCCCGCCTCCCCTCCGCTTCACCCTCCACCCGCTCCCGGCCCGTTACCTACGGAGTTGAGATTCATGACGCCTCTCCCAAAAAACTCCGCCACCGTCTCAAACCGCTCCTGACTCCTCTCCAACGCCGCCTTAAACAGCTCATGCTGATCCGCGCTCTCCACTTGAGCCCTGCGATGCGCCTTGATGGTATCATTCTGGGGCTTACAGACCGGACATTCTGCCCTCCCCTCCGCCGTCGCATCCGCCTGCGCTGCTTGTGACACAGAGCCGGTATTCAGACAGCGCTGATGGAAGCTATGCTTGCAGGCAAAATGCACGGTCGGCAGATCGAGTTGCCCACCACAGGCACTACACCGCCTGGCCTGGAAAACGATAGGCTTCGACCCTAGATCCTCGAGCTCGGATATCTTGGCCGCGCTTTCCTTTCGATAACTCTCAATCAAGGTGCGGTTGTTGCGGATCTCCTTGCGCTCTCTGCTGATGTTGTCTGAGAGATAGGATTTCACCATTCCCATGCTCACTGCACCGCCTTGGCTTAGGACTTTGACCACTTGCAGTGGTGCCATGAGACTATCTTGATCGATTTTACGGAGGACGGATTGCAATTCTTCTTTTACTCCTGGTTGGGAGAGGATGGTGGTTGAGGAGGAGAAATACGAGAGGGCGATAGGGTAGAGGCTCGGATCTTCGGGGCCGTATCTTCGGAGGGCGGAGATCGCGCCGGAGGTGTCCTTGGCGGTGGTGTGGGAGCGGAGGATGTCGGTGTAGAGGTTGGCGCGTTCGCGGACAAGGGTGGTGCCGGTGGGGAAGTTGGAAAGGGAGGAGAGGAGGAGAACAGAGGAAGTTGGGATGAAGGACAATGGTTGGTCGGAGGATTGAGTGGAGATCTGTGGTTGGGAGGTGATTAATGCTTTTGCTTTGTGCTGCCATGCTTCTCGTTCGGAAGATGTTGTTGATTCGGAGTTGGCCGCCTCGAGGTACATTTCGAAGAGTGTGGTATAGAGATCAGTCTTGTCGGTGGAGGAGATGTTAGGTTGGGAGGTCAGCGCTTCCAGGAATCGGATGAAATGTGATGGATGTGGTATGAAAGATGAGAAGGCTGTTCGAGGCCTGGGTATAGGATACTCTGGGGTTGGTGTGTCTGCATTGGAAGCCAGTTTAGTATCTGCTGTAGTGGTCTGCTGTTGTGCTTCGGGAGCAGGACTGGCAACGGCAGATCGGTTCATATATGGAAGAGGTAGCAAAGCAGACAGATTTTGGAAGGCTGAAGCTTGATTCTGGGGTTGAGGCTCTTGAGTGGCCGTTACCTCTTCCTTAGGGCGATAATTTCCGGTGTAGTAGTCAATGAAAACTTGAGTCGCTTCATCAGGACAATGTTCTAGGAGTACTCGAGAATATTTCATCAAGTTCGGATATGCAGCAAGAGGTTCCAATTGCCAGATGTATGCCAACGCCTCAGGATACTTTTTTGAGTCCTCAATCAATATGTCAACAACCAGACTGTTCTCTCCATGCTTTGTAGCGAGATAGGCGGCTTGCTCGAAGTAACCTCCTTGCCGACACATCGATATAGCCGTTTCAAGGTCGAATTTGAGTTCGCCAGGTGCTCGGATAAATGCATCAAGCTTCTCGGTGTCCTTGAGTTTAGCATAACAATTCAACAAGAGGGTCGTATGATCTGCCGTTGCTTTATCGTGTTCGTGAAGTTCTTCAAGGTATTCTATCAGGTTATGAATTCGCTGTGTGTCGAGGAATTTTCGTAGAATTTGTGACGGCTCAGTATTGTCAATGGCTCGAAGATACTGTTGCATAGCTGTATCATAGTCGCCTTTCTGATAGAGGTAGTCTCCATACTTTCGAAAGATAACATTTTGGGTGGCTGTGTCGACACCAGCTTTTTGTGCAAGGTTTATGGCAAGAATATAGAGATTTCGTTGATAGAGAATTTCAAGCTTCTGCTGTAAGGTTTTCTCTTCATATCGATAGAGCTGTCACCGTCAGCCTGAACCTCGTATCACAGAAGAAGGTGTCTTGCCTTCCCGTCTATGGTCAAAAGGAAGAGCTCTCCCCATTCGCTAAAAACTTCTTTCACTTCTGTTGAGAGAGATTCAGTGTGTGCAATATATCTCAAGTCGGTTTCAAGCAGGCTGAAGGAAGATGTGCTGAATAAATCACCCATCCCGCTCCCACCTAGCCGTCGATATGTGTTTGACTTGGATACTTGGGCCACTTTTGGTGGGCAGACAAGACCGACGTAGTCCTTGAAGGTTGTAATCATTTTCTTCGGTCCATCAAATGCAAAGCTTGGTCCACGACCGTTAGGGCCATAATAGTAAACTGCATCATCCCGCGCGATGATGATGTCTCCAGTCTCTTTGTCCACCGACATACAACGGACTGCACATCCTTGACTGTCTACGGTCCGTGGTGGCTGCCCTTGTCCTTTTCCTGATATGACTAGATTTGATATTCGGCCTGTTGTTGCAATGTAGAGAATAGTCATGGGGCTCTCCCTGATTGCCAGACCTGTGATAGGCTCTTCCGACTCAAAGACTATCCTCTGCTTTGTGCCTCGGTCATGTATAAGATCACCCCTAATCACCGTCACGGCGCCGTTCGCAAAGCCAACTGCGACCTGGGTAAGATCCTCCAAGGCAACAAACGCTGATACCTGCCCTCATTCAGTTTGCGAGGGACTAGAAGCGTAGACATCGTCTTACGGGAAACTGTCTCCTGCCATTCTGAACCCCAATGGTACAAAGACATTTAGGTCCTTTGGTCTTCTTCTCTTCCTTGTCCAGAGCCCATACTTTCAGCACTGGATCGCTTGATAGATCTTCGCAGATGGTGACAAGCAATGATGTGGCATCTATTTGTTTGAGATGCGTGATCGAGCCGTGGGAGGAAGGGTCGGCGGCATGGAATAAACGAACAACTCTTAGAGCTCGGGATAAGATTCGGACATCTCCATTGGAGTCGCCAAGGAAAATTGAGTCTGATCCGGCTGCCAGACAGGTTATATCGTTCTGTATACTCAGTCAGGAATACCGCAGAAGATGGTCTGGGACTGTCTGACGCTGAAAACATATGAACCATCATCATCAGCGGGTACCGGTACTTGCGACACTATGAAGAAGGCGAATGATTTCCACTGCAACATAGGTCAGCGGCAGCTAAACAAGACTCGGACCCAACGTCAATACAGATGTGAGCGCCATGACGGGGCGTAGCAGCCATTTGCTCAGTACCTAGGCACAAATACGCAAAGGTAAATACCTATGGTCGGAAGTGCGATGACCTCGCTCTTGCAGGCAAGCACCCCAGTAGCTACTACTACGTAGTAAGTTAGTTTTAGTAAGGCTGAACCCTGCCAAGCAGTGGCCCCTGACAGCGCAAGACTGGACCACTGCTTTGGTTGATTCGCCTTCTTAGCTTGGAAAGTTTGATAGAGCTTAGTCTACGGACTACCATATTCGAGTTGGTATACGGAGTACTGACTACACTATGAGCTTTTTGGTATGTATCTTCGGCTAGCACGACGACTTCCTACCTTCATTAAAGCCAGCTCATCCGCGCTATGCTCTCTTTGCGACTTTCAGATTTTATAGTCACCTTATCCAATGTTCGAAGCTTCTCAAGGACTGTGCCACCTTGACAGCCTTTTCTCCGAAGCACGAACCTATGTGACGTGCGGCACAGGAAAAGGAAGACCACAATAAAACCCCTTGGGTGAAACTATATCAGACCAGACCAGACCAGACCAGAAGGCTTCGTAAATTCTGTGCTTGCATTATAAACCAAACTCAATCCTAGGGCCCTACCGTCAACCTTGTTCTGGATATTGGAGCTGATATCAGATATCCTGAGGTACACCCTGTGATTTTCGTGCACTAAGAAATATGACCGACCTGGATACCAGGTTCTTCCTTTTGGAGGCTGTCAATCTGCTCTGGTCACGGGAGAAATCTAGACCAGGGAGGAAAGTCGCCTTGACTACCATCCTGTTGTTTGACAGGAAGCTGCAAATTTCATGCACACCCTACGAAGCTGTCCCAAGGAGCGCTCAAGCAATGGACGAATGCATCAAGATCCCAATCCCCATATTCTATTCCAACCCTCCACGGTCTTCAGACTACCGTCGCCGCACTTACCCATCTCAATACCCCTTCTCTGCTCACTCACCTCCTCCTCTCCTGGCAGGCGTATATACTCATTTACCAGATCTGGAATCTCTTCACGAACGTGACTTACGACGATAAGCGCCTGTTCGTTGCTGAGACCGTGGAACGCGTATTCCACACTGTCATCTGCCAGATCTCCTTCTGCTGTGAGTTCGGATTTGGTCTTTCTCCTCAAACGATCGACTCTTTTTTTCTTTTCATGCGTCATTCCCTCTTTCCCCACAATCGGCTCGTTGGGCGTGACACGCGTCGTATGACAAATTGTCTCGACTCGTGTCCGATCGTCCCTCAAAGGCCATCGAGACGATTCCCCGTCCCCATCATCCATGCAGGTCCTGTACGTTGCAGCCTGATGTTGATGCGGCACAGAATTCTCCCCTGCTCCCAGAAATCTCATCGCTTTGTCCCTGACCTCGGGGCTGAATCCCGAGAACGCCTCGTCGAGGATCACGATGTCGGGTGTTTTGATTATTGCCCTGAGGAGCAGTAGCAGACGCTGAGATTGGAAAGAGAGGCTGCCGAATGTGTTGAGGGGGAGGGACGCCCATTCTAGCTCATTCGCTGTCTGTGACGAGTGCTTGAATGAAGGGTAGGACGACGAGACCGAGTCGTCGATCGGGATAGCGGGGGCCTCCAATGGTGGTAGAGGTTGATGGCATGGATTAAGCTCGGGTTCCCACCATCTGAGGAACGCATCTACAAGCGCTTTACTGCTATTCGTAGGCTCTGGCTTAGCTGCGAACGTCTCAGCCCAGGCACTCTCCAATGATCGTCTGATAGTAAGGCCTTTCGGGAAGAAAGCATGGATCTCAGGCGAGGAATGTCCGATCCGGGACTGAATCTCCCAAAGGGAGACGCCTGGCTGGCCTGGTGACGGTAAGCGGGAACGGCCAAAGTATTTGATTGGTAAAGAGTAGCTTTGAGGGTGGTCCGATGTGAGCAAAGACAGCAAGGTGGTCTTCCCGGAACCATTGGGGCCGAGAAGCGCGAGTCGAGTGCCTTGACGAATGTCGAGATTGAGGCCCGGAACCTGGAAGCCAGATTGAACACCGTAACCAAGAACAGTCTTGGAGCCATAAGAGACGATGACATTCTTAAGCTCTATGAGTGACTTCCCAAGTTCAGGATGCGGTCGCATAGGAAAGTTAGAAACAGGAAATCCGGAGTTGTGTTGGCCGCGCCTCGGATCTTCACTTATAGAGAACGACTCGTTGGAAGGAGCTGGAACGTCGTCTTGGCGATTGAATTCCGCTGGAAGCAGGCATGTTAGAGATAGGAGATCATCCAGGTCTGCCTTCTCTCGAGGCTTTCCTGCAGCTTTCTGCCATACGAGTCGATAAGCCACACTAAGATGCTCTGGTACCAATTCGTCTGTTGCTGATATGTAGGTCGGAGTTTTACTTGACACAATCTGAGAATTTGTGACGTCCCGGGACACGCCAGTGGCTGACAGCGTGTACCCGAAGTCCAGGGGTGGCGGTCCATGTCTGTTAGTCATAAGAGCTGCCATTTTTGCAGCAGTGCCGTTTTGGGGGCCCTTGTGAGCGTTGGCCCATCGATGGACAGCGAAGAGTACTTCCTTCTTAGGTCCAGCCAGAGCGAGCGTGTCTTGGTGGCCTAATACGGCAAGATGAGTGATCCAATCAGGAATTGGATCCTGCGGACGAAGTGACATGATCAGTCGCGGAGAAGACTTGTATGCCAACCCACGGAGGATGGGGGAAAGAGACACCAGTGTAGGCGGATCCAGGCCCACTAAGAAGGAGTGAGTCAAGTATCTTTTGAAAGTATTGATACCTACTGAAGGGCTCATCTAACAACAATACTTCAGGCCTACCAAGCAACGCCTTTGCGATCCTGGCCCGCCTGGTTTGCCCGTTGCTGAGATTGCTCACAGGCAGGGAAGTCAACTGCTCCAGCCTTAGATCCTTGATAACCTGTGACAATAGGGCATTGAAGCTTGCATCCTCGTAATGCAGTTCCTTAGAAGGATTGAGCTCCATTTCTCCCTTAAGATATTGTAGGACGGACCAGTCTGTCTCCTCCCTACGACTCTCATAACGTGCGCTGAGGTAGGACCCCCGGATACCTCCAACTAGGCCCTGGCCTTTGCCAGATGTAAATCCTACATACTGTATTGCCCAGGTGGGAGACCGGAGTCGGTAATCCTTGGCCTCGATGTCCTCCGAGGAAAGATATGGAAAAGTTCGAGCATTGGGCGGTAGGCAGATGTGGGTTCCACGTAATATTTCGAGAAAGGTACTTCCCCCGCTTGCACCTACTACTGCCCAATGTTGTTGTTGCTTGCCGGTTTCTGAATCTCGTCTAAGGGGAAATGCTGGTAGAGAAAAGTATAGATTCGGAAACAAGGGAGTATTCGACTCCTGGAGGCCTCCAGGATGCTGTCGGTAGAAAGTGCCGTTCTGGATCTGGATAAGGTTTTCAATCGATGGTGGTGCTCTGTACCGAATTGGGAGAGTAATTGGAACTTTCATGATACCCAGATTGTAACACCTTAGACAGTGCTCAAGCTAGGCAAGAATCTAGTGACAGCATTCGTGGCAGTCTGAGCTTCTAAAATCTTGCCAGCAAGGCGCCATGAAATATGTCAATATCCCTCATCCCTATCGAAGGCGGTGTCAATAGATCGTGGCCAGTCACTTCACACGTAAGCTCCAAACAGTGGCTCCTACAACCACAGCATTGTCCAGCATCTACCAAGGACATTTAATGATGGAAAGCTCTAAAATTCTGATGATCACAAGCAGATCATCTAATAAGAAGCTGTTAATGCAGAGCGTGAAAAGCAATCGATATGCACAGAAGATTAGAGAACTCTGGTGGTACACATCCTGTCTCTTAGGCGGTCTAGCCATTACCTTCCCGCCCAAACCCACCTCCAAGCCTTTCACTAACTGCTGACATTGCGCTAATACAAGAAAAGTTAGTCTTGTTTTCTTCCTATTTAACCCATCTCGCATACACATGATGCATGATTCCATTCAAATTCTGGCATCACGACTTTAAGCTGCAACTATAGCGATCACGACGCGTTGTGGTGGGTGTCTCCTCAGCTGCCTCGCGTCCGAACAATTGCGAAAGAACTCTACTGGGCAATAGCCGCAGGCGTGTGCCGTCACGACCGGATAAAGCGTGAGCTACGAGTCTCTGCGGAAGGTTGCGGTAGCATATCTACAAATGCTACATTCGCGCTGGAAGCTATTTGGGGAGCTGCGAGGCCCCAGTTGAGCTACACACCAAACGCGTCAAGGGTACTTGCAAGCGGCCGTAACTCCATAGAAACAGGTTTGATCTTATGATAACGGATCACAACTTGCGGAAATGGTTTTATCAAGGGTTATATAGCACCTTAGGAAAGTGCTATAAGTGACCCGAATTATTGACGTCACTCATACAGATTTGCGACCTGTTGTAAGACTTTTTAAGCGGGAGAATATACTTATAGATGTATATTATCTCCTACAGACAGAAAGCAGCAGTACCGCGATTCTATGATGCCTGTCAACCCATCTAAAGAGTCAATCCTGACAGTGCTGCCCTATTCCACCTTTTAAACGTGCTAATAACGCGTTAATTGACATCTGTAAGCAACTACGTTAAGATACGAAAGAGGCGGAACACATTATAGGACTAATAAGTAAGGCTAAATATTATATAAAAAAAAGCGAGTTATAAGGAGAAAAATCATCAACAACAAGGGTTATGCAGTTACAGACGTCCCTGACCCTTTACAATCTACTATAATCTGGTATAAGGAAGAGGAGGGGGAATAAGGATTACTGTAATAAGTTTTAGGAGAAGTTCGAATACGAACAAAAGATACTGTCAACCTGCTGTGCAGAGTGCGTAGAGAAGCAAGTTGATTGATAACTACGGGGGTAGAGAGCGTAGATCTATATACAATTGGCTGTACCGTACAGCGAAATTAGAAGCGAAATTGCGTCGGAAATTGACTAATTAGAAGCAGCAGAAACGCAGGGATTACGCATATTAAACGCGGCCAATTAGCCCTCTCAGAAGGTCAACAGATACTAAAGAATTAGTACCACAATTAGTTTAACACCTCGGCCAGTAACCTAAATATAGGGACGAGATCCTCTACACCAATACCAGATCCCACAACAAACTACGACACTTTACGAACGAATCCTTGCGATTTCACCTTTCCTGGATCATCCCAAGGTTGGAATAGGCTACACACAAAAGGAGGCCAGCCGACACCAATTCTAGCACACAACTCCTACGCACAAGCAAGCAGAGTTACAACCAACTACACATCAACAAGTGCTGGCAGCCTACGGAACACCAACAGATCCACAAAGATACGAAGGCAACACTCTGGAATGCTCCCATCTACTCGCTTCTCCCTGTAGGGGACACAAGGGAGTAGAATTAAGATGAAAGAGCTCGGAACCTTTCGTAAAGACACGTCTACCTGGTATCTGACACAAACAACAGATACAGAGGGCTTACAGGTTTTCTTCCCCAGAGGGTTTATCCTGTACATAGGATAGGTGTAAGAATCAATCAATCAATCAATCAAGCTGCAACTATTCTGACCAATTGGCTCACCTTCAGGTAAAATCGGAGGGTGTGTCTAAGCTGCACATTTTGTGGCGAGAAAACCCTTCTTTATCAACCCCCGATGCTGGGCCAAAAACCGCTCCAGTGGGAGGGCAGAATTGATATACTGTGTCACTCGATAGATGGAACATGGCAAAACACTTAAACTACACCTATTTTTCAGCGTCTTTCAACACCAACAATATCTCTCATCAGCAACCCACTCCACTTCCTCACCCTCGCCGCCGATCCATCGCAAACTGCAAACAGATTCTTTGTCCCTGATTGTTGTTTGTACTCTTTCTATTCCCGCCAGAGACTGTGCAGCATTAACGACATCTGGCGTCGGACTCCACAGTTCCACCCCTCCGTGCATATCCCATGTCTTTGCCTCCATTTGAGCCCTCAGTAAAAGTGCAGCAATGCTGCTAATGGCATCCCCCTTAACATCCGTTGGTATTACGGTATGCAAGATATGAAGCTTGTTGTTCTGGGGAACCTCCCCCCATACACGACACCATATCAAGGCGCACCCTGTGGCAAGGTCTTCGGCACCTTTGATATTCGGGTCCCTGTCAAAAAGTGTTTTCGCCTGGAAGTTTTCTCGGGCGTGCTGCCATTCCATGTGGTCATAGTCTGGACGAATAGCTATATGTGGTATATTTGGTCTGTGCTCACTGCGCAGTCGTAGATTTGTCTCCAATATAGCGATTGCTTTCGGACAAATTCTATCCCGAAGATCTTGAGCGTTTAAGTCTCGGACACCGGAGCAGTCCGGTTTATTTTGAGTCTGAAGGGAATTCTGCCCGGAGACCACTGGCAGTGAGATACGCGTGTTAGACATCGCCTTCCAACCGTGGGCTGCATAGAAAGATCGCCCGATATCTGACCATAGCACCGAGAAGGATGCTTTCGTGCCTTTTTCTTGCTGCCAAGTCTCCAGCGACTTCCCCAGTTCCGTCATCATACGCGAAGCATATCCTCGACCTCGGTACTCCTTCCTGCAAAAAACAGATCCTACTCCATGGGTCACCAGTTTTCGGAGGTTGCCATTGCGGCCTAGGTATCCCTCTTTGCGTAATGTCTCGCAGGCTGCGAGGATGGGTCTTGCCCCATCTGCTCCCACAGACAGAAATGTGTCTGTCAAGATCCAGTATGTGATCTTGCCTTCCCGAGTCAAAAGTTGATGCTCTAGAAAGGCTTCACGGCTGATATACTGCTCCGTAGATAATGGGCCTCGCCAGGAATGAGAATTAATATGCCAGCATTGATATCGCTCAAGAAGAGTTGCCGGCACCAACGTAATGGATGGGGAGCTTGAGGCCGGGAGTTCAGATGAAGGTATAGGCACAGGCGCTGTGGTTTCCACGACGCTAATATCGGGTTTCATAGCAAATGATCCCATGCTGTCTGTAAGGCGGATCCCTTCGTTGCAAATTCGTATGGGCAAATTTCAACTGTCATCAATGTTTCAGCTTAGAGCAGGAGCATGGACGTCAAAAGAGCAAGGGAGGGAAGCGTTCATTCGAGGAACAAGATGTTGAGCAAATGTCAACCTCATCTGAGTCATAACGAACCGCTTGCAAGCGACGATATCCTCGCTCGTGGCGCAATGTGGTTAAGAGGCCAATCACAGAATACTGGTGTCAAGACATCGTGGGACAACAGCTCACATTTGCAGATTTAGTACTCTAAAATGGACCACCTCCTTACGTATTGAGAGTAGCGCTCCCGCTATCTACCGTCAGATCATGCTGAAGTCGTGGCAAGAAGAACATTTGCAGTACGGAGTACTATATTGTATTTGATGTTTGAACTTTGAATAGTACGATTTGTGAAAACTTTAAAGTCTAAAAATGATTAGAGTCTTAAGAACTATGGACTGATCTTCGTTTATAATTCCCAGTCTATTAACAAGTGTGATGCAAGCAAGAAAGCATCAAGTGATGAATCGATTTTGGTCTTGCCAAGACTGCAGCAAAGTTATCATACTAAACTTTGCGAGAATGTTGCAAGAATGCTACTATTATTCTCAACAGTGGTCCAATTCAGTGACACAGGGTGTACCGGTGAATTCTGGATCATTCGGATGTAATAGTAATGCTGATGAGGAGAAGGAGCGTTTCTGGACATCAAAACCGCTAAATTTGGAATGTTTGATTGATATGAAGGACAATCTATGGATAACCAGCCTCGGCTATCGATATTACATAATGTATACTAATCCAGTTCAGTCTGATTAGCTCGGGATGTAATTGCCTAGACTCCGACACTCGTGCCTCAGGCGAATTAAAAAGTATTACGTGCCCTAAGTCACAGGATGGGGTAGCTACTTTGTAGTGAACATTAACAAGCCGAAGGATAATTCGTTGCCAGATATCAAATTTCCTGCAAGAGCTCTCACCCATATTTTGACAAGTCATATTGGCTCAACGGTCTCGCAGACTAAGTCCAGCGGGTATGTATCGAGGTAAATATCTCCATCTGAACCGATGGGACCCTGCTGACAACCGGAGCCTGACTGTCTTCCCAGGACCTCGACAAGGTGCTAATGCTATCAGCCTTGACGGCGCCTGCACATACCCGACGACCGACTCTAACATGAATCAAGTAAGTTTATACCCCTTCACTCTTGCCAAACGGATACAAGGCCCAAGCCTGATGCACAAGACGTTGCGGCTGTCGCTTGAGGTCAGCGACGTACCATTAACGCACCGCTCGTCTCTGTCTAACATTTGCCATTTTCTTCCTTCGATTGAAGTACATACAGCGTCAGAGGCCATCCGGCTCAAAAGGGATCGATGCTGCCAACTACTTCGTTGTCTACACGCTTACCAGATATTCCAAATAGCAGATTACAGCGGCTCATCTTTTCGTGTCAGGCTGCGCTGCAACCTAAACCTAGAATCATGGCCACTGGCTCGAACAAAGAAAATGCAATAACGATCTCGGACGACGAAGGCAATGTTAGTGTAGCCCGTGAATCAAAACCAGAGTGGGTTGTCACAACATCTTTCCTGCCTATCCGCTCTAATCGAGAATCTAAGCAATACTCAACACGTGCGCGCAAGGCTCTCAGAAAGCCTGAAGCGCAGAGCATATCCAGAGGGCGCTCCACCAGTATGCCGAGATTCTAAGGATAGAGTGGATGTCGCTTTGCTAAGACCAAGTACTGAAATTTCTACGCGTCATGATTACTCCTACGAGAGCCCTGCGAGGAGTCCATACAATACCGGGAATGACCCACCGGGCAAACGATCTGAGGTGAATTCACCTTGTCCGTCGGACGACGATCCTTGCCCGTACTACTACGATGCCAGGCTAGAGCTCAAGATGTACCGCGGTCCAGGCTTTAAACAATTTCACCCTGTTCTTGGCTCGATGGCAGGGCATCAAGAGATATGTGACGAATGGGATGCGCGGCAACTCAAACGGAGGCATGGAAGTGGTCAGGCCAACATCATCTTTCGGTCTCGTACCGGCATCAGAGACGCGGATTTTGACTCTGTAAATGCTGTGAACAATCAGAATGGCGGCACAACAAGCCTTAGTGATCGAAATTCTTATCAGCTGGATCGAAAACAGGAGCAGCATTGTCTGGAGGAAGTCCTTATGGTGTTCCCTCAGGTACAACATGACTTTGTACGAAGTCTCTTCAAGGAGCGTCATTGCGGCAATACTGGCATGCTTGTGGAGTCCCGTGCTGCAGATTCTCACATTGAAGCAGCCATAATTGCTGCAATTGCCGAGATGGAGTCCTTCCCCCTGCAGAAAGACCTCAAGCGAAAGCACTCGCCTACTACCCAAGAGAACGACGACGTGACTGTAAGATGGAACAAAGATATACAGAAAAATGAAGCATACTACAAGGAAGCCTTGATCTTGCTAGCGGAGAACTTCAATCGGGTACCAACACATTTCATTTACAGGACGTTACGTGAGAAAGGCAATCTTTATGATGCTTTTCATCTTTTGGCAGAGTACGAGAACACATCCAACGATAGCTCACGGAAACCATATAGTCGGACTAAGCTTGCTCGCAGGGTACTAGAGAAGAAGTACCAACGGAATTGCGAACCAGAAGGGCACCAGTACGTCAGTATAGTGAACGAGCTTCAGGCTGCTAGGCAGCAACAACATCGCCAGGAAGTTCGACGAAAGAGGCAGAAGGCTGATGAGGAAGCTGAAGCACAAAACTTCAAGTTGCACCAGCTGCAAGGCTCGTTGGTAGACTGTCAATGTTGTTTTAACGAAGCTCCGTTGAATCGTATGACGCACTGTGAAAACGACGATACCCATTTCTTCTGCAACAAGTGCATTGAGCTGAGAGCTTCCGAGTTGATTGGCGCTCAAAAATATGAATTAAGCTGTATGGACACGTCGGGTTGTGGATCTGAGCTGTCTAAGGAAGCTCTTGCGCGAGCCCTTCCAACAAAGGTATTCAATAAGCTTGCTGAAATTCAGCAGCTCGCCGAGATCAAGGCAGCCGGCCTTGACGGACTCGAGCAGTGCCCGTTCTGCGAGTACCAGGCTGTCTGCCCACCAGTGGACACCCACACAACCTTCGAGTGCCTCAATCCTGATTGTGAAAAGGTGAGCTGCCGAAAATGTAACGGAGAGTCCCACGTGCCTATATCCTGTGAAGAAGCCAAGAAAGACAGAGGATTATCTGCTCGCCATGCCGTGGAAGAAGCTCGCAGTGAAGCAATGATGAGAACCTGTCCAAGGTGCAAAGTCAAAATAGTCAAGTCAGCTGGCTGCAACAAGATAGTTTGCAGCAGCTGCCGAGCCGTGTCGTGTTATGTTTGCCGCAAAGATATCACTGGCAAAAACTACGAGCATTTTGGTTCGGGCTCGGCTCGGTGCCCTGTTCAGGACCAATCACCTGAGGACAGGCATCAGCAAGAGGCAGACAAAGCCGAAAAGGCCGCTATTGCGGCTGCAAAGGCTCAGGATGCGGGTATAAATGAAGAAGATTTGAGAATTGAAGCGCATCTCAATAAAGGGGCCAGTCGAGAACAGGAGATACCCGGTCGTCTCGGCCTTCATGCAGCCCTTCATCTTCCTGCTTTACCACAATTCCATCTGATGGGCGTCCCTCAGCATCATCTGCTTGTGGGAGATCAAGGAGTTGGACCGCTGATTGCTGAACATGAAATGAACAACTTCCATCAGCTGCTTCAACAAGCCCATCAACAACAACATCGAGTCAGAGAGATGCTAGAGATTCAGCAGCAACACTTACGTAGGCTACAACCATTTCTTCCTACGCCAATGGCGGCACCTGTGCCTAACCCACCTAGGGCCGATCGGGTTGTTGTTCCTCCTATACGTCGAGCTGGCCAATATCTTCAATATGCGTATCCGAGACCGGCTGTGGGTGCAGCGCCGGCCCAAGCACCACTAAATGCACTAAACGGGGAAGTCAATGCTGGGTTGGCTGATCGCGCTCAAGATGTCTTCCAGCAGGACCTGAGATATACTGATAGAAGAAACCACAACCATCATCTTCAGCGTGTTGGAGATGACTTCCCAGGCTATCCTCAAACGCCTTTGCTCCAAGATGACCTCCGCAATCTGCCCCTGTGGGCACAACATCCCAACGATGGCCCAAATCTCCCCGATTTAGGTTCTACCCAGGCACAAGAGCAACCGAACCAAGCTTAAGAAGTAATGCACATATCATTCATTGGATCCTATAGATCCTATATCTTGCTTTCAAGTTTTGGTAAATTTTGCATTACAGAGCGGTGTCGCAGCCACTTCTTTGAAGTTGAGGGTTGTTGATCCTCACAGGTTAAACATACTTTCATAGGTTGGGAAGAGTGTCCTAGGCGAGTTGGAAGATAAATCCCGAGCTATTCTGACTGACTTGCAGCCTGTCCTTACTCATCACGCAGAAGATGTACAATGCAAAAGCAGGCCATCGCGAGAGAGTCAAGCTGTACTTTCTAAGATTGTGTGGATGTGGTGCTTCCTCGAGCGAACTTTGCCTTTGACTCTTCAACCCAGACTTCCATCCTTAACTCACCTGCTTCAAGTCTTCTGATAGGGACCGTCTTACCACGTTCCGCAAGAGCATCCAAGCCTGACTGCACCCTGCTTCCCGCTTCTGAATCTCCCTGTGATTGTGCGTGCTGATTTTCTGAAGGGTTCCACGGTTCCGGCTCAGCAGCAATCCACTTTCGTTCCTCTTTTTCAAGCCTTCCCACAGGTCTATCTGCATCGTCACGGATCTCAATGCTAACCGTAAAGCTACACTCAGCATTCTTAGGTAGAGGATGTAGTCTGACGCTTGCTGAGGCAATCCTGCTCAGTACCGCTCGGAACTGTGCTTCTAGGTCCGCTATGTTGATTCGGTTCTGAAGGCTGACTTGGAGACCACCATTTCCCCCTGCTGGTTTCTCAAATGGCGTATCTCGATCCACCTTTTCAATCACTGGGAAGGTTCCTAGATCAAATACCCATTTCTCCAGCACCACATTTTTTTCCACATCGAAGATGCAGACAGCGACCTTTTCGACTGTGTTCTTCTCAAATTGGTCTCGGACGGCATCAACTGCACAGTTGATCCAGCCACAGACTGCGGGATGCCGGTTCTGCCGAGCTGGGAAGTTGTAGGCTCGAGTGCTCAGGAAGGAGGCTCGTGGGTAGATGGAGCGTAGATACAGGAGGTGATGTATGCTGACAGTGAGAAACGAGCAAAGAGTCTGAATCAGCGAGGATTGCGTGCTGAGTAGATTTGAGGTTATGAGCGGATTGGCTGGAGGAGCCACCATCATTGCTGGCCGTAGGTTACAATGCTCACGTCGATTGTTTCAAGATCTGCTTGACGTGTCCCGCGTTGAGTGGGTGCACCAATATTGATTTTGCTGCAGGAACACATCAATGCAACCGAGATACTTCTGACGGCACCTCTACGCGCCCACTCGCACTGCACTCACCTCCATGTCTGCCCTGTTTACTGCAAATACGCTTGTCCTCTGAGCTCTAATGCTGCACGACCTTACACGAAGCTATTCCCAATCCTGAGCTAGCACCAACCATCACCTTAGCTCCAAAGCTCCCATTCCTAGTTAAGGCAGCCTGGAAATGGAGCAAGAGGTCATACAACTGTTACAGTCGACGCAGGCGAGGGAGGATAACACCAGAAAATCAGCAGAGCTCAACCTGCTGCGTCTCTACACAAACCCTGAACTACCTTTTGCGCTGCTGTCCATCTCAACTCATAACGATGTCGCCGAGCACATTCGTCAAGCAGCGCTGCTGACAGTCAATCGCGTTGTGCTTGCGACATGGTCACCAAAATTTGATGACGACTTCAAAGGGAGGATAGTGCTTGATGAGGAAGCGAAGGCAAAGGTCAGGCATCAGGTTTTAGCCATCTCCACAGGCGACGATGGAGGACAAGGCGGCAATCGGAAGGTCAGGAACGCTGCTTCACTTGTCGCAAGCAAGATTGCAGGAGTAGATTTCCCAGACTCGTGGCCAGATCTCTTGCCTCAGCTCCTTCGAATTCTGTCCGGCAGCACTTCAGACCTCCAAGTCCACGGAGCCCTGAGAGTCTTGACAGATCTGGTGGAGTCTGGTTTTAGTGAGGAGCAGTTTTTCGCCGTGGCAAGGGACTTGGTCACAGGTCTTCACAATGTCGCGACCAACATGCAGAGAAAGCCGATTCTGCGTGCTTTGGCCATCAGCGTTTTTCGAGCTTGCTTCGATACTCTGGAGATAGTGATGGAAGACCACAAAGCTGCCGTGAAAGCTTTCTTGGACCAAGCGCTACAAGGATGGATGGCATTCTTCATCGATACGCTGAAAATTCGACTCCCACCGACACCTAGTGAGGACGAGGAAAAGCAAGAAGAGGGGGCCCCAAGTCAGTGGCGGGGTCTGATTGCCCTCAAGCTGCAGGTCGTGAAGGTACGTTGGATGTGCTCCAGTTTTTGCCATGCTCTTGTCTGATACTGAGCAACTCTAGACATTGGTCAAAATTCGGGGAGTTTTTCCGGCCATTCTGACGCCCCATTCTGTGGTGCTGTTTCAGACGGCCTGGGAAGAGCTATCTCAACTAAGACCAGTGTATCATGAACTCTTTATTAATGACGAACGGCAAGGGCGGCTCGAAGACGCTGACGGACTCCCATACACCCTGGATTTTCTGGTGTCAGATGAAATCGATTTAATGGAAAATCTACTCAAAGCGCCCCCTGTTAAAGCAGAATTGCATGGTCAGCTGAAACAAGCCTCAGATGGACCACAGTCTGTCGGTTGGCTTCAAGAGATACTCCACCTCGCCGTCTCGTACGCGCAGATCACAACCGAGGAGGAAGGGCTATGGGAGATTGACGTGAACCTCTTTCTCTCCGAGGAAACTGCTTTGACAGCCAACTACACTCCAAGGGTCGCTTGTGGTGCTCTGATTGTGTCGGGGCTGGTTGAATGGCTGAAGGAAGTACCTGTTGAGGCCCTGCTGGTAACTTGCAAAGGACTATTTGCTGAGCCCAACACATCGTAAGTCCAATAAAATCCTTAAAACACCCACACACTAACATCCCAGGCAGTTGGAAAGCCAAAGAGGCGGCCTTGTTCATCTTGAACCAAATGCTTCGCGATTTTACCGAACTGGATCGGAAAATATCTTCAGATACTGCTTTAGGGTTTGAGGAGTTCATTGATCAAAGCCAACAAGACTCAAGCGTCTATCTACGAGCGCGGGCTTTTGCCGTTGCTGGCCTCCTTGCGAGGACAGCAGGTGAATCGTATACACAAAAGGCTACAGCATATCTCAATGCTGCCATTCAGACATTGGCTGCTGCGGAGGCCCCAGACTTACTACGGGTATCGTGTATTCGTGCTGTCCAAGATCTCATAGAAGCTCTTCCCACTATTTTGACGAAACCATTGCAAACGCCACTCATTGAGAGTGTATCGAGCTACATGTCCTCCCAGGACCTGAACGACCCCGAGGTCGATGACCTTAAAGTATCACTAATCGAAACATTACGTGACGTGATCATGGTCGATGTCACCTGCGCATATACGAGTCCAGCAGTGGATTTACTGTTTACCCTTGCTTCTCATGGAGCAGCCAATTTCCAAATCTCCCTTTTGGTCACCGAAACGTTTGAAAGCATAGTCTCTTCTGTCACAGAGCTCGGACACGAGCCATACGTTAGTCTCTGTGGAAAGACCATTCCATCGCTGACTGGTGCCTTTGACGTTGGCAGCATGACCCAAGAGTCGGCACTAACGAACCTTGCTGCTGAGCTGGTGTCAGCTCTGGCAGAGTACGGCTCAGCACCTCTTCCTGACGGCTTTGTTGCAGCCGTAATGCCAAAGCTGAATCGTGTTCTGCTGGAATCCTCAGACCCCGAGCTTGTCCGCCCATCGACCCTAGCCGTCAAGCATATGCTGTCCCATGGAACGTCACAATTCTTGGGCTGGAATGACCCAGCTACAGGGAAGAATGCCGTCGAGATTACCCTGATTATTATTGATCGCCTCCTCAATTCATCTCTGGTCGACGACAATGCTGCAGCGGAAGTGGGCGGACTTGCCGCTGAACTCGTCGAAAGAGCTGGAGGTGAAAAACTGGGTCCATTTCTTCTGCAGCTCCTACGCGCTGTTGCATTGCGTCTGGCTACAGCTGAGAAGGCTCAATTCATCCAGTCACTCATCTTGGTATTTGCTCGCCTGTCGATATCAAGCCCGCAAGATGTCGTCGATTTTCTCTCCCAAGTCGATATACACGGCGAGAATGGTCTTAATGTTGTACTTGCTAAATGGCTGGAAAACTCTGTCAACTTTGCTGGATACGAGGCCATCCGACAGAACGTGGTTGCGCTAAGCAAACTTTATAGCCTTGAAGACCCTCGAATAGGGCAGATAGGCGTCAAAGGCGACTTGATTGTGCAAGAAAGTGGCCGAATCAAGACGCGGAGTCGAGCGAAGGCCCAGCCGGACCAATGGACTACGATACCGGCGAATCTGAAGATATTGAAGGTGCTAGTAGAGGAGCTCACCAGTGCTTCTGCAAATAGCTTCAACCCTAGCGCGGCTGCAGCGGCCTTGGATTCCGAAGGCAGTGAGGACGGCGATGAGTGGGAGGATGTGGGTGCTGGTAGCACCGGCGTGTTGGATTTGGGTCTCGGAATGACGAAGCAGGAATTGATGGCTTACGATGAGGAAGGTAGCCCCACCAACTCGAGGCAGAGAGACGATGAGACCAGTGACTATCTCATGGGATGGTTTCGAGAACAGGCTCAAAAGCCAGAGTTTGGCGAGATGTTTAATGCCTTGAACCCCGAGGAGAAGGACAGGTTGCAGCGGGTTGGTGGGTGATACAGACCATCAGCATCACGGAGACGGGCTCAGATGGAGACATCGCGGAATAACGGCTTGCAGACCGTATAAGCACGATCATGGTACCCCTTCGTTGACTTAGCTTGGAGGCCATCGCGTCAACTAACATTCTGAGAACCTCCTAGCGTTGACTTCTTTCCTCTATTCTCCACACACGATCTTCTGTTGTCCTTCTTCAGCCTGCTGACAGTCCACTTCGCTCAGTCTGCCTTGTGCTAAGTCCTCTCCCTATGGTACATTTCCGCCCTAAGCAGCCTAGTATATAGTATTCTCCACTCTACACATCTTCCATATATACCGCTACTTGGTCTCGTTATAATCTGCTGTTCAAAACTCGGAATTACATCGTCTCTATTCAAGCTCAAGTACGCTTCTTCCCTTTCATCTGCTTCTAAAGCATCTATCATTTCGGACGTTAGCTACTTAAGGAACAGAGCGGCTATGGCGCCATGGAGGCATGTTTGTCAAGTCAAGGATACAGCTGCGAGAACATTCACCATCACCATCAGGACTGTGATCACAGCTACCCAAACGCGTACCGATACTCATATCAGCAGAGATTGGACAAGCACAGCCACTACTAGTACGCATACCTGGACAGCCGAGACATATGCACGGGCTACCAGCACAGCGACCTGGACAGTCAACAGGATCACAATCGTCACCCCGACGATCACTGTCACAGCGTCCACCACCAGTCACACCCTATGTTCGTGGATTCAGTAGCATATCTATCGCAGAAGGTATTATTTATATTTTCACTATGGGCTGGGATTTGCGATCTGATCGCGACCTTATTGATGGGAGCTTTTTTTGGTTTTCGTTCTGCTTGGGTCACTTTTCCTGACGGGGTGCATATTTTCGGGGGAGTCATGTGGCTGCGGTGCAGTTCAAGCACGTCAGAGCCCTGAGGTGAGTGCGGTAGATGATGCTGCTGTGTGTGAGATGGTTGAGGAGGGGCCTGAGGAACAAGATCATCAAGGAGGAGAGGATGAAGATGAAGATGAAGATGAAGATGAAGATGAAGATGAAGATGAAGATGAAGTCGAGGTTGAGGACGAGGATGGAGACAACGAGCAGGAGGACAGACGAAGGGAAAGGGATACTACGCCGGGTAGCAGTGAGAGCTTTAGCTGGAAACACGATCTGGCAGGCTACAGCAGAGAGAAGGGAAAATGGTACAGCAGCTGTCGAGGTTGTGGAAAGTGTTGAAGGACGTCGCGGGGAGCGCATCCGCAGATTTCACGTATGTACAGGCCAGCACTCTCGAGCCGTGCATACTAGAGTTCCGCCAATCTATCTGTACAAGAAAGTGTAGATTTCTAAAGAACACCATGTGTGGTATACGGGGTCCAGGTTTTGCATCATGTTCTGCATCTGTTCTGCATCATGATACTATTCCGTCTCGCCCAGTCCCACATTCTCCATTCTCTTGGCATAACCCGCGAAGCATTTTGGTTACGTCAGTTTTACCCCGATCTACAGAGCTTTCGGCATCATTTGCAGACTTTCATTCAAGAAGAATGTGATTTGCCGACTGACTCTCAGAAATCACCACGTTTACCACAATACTCATACATACCAAGTCTCGGAGGTTCCTTGATCTATCTTCCTTTCTGCCTTCCTTTCTCCCAAGTTCCGCAGATCGAAAAGTTGAGCTGCCCTCCTCGCCATGTCCTTCCTGTATTCTCGCGTTGTGCGCACTCCCCTCCGGACATCCTTCTCCGCCATTCGAGTCTCTAGACCAGCTACCTCATCTTTCTCGACATCGTCGTGTCGGGCTGCTTTGAATGAAGGTGACCGAGGTCCGTCTCCCCCTTCTCTACTCGTCTCTCTCCGGGAAAGCCACATTCTCGCCCAGAGATCTTCACTTCAACCAGCCTCGGCTGACACAACGCCCGTGCTGACGCAACAGCACACGCACAAGATCGTGATGACCTCGGCGAGCAGAATGAGAAGCATAAGCAGCAACAGCTGCAGGAGCAGAGGGAGGGAAAGGGCAAATGGAAGAAGGATTTGGGAAGTAATAGTGAACAAGCGGTACGTCTCTGAAGAGCTGGCACCTCCGATTCAAGGGCTATAAGTGGAAACGTGCCGACGCTCAATGCCAGTTTCGCTGCTTGACAGACATGCTGCTCATCAGGCACGCCTGTGCCTACGAGCGTGGCAGCAGTAGCTCTTTTTATTTCCACCGGCCCATCCAGTCTCACTACTCATAGCAACCCAAAGGCTAACTGTACTTGTGTGGCAAACAGATCAAAGCAGATCGCGGCGAGGCCGACGCAAGTGACGACACGATAAAGAAGATGCAGCAGGAGACTGTTCAAGCTGCCCAGTCAGAGAAGAAATAAGGGGCTTGTGTGCACGAGCTGGGCCAATCTTACATCTCATCCTGGTTTGGGAGCCATTATGAGAGGGGAGCCTTGCGACTACCGAGCAGAAAAATCTCTCCCCGATAGACGGGAGGTCTTCCTCAACCACTCAAATACAGAGATCCTTGTGGTGCGATAGGTTGCCTGCAACGAGGTTTGCGTGATTCAATTGTACATACCACGATTTTCAGCAGATTGTATCTCTATATTCACGCCTCCTCCATTCTACCATTGCGGCTACATAATCGACATCCTGAACATTTTCACTCGGATTTTCTAGCTCTTCGCCTACTCCCTCAATCAGATTGAATACCGGGTGATCTCGTACCAGTGTATTCGAGGCAACCTTCATGCCAGAGTGCGACTACTATCAAAATACCGGCAGCCAGCCAGCTCCCAAAACAGGAAGTCAGTGGCTAAGTCAATGGCTCTTCCCATATCCGGGAATGCTTGCAACATAACATGGTGAATCAACCTTCAGCGTCTAGGATGGTGATGTCAGCACACCTTTTCATGCAACAAGCCCGTACTATCTAGCAACCTATCTACAACATGTAAACGAAGCTCTGTCCTCCTCTGCTCTCCTTCCCATCCTTCCTTTTTCTTCTTTTCCCTTTTCTCCCCATCAAATGCCGCGAAGTTTCCTCTCCGTCAGCCTCTTCCTCTTCATCCCCACCACCCAACCCCACCATCTCCACATCCTCACCTGTATACGCACTTCCTAACTCCCCCTCTCCCTCTCGTTCCCTCTGCCTCCGATTCAAAACGCCAAACCACCCCCGCCATAAACCCCGCACAAACCAGCATTCCCCTGACAAAAAAGGGCGCATCGCTTTCGGGGTAAAGCCTCGTGCCAACCAACGGCCCACACTGCCCCACCACATTCAGAATCGCCAGGCCGGTCCCCTTCCCGGTGTCGCTCTGCTGATTATTCAGCGTCCAGGTGATGATCAGCGTGATGGCGGAGAAGAAGCCCATTGCGGCGCCGAAGACGCCGCCGTAGCGGATCAGGAGCGTGGCAGTGGGTCCGAGGAGGGCGTGGTAGCGGCCTGCGAGGCCGATGGCGAGGTAGGAGAGCGAGGAGAGCAGGGAGGCGGTTATGATGAAGACACCGCGGGAGTGCGGGATGGTGTCGCTGAGGTGGGAGATTAGGAGGACGAAGAGGAAGGAGAGGAGGTAGGGGGGTGCGGAGAGGAGTTGCGAGGTTAAGGGGGAGGGGTGGCTGGAAAGGGAGGTGAGGATGGTGGGGAGGAAGACAGGCAGTGAGCTGAAGGATATGTTGGCGCTGAAGAACATTAGGGAGGTTAGGTAGGGGATGGGTGAGCGGAGGGTGGTGAGGAGGTCGGGGAGGGAGAGGTGGTTGGCTTGGGTGGAGTTGGAGTTGGTGGCCGTGGTGGTGTATTTCGAAGAGGATGTTGGCTTCTCTTCGGATTGGAGGCGGAGTTTGGCGACTTTGCGTTCACGGGCCGTGAGGTATTTGGCTGTCGCAGGGGAGTCCGGAATGATGTGCCATGCGAAAATGGCGACAATGATGCTAGGGAAGCCTTCGATCAGGAAAAGGGCACGCCAGGGTTCGAGGGGCCCATGCTGAGAGAGTTTGACGATCAGCCAAGCGAGAGTACTAGCACAGCTGGTTGCGAGGGGGGCTGCGGAGATAAAGAGGCCGACTCGGTAGGCTAACTCGGAGCGTCTATAGAAGAAGGAGAGGTAGAAGGGTACGCCAGGGCCAAACGCGGCTTCGGCTACGCCAAGGAGAGCGCGGAAGATGACGAGCGAGCTGAAGGATGTAGAGATGGACTGTAAGGAGGCGACCAGGCCCCATGACAGGACGCAAAGTGAGATGTAGATATGTGGTGGGACGATACGGTAGAGAAGGGTCATCCATTCAAAGGAGATGTACGTGATGTAGAATGCTGTCAAGAGCCAGGCATACTGCCCAGGCCGAAGCGACAAGGACGTCTCCAGTCCGGCAATGCGGGCGTTTCCAATGTCTGGCAAGCGAGAATCATTAGTCTTTGCAGCAGAGAAGAGCGCTTTCCTGGATGGGACAGGGTTGATAGGGTGGAAATATTGGGAAACATGGGGAGTTCTGACTAGATCTATCCAAAAAGCTCAATAGGTATAACAGGGCCATGAAAAGCACAAGCCTCCTATCAGACTTGCGAATCACCGCCTTCTCCTCGTTGACAGTGTACGATTTGGAGAGGCTCGCCACTCGCGACAACGACCCTGTATGGTATCCCGCATCGTTACCCGCATCGCTACTCGCCTCGCTACTCGCCTCGCTGGAGGAGTCGCCGCCCTGTGTTATGGGATTGCAGCTTTCATCTTCATGCGCCTTTCTCAACAACGTTTGTAGCTCAATTGAGTCTCGGACGCCGCTGTAAGATGTAGCGGCATGTCCTGGCGAGCTGGAAGCTGTTCTTAAATCTGTCCCCGAAGCTAGATGGTGGTCTGATTGTTCATGAATGCTGTTAGGATGCGCATCGGTCATATCGATAAGTATTGAACCGCAAAGGGCATGTTCGAGCTGCCAAAGCTTTACTACATCGTCGCTAGTACATGCTGAGATGATATGAGCTCGTCTGCTTAGAGATCTTTGAAATGTTACGTGAGATGCCAGGTTCGGCGGGTTCTGGCCCGTGACCGTGGTTATGTTAACCGTGAGCTTGGAGAATGTCAATTTCCAATCGGGCGTCACCGGATCGGATGATAAATTATTTGCAATGATTGGAGAGCATCGCGTCAGCATCCAATACAAGAGAAGCATACAAGTCCAAGTTTGGAGGCTCAGCTTCTTCAAATATCTTTATTGCTCTTTCTGACCTCTTCGAATCAATTGTATGCTTCCTGCATTCCATCGATTGCTTCGTCACTCCACTCGAATCTCCTCATCCCCTGGAGCTCCCCGCACTGCTGTCGCAAAGATGTCGGTACGCATATCTTACTATTCTGCCATCCTGCTGGCCCCAGTGGTTGCACTTGGGCTGAGATCGTACTTCAGACAGGAAACGCATCGAAGATCACCGATTGGGTAGATCCCAACGACAAATCTGGCGAGTTCAAAAGAGGGCGGTCTGCCTTCAGAAACTTTATATCTCGAGAGCCAGGGGCAGAATTTCCGCCCGAGAAGGACAGATATCATCTTTATGTATCATATGCATGTCCATGGGGTATGTCTCTCTCCTGTTCAGCAACAGGTCGTGAAATTGTTTGCTGACCTTGCCATTGCTAGCCCATCGCACCCTAATCGTGAGGAAGCTCAAAGGCTTAGAGGATATCATACCATACACCAGCGTACACTGGCACATGCTTGAGAAGGGTCATGGTTCATTCTTATTACAACGAGCAACTTGACTGATGCATAGAACAGGCTGGCGGTTTGCAGAGCCAGACGAGAAGGTTCCGGGCGACAACGTCACTAAAGACCCTCTCCATCCCGAATACACCCATCTTCGTCAAATATACTTCCAGGTCGAACCGCAATATGCAGGTCGCTTCACGGTGCCTACACTGTACGACAAGAAAAAGGAAACAATCGTCAGCAATGAATCCTCAGAAATCATTCGAATGTTCTATACCGAGTTCGATGACCTTGTTTCGGAGAAGTTTAAGAATGTCGATCTATATCCAGAGAATCTGAGGGAGGAGATTGATGCTACCAATGAATGGACCTACGATAATATCAACAATGGAGTCTATAAGTCAGGCTTTGCCACAACTCAAGAAGCTTATGAAAAAGCTGTGATCCCCCTGTTCGAAGCACTTGACAAAGCGGAAGCGCATCTTGCCAAAGGACCTGGCCCATATTATTATGGCGAGAACATCACAGAGGCAGATATCAGATTATATACCACCATCGTTCGGTTCGACGTGGTCTACGTCCAGCATTTCAAGACCAATATCAGGGATATCAGATCAGGCTATCCTCACTTACACAAATGGTTGAGAAAGCTGTACTGGGACGTGCCAGCATTTGGGGAGACAACGCAGTTTGAGCACATCAAGAATCACTACACGAAGAGTCACCGGCAGATCAACCCTCCCAGTATCACACCGGTTGGCCCGCATCCTAACATTTTGAAGAAGGATGAAGAAGTCCCCGCTGTTGAGGCGGCTCTCAAGGCAGCAGGTCGCTAATGGTTTCTGGCATTGATGCAAGCCATATGAATGATTTTTGACAGAATGTATACAGATTGCCTGGGTATAAATAGGGCCATAGTTTCTATGCCGGCAATATATTGCGTGTAAGTACCAAACGCATTCGAGTCTGATAAGCTCAAAGTGTAATACCGCGGGTGCTTGTTAAATTAGGCCAATATGGAGACCCTGGAGTATTGGATGATTTTAAAATGAGGTTGTCTCAAGCATGCAGAGCTCAAAAACCCCCATCCCTTGTCTTGATCCAAAACAATGCATACTTTAAATATCTCGTGATCGGATACCACAATCCTTCATGTTGGTGGTTATGTACAGCGTCGTTAAACGAATAAGTGTTGGTGTTTGGTGTTAGTGTTGGCTAATAAAGAATGTGATTCTTAACCGTCCCAATTGGGTTTCCGATCGTCAGAAAGAATTTGCACCCGAGTCTCAGGAGGGGGCTTAGAGACGCCGCCAACGCCTCAAAGCTTCAATCCGCAAATCAGGCTAAGGAGAAACTGTCTTGGGGTCGACACAGCTAAAGTAGAAGTTCATCATCCTGATTGATTTGTCCAGCATTCCACCACTAGCAGAGCAATAGTCCTTTGGCCATGACTTCGGTTTACGCGGCGCATGCGCAACACCGCCTTGTCACTATTAGCTTGACACCTACTCCGTACTAAGGTTTACGTCTCCATCCGCAGTGTTTCACCAATGATTGAGAACGTGCCCAACATAGAACAGTGTTCAAGGGGCACAGCCGTGAAAAGAGCAGGTTGGATACCGAATCGAGGTAAGAGGCTGACTTGGAATTACATAGCCCAGCAGGACCGTAATGTCCGTCTGTCTCTAACGTGCCGTACATGACGGTGTTTCGTGTCGAGGCTGGTCCCTCTGGTCAGACCTACCTCCCTACTATCAGACCTTCCTCCCTCCCGTGTCAAAGCTTTTCCAATTAAAGACAAACAAACTTCCCAAAAAAAAAGCAAAGGTTGGAAATTTGATCTCAAATACTTTTCCTCCTTGACAGCTGACCCCCAGGCAAATAATATCGTCTCGTTCAGATATGCTGCCGACTTTCCTTCGAATATGATTGCGTACAACGGATCTGCTCCCATGGCCTCACGATGATGCTCCTCACAACAACGTCCAACTCCCCAAGGGCTAGGGCAGTTCAATTCTTTTTACGATGGCGAGCCTTTCAGGCATTTCTTGTAATCCTGATATTTCTCAATCTCCTTGCATTCTTACCGCCCAGGACTTATGCTACGAACTTCGAGCAAGAGGCACAAACAAGACCTTCCAACCTTTCAGCCGCCCATGAAGCCCGTCAACACATCGGACGAGTCTTCATCGCATCCCTGTTAAAGGACAACGAAGATCTCTTGAAAGGAGGGTGGTCCGATGCGGTGGTCAATCTTACCCGTGCCCTTGGTCCTGAAAACGTCTGGGTATCAATTCATGAAAGTGGCAGTCGGGATGGCACAAAAAGAGAGCTGCAAGTACTAGATCTTAAGTTAAGTGCACTAGGTGTGGGCCACAAGATCAACATGGGAGACATTGGTCAAGAGATGGATGATATAATACCAGAAGATGGGCCTGGTTGGATTACTGCTGAGGGCAGACGCCTGATGCGCCGAATACCATGGTTGGCCGGATTGAGAAACAAGAGTATCGAACCTCTGACGGATTTGGTAGCCAACAACGTCACTTTTGACAAGATCCTATTCCTTAACGATATCATCTTTACTTCGGATGACGCGCTGGAATTACTTGGCACCCGTGATGGCGATTATGCTGCAGCTTGTGGCTTCGACTACAGCAGACCGTGGCCTACTGCTGCGTTCTATGATCAATTCGCGACCAGGGACTCCAGTGGACAGGAGCTCATATCTCTATACCACCCATACTTTGCAGAGGGTAGATCAAGAGACGCGATGCTACAAGGTTCACTGGTCCCCGCCAAATCTTGCTGGAGCGGTATAGCGGCTTTTGATGCGGCGCCATTCCAGAATCTACAACATCCTCTGCGCTTTCGCGCAGTCAATGATTCGCTGGCAGAATATTTCCTCGAGGCGAGCGAGTGTTGTCTGATCCACTACGACAACCCACTATCCATATTTAAAGGTGTATGGATGAACCCCAAAGTTCGTGTGGGATACAATGGAGAGCGGTATGATGCCGTGCATCGTCCTCAGAACTGGCCATCCACAACAGAGACCACACTCGGCCTCGTCACCCGTGTCTTCGCACGGATATTGCAACTCACGCCAAGACCAAAATTGATTGACCAGCGGTACGATGAATGGGCAGAGAAGTCCATGTACCACACAGAAATCGGATCAGACTGTCTAGTCAACAAAATGATGGTTGTTTCTGGCAAGGGACAATGGAGTGCAGTCCGGGAGTCGTCATGACCTCGAAGCCGTCGCTGTAATTGTATCCCTGCTCAAGATCATGTCGAGCCGATCTACCTTACCTCCTTGAGACACTGACTTCTACGAGAAATCCAAAGGAAAGCTATGAACCGCGAACGACAGATTAGTGGTCAGCATCAGACTTTAAAGAATAATTCTACTCTTGAACCGTGAATAATGGATTAGAACAACGCCAACTGTGTCAAGGTCGGCTGTTTGAAGGAAGGAGACCAACACCTTGTGTGATCCGCCAGGCCCGACTTCACTTCGTCATACTGCGATGTCTATGGCTTTACAAGACGTGAAGCTTTCTTTCCCGAGGCCGAGCTGATATAGCTGCCATCGATATAGTGAAGGATAAGTCACGAGTTTAGGTCATGGGGATCGCCAGGTAAGGCTTCGGCTGCCCTTGGTTTGTCTTCGTTTGACTGAATGAAAGGATTGAACATACAATATCATTGAGGCCGATTGGCACTTTGAGCTTGATGTCCAGCTTTTGAGCATTTTATTGGCGCCTGTCGAAAGAAAAGTTTCTGTCCACTTTGAGAGAGTTGCGACACTGTGACATATCGCTGGAGAAGGTGCGGTGCTGTGATAGAGAACAAGTGTACTATAAGAGTAGTGAAAGCTATGTACGGATTTTCCTGCAATACGAAGTTGCTGTTGTACGACTTCCTGATGCTCTGGTCCTTTCATTCAAGGTATTTCCTTCTGCTCGATGCTCCATTTATTGCCTGAAGAGAACCCTGACCTGCTTCCTGCCAATGAGTAAAGCTATGAAATGGATCCCGGCCACGACCTCCCAAGCGTCCTCCTGTTTCGCTGCAGTGAGTTCTTATATAGGTGGCCTCTAATCTTCAATCCGTCTCAATCACCAAGTGCGAGAAGCCGACTTCTAGATCCGCGCTCCCACCCGGCTTAGCGGCATAGACACCAACCCAACAGTCCTCTTTACCGTCTCCTTCAAAGAACCACGTGACCTCTCTTAATGGGCTTCTTCTCACTCCCTCCAACAAATATACCCAGAGACTCCCGTCCTTTTCCCTCGCCATCTCAATCGTCGCACCTGTCCCTCCTTCTGACGGCATCGGCCTCAAACTCCAATCACTCCACCTGTCCGTTGCCACTACGCTGACATGCGGTGCGTTTTCAACATATTCAATGCCTGCCTTGAGCCATTTTTTTGAGCCATCAGCCTTGTTAATGATAATGCAGATGCCTCCTTGATCGTACAGCTCTTTCCAATCCGCAGAAACGGCAACACGTGCCTTTTTGAAAGAGGACAGCTGTATCTTTTGGTAGAGAATAGGAGCGCTGAAGGAATGCGTAGATGGTGGTTTCTCCCACAAATCTGTCTTGGCTTTTGTGCTTATCGTGAAATCGTTGGGAAGCTCGCTGGGGGGTTCATTGTGGTAGTTGGCAAATTTCCACGACATCTTGGGAAAGCCACGGATTAGGGAGTCCTGGTGTGTACTCGGAAACGATAAGGACACAGAGAGAGGTGCAGCTGGGTGATGAGGACGCCCAGTTGTGCTCGCCGTGGTCACACTCAGATGCTCATTGTGACGGACATGTTCAGAAGGGGTTGGGGAGGGTGATATCTAACTGTTGCAGGTGCTTCCCCCCCGCACCTTTTGCGGGGCAGCCAGCCACTTTTGGGGGGTTGCACACCCTTCAAAAATGGGGAATTACAGCCCCGCGCGAAAGTATCGGACCAAAACGCGTTATTTTTGAACACGCGTTTTTTTACACCCTTTTTCAAACAACTCCTATGGCTCAACGCAAGGCTCTGGCGCCTCTTGAAATTAACAGGAGCTATGGCAAGGAGTTATCTCCATACCAACGAGGTCAAATTTCTGCGTACAAAGCTATGGGGTTGACAAATCAAAAGATTAGTCAAAATTTGCAATGCGGCAAATCCACCATTTTTAATACCCTTGCTCAAAATCCACTGCGCAACCAAGGCAAAAGCTTGCCCTGTTCAGGACGCCCCCAGACCTTGAATAAGGTTCAGAAACGCAATATTCTACGTCTTATTCGTGTTAATCTAAAGGCTACTTATTAAGAAATCAAGTCCGAAGTTGGTATTAGTATCTATCGAAAGACTATCTATCGAATCCTCAAAGACGAAGGCATTACTAATTAGTTAGCCAAAAAAAAGACCTTTATTGACTCCTTAATTAGCTACTAAACGACTTAAATAGTGTCAAGAACGAAGAAATTAGACGTGGGCTAAGTGAAGCAAGATCATATTTAGTAATGAATGTTCGCTTGAAAGAGGCAGTGGAGCGTGTCGAACATGGGCCTTTCGTACACTACAACAACGTTGGAATTCTGATATGATTGATACATATAAGAAGGGCAAAGATATCAGTATTATGATATAGGGTGCAATTCATAGAGAAGGTCGTTCGGATATTATGTTATTAGAGCGCGATCCTGATTCAGAGAAGTCAGGATACACTGCCAACTCTTATTTGGCAGTACTTCATGAGCAGATGCCTCGACTGTACGAACCAGGGCGCAAATTCATGCAAGATAATGCCCGAATCCATACTGCAAAGAAGATTATCAATTGGCTTCAAGAGGAGGGCATAGAATTGATGGAATGGCCAGCCTATAGTCCTGATCTCAACCTAATTGAACACCTCTGGGCGCAACTCAAGCAATGGATCAATGATCACCATCCAGAGCTAATTAATATGGGCAAATCGGAGGAGGATTATCAACGTCTGTTCAGAGCAATTTATGAGGGTTGGGATGCTATAGGAGAAGAAGCTGTGGCCAATCTCATCAAGAGTATGGATAGTCGAGTGAATGCGGTCATTGCGGCTAAAGGATGGTACACCAGATTCTGAATATCGACTGCCTATTTAGGAAAATAGCCCAGCCTCAATCTCTGGATGTTTCTGAACATTCTGAGCCGTTTTTCATCAGAATCCATCAAGTTGGTAACTTACTATGGTAAATTGTATGAAGATGGTCCAAAATGTTGGTGGGGTCTGAAAGTGGGGTTGGTCCGATACTTTTGTCCTAGTACTGTAATTCCGAGCTCCCAATGGTGAGGGGTCCGCTGTCAGTACTCCGTAGTGCTTCTTAACTTCTCAGCCCCTGTTATATCTCCTGAAGTGGACGTCTGATAAACACGATGCCGCTTCTGGCGTGCAGATAACTTTTGGGTGTTTTCTGCCCTCAATTGTGTAGTGACACAATGGGCAATTGGAACCCTCAACCACATTCGCTTGTATTCAACTCCTACACTCGCTCAAACTGAGAGTCAACCATGGCAGGCCCACCTTACCTTCATCCTGAGGGCGTCACGGTCTATTACACCGAGGACGCCTACCTTTCGCGAGTTCTGATATTCTACTGGCCTGTGACCACTGCAGGCTCCAGCATTTCTTCCCGACATCGAATAACTATCTTCACGAAAATTGGTCATGCCAGCTTTCCACCTTTCCAGGTATCGCCTCAAAGTTCGTACTATGGCGCGGTAGCACAGCTCTCAGACGAGCGTCAGCGTGACGAGACATACCGAGTTATGGTCTTTAGTCTGGCGAAGTATTTCGATACTCTGCCCGCGGCCTCCAAAGAGAACGGATATGATTCAGGAGGTCGCACTTTGTTTGATGATAGACATGCCGGCAAGATCGCAAACAAGCTATGCAAAGTGACGAATCCTATAAGAGTCCTGGAGGATGTTCAATCATTCTATTCATCATCCTCAAAACTTCAACAAACATCTTCCCGCCCGTCCTCCTCCTCAAGATCCACAAGCTTCTCCTCCGAGCAAAAGCAAGCTATTCGCCTAGCTATGTGCGAAGTGGTTGACACGGAAGAACGCTATGTCTCCAAAATGCACGAACTCCTCTTTAACATCATCTCCGAATTCCGCGAAAAGTCCTGCACGAAGCCTCCTTCATCTACAAGCCCAGACGCTCAAGCGCTCTCCAAGCTCTTCCCTTCCTGCCTCGACGCCATCTTCACCGTCAATCGAGGCTTTCTCGACTCCATTCGCCACGTTCTCGAAACCACCGAGGATTCGGCAATAGAGTCCATCGCTTCAGGCGACGACGAAAAACTCAGCTCACACGACTTTTTGGGCATCCGAGCCTTTTCGAGGGTGCTTTGCGATTGGTTTCCCAAATTCCTCTACCCCTACAAAGAATATCTTTACGCACACACCACTTTCTCTGCCCTACTCAGCTCTCTCATGAGAAATCATGCCGCCTCGAGCTTCTCCCGTCGCGTTCGTGAAACAGGCGAGCAGAAACTCCGTTCAATGCTCATGGAACCCGTGCAGCGTCTTCCGCGGTACAGCCTCCTCATCGACTCAATGACAACACCATTACCCGTCGGTGAACCCAGTCTGAAACTCCTAGCCAAAGCCCGAGACGTGGTGAGCGAGATCTGCGCTATGGAAACTCCTGTAAGCAAAATACTAGACAGCCTGACCATCACCTATGAAGAAGAAAAAGCCTATCGAAGTCTAAGTCCGACGAAATTCCTGAGTAGCCTAGCGACGGGGGAGGATATGGTGGTTATGCGGCATGTGCCGAGGTTGGCGGTGCCGGAAGAGGAGAGGGATAGGGACAGAGAGAAAGAGAAAGAGAGGGGAAGGGATAGAGGGGGAGGGGGAGGAGGACTGAGAAGGGCGCTGAGTCGAAGGGTTAGTCCGCCGAAGCGGGAACAACGTGAACAGCAGATGCTGAAGGAGAATCTGCCACCCCGGGTTCTGATGCCGACGGGCCAGCAGAAGGATCCGCTGTTGATGGAGTTGGAGATGCTCAGGAGGGAGAATGCGGCGCTAAGAGATATGCTGGATCGGTGTACATGTGGTGTTGCTGATTCTGGGGGTGGTGGGCCGGAGAATTATGCATATAGATAATATCGAATTTCCCTCAGGGGCATTACTTTAGCATTTTGTGACAAGGGTGCTTGCTTTCGTGGTATAGATGCAACCAGCTACCTGCGTATAGTAGATTTTCGTACCGCTGGCCCGTTTCCTGACTAAAATATCACATCGTCATCCTCCTGCGTGCCTAGCACATCCAGTGGTTCGTCGTCGGCTCCCCCGTCTGTCTTATTTCGTTGCCGCTGGAGTTCCTTGTCGGCGGCGGCTTGGTCTCGTTGTTTCTTGTTTGATACCTGAAAGTACAGGTAGGGTTAGAGACGTTGACGGAGGTGGGACCAAAGACGAGGAACGAAGTGACTTGCCTTCTTCAATCGGTAGAACTCCTCTCTGTCCATCTCGTCGAGTTCTGAATTGATGTCTGCAGTATCGTCAGCATCTGACTGTCCCCACAGTCTTTGGTTCATCGTAGACTAAAAGAAGATGAGACCTCACATTTAATCGTATTCTCCGTCCTGGGAATAATCACGTGCTCAATCGCATTCACCCGTCGATTCACCACCTTGATCACCTCATCCAGCGTCACGAACGCCGTCTGCAAGCTCGCTAACTCCACCAGGGTCTCCACCGCCCTCCGATACGTCTCCCGACACCTCTGGACCTGCTGGCCTCCCTTCCCCAGGCCCGTTAAGCCAAAGTCATCCTTCGCGTCGTTGGTGGTAAAGGACTCAAACTGTGGAAGGAAGACGCCGGAGACATTTTCTTGCTTTGTGCGGAGCCGAAAGCGGGCGGACTTGACCGATTCTTGGATCTGGTAGGTGATGTTGCTGCCGCCGACGGCGTAGGTTACTTCGGCGAGGGAGAAGGCGGCGATTTGCATGACGCGGCCCATTTTGCGTTTGGCTTCGTCGATGCGGCGGGTTATTTCTAGATTGTGACTTCGCATCAGTAATGAATTCTATGGATAGTGTTAGAATAATTGGGTGGTCGTTACCTCGAAATCGCCTAGGTAAGAGAAACACGATCAGCATTGGTATCATCGTAAGAGCTCAGTTGGTTGACAGACTTTGTCAATGCTTCACTCTTCCTCTTCAGCAAGCTGTGGCCAGTCTCTGCTCCCTTGAGCTTTGACTTCATCAGTCCGAGAGACTGACGAGTCGGGAAGACTGCTTCCCTCTGCAAGTATGCATGTTAGTTACCGTGAGCAGTACCGGGATTGATCATACTCACTCCTGCGCCTGAAGACATCTTCGAGATTGTCCGGTGAAGGTATTGGTGCTTAGGACATCAGTCTTGAGAAGCTGTGACTTGAAACCCGACGTCGCTGTCATCAAAGCTTCCACTTGGCTCGAGCTTCTTGCGGCGGCAGGGTCCCACGCTAAGGAATAAGGTTCCAATATCACATGATTTGGCACTTCTCGCGACTTTTTACAAGTGTCCGATTAAGCAATGTTCTGAGGCTGTGCTTGGATTGAGGATTTCCTTGGGTCAGGCTTCAGCTGAAGCACTATTGCTGGAGCCTGCAAAGTAAGGAGTTGCAATGCCAGGCATGGCAGTTGCTGACCTCAACGGCCACCAACCACCCAACATGGCCAAATCCGCTCCGCAGAACCCGGACTTCTTCCTGATATCCTCCGAAGACACCATCTACGAACAGGATATCCTTCGTAACCCTGGCAGCGTGAGACCATGGCTTACGTACATCGATCACAAGTTGCGCAATGGCACCATACACGAACAAGCCTTTGTGCAAGAACGAGCATGCATATCATTACCTCGGTCATACAAGTTATGGAAGATGTACCTCGACTTCCGGATCAAGCATCTACGGAGGAAGAACCCAATCAAGCAGAAGCCGGAGTTCAACAAGGTCAATGCTCTGTTCGAACGGGCTATTATCCTCCTCAATAAGATGCCGGTGATCTGGGAGATGTATCTTTCATTCTTGCTTCGTCAACCTCTTGTGACCAAGACAAGGAGGACCTTCGATCGGGCTCTGCGAGCTTTGCCTATCACACAGCACAACCGAATCTGGCGGCTCTACAAGACGTTTGCCAATTCTGCTGGAGGAGACACTGCTGTCAAGATATGGACGAGGTATATGCAGATACACCCGGAAGATATGGAGGATTTTATTGAACTACTTATCGAAACAGGCAACTACACGGAAGCAGTCAAAAGATACATACAGATCCTCAATAATCCAAAGTTTCAGTCCAAGAGCGCCAAAAGTCAGTTTCAGCTGTGGAGCGAGATGGTGGAGCTGATGGTCAGCAAAGCCCGGGAGATCGGAGACAATACTGCTTCTGGTCTTGATGTTGATGCGATCATTCGGAGCGGCATTGAACGATTTGCAGACCAAAGGGGCAAGCTGTGGACAGGTCTAGCAACGTATTGGATCACTCGTGGTGATTTTGAACGTGCTCGAGACGTCTTTGAGGAAGGTATTACAACTGTGATGACCGTCCGAGACTTTACCTTGATCTTTGATTCGTATGTGGAATTCGAAGAGTCAATCATCTCCAATCTAATGGAGTCCGCTTCGGCTCGAGCTGCAAAGGGAGTGACAAATGAAGACGCAGATTTCGACCTCGATATGCGAATGATGCGTTTTGAGCACCTTATGGATAGGCGGCCGTTCCTAGTCAATGATGTTCTACTTCGTCAAAATCCGAACAATGTCATCGAGTGGGAGAAGCGAGTTGCGCTATGGAACGATAATAAAGTCGAGGTCGTCCAGACCTATACGGATGCCATTGCAGCGATCCAGCCAAAGAAGGCGGTTGGCAAATTCCATGAATTATGGCTCAATTATGCCAAACTGTATGAGGATGGCGGGGATCTGGCAACTGCTCGGGTCATTTTGGACAAAGCCGTGAAAGTGCCGTACAAGTCGGTAGCAGAACTTGCCGAGACTTGGATAGGATGGGCGGAAATGGAGCTTCGCAACGAGAATTTTGATCGGGCGATAGAGATCATGGCAACAGCGACAAGAGCGCCGAAACGGAGTACGGTCGACTATTTCGATGAGACATTGTCACCACAACAGCGCGTTCACAAAGCTTGGAAACTTTGGTCCTTCTACGTCGACCTGGTCGAGTCTGTTGCATCGCTGGACGAGACAAGAGCCATCTACGATCGAATATTCGAACTTCGGATAGCAACTCCTCAGACAGTTGTCAACTATGCAAATCTGCTAGAAGAGCACAACTACTACGAGGACAGTTTCAAGATCTATGAGCGAGGGCTGGACCTCTTCTCCTACCCGGTCGCGTTCGAACTCTGGAACCTTTATTTAACCAAGGCAGTAGATCGCAGGATCAGCATGGAAAGACTACGCGATCTCTTCGAGCAAGCGGTCGAAAGCGTCCCACCACAATTCGCTAAAGCCATCTACCTGATGTACGGCAATCTGGAGGAAGAGCGCGGTCTCGCCCGACACGCCATGCGCATCTACGAGAGAGCTACCCGAGCCGTGTCAGACGAAGATCGCTCCTCCATGTTCAGCTTCTACATCACCAAGTCCGCGTCCAACTTTGGTTTGACGTCCACCCGGCCCATCTACGAAAGAGCAATTGCCGCACTTCCGGACAAAGAGGCCAAAGACATGTGTTTGAAGTTTGCGGAGATGGAGCGTCGTCTGGGTGAGATTGACCGTGCGAGAGCAATTTACGGACACGCAAGCCAGTTTGCAGATCCAAGGACGCAGAAGGACTTTTGGGATCAGTGGGAGAAGTTTGAGGTTGGGCATGGGAATGAAGATACCTTTAAGGAGATGCTGAGGGTGAGAAGGAGCGTGGCGAGTCAGTACAAGTATGTCCTTTCCAGATCTGTTTTCATCCAGAGAGTCTTTGGCTAACCCTTTCTAGCACCGATGTCAACTACATTGCCTCCCAGGCCATCGCTCGAGCAAACGCTAGCAAAGCGAATCAGGCAAATGGCGCAGGCGACGCCTATGCCGATCACAATGCCGACGACAACGCCGACGACGGAAGAGATGCCATGGCGGCTTTGGAAAGACAGGCAAGAGCACCAGTTGGATTTGTTGCCGCCAGCACAGCTCCGCAGAATGGCAACCAGCCTGTTCAACCTCCTCAACCTGCAGCATCGGTGGCTAACCCCGATGCGATTGAGGTTGATGTCGATGATGACGATGATCCGTGACTCGAGGTTTGGGGGATAGTGCACGGACCTACGCAGGTGGGCAGACCTCTTCAGGTAGCATTGTGCATGGTTGCTGTGGTGGGTTTTGTTTCCGGTCCAATGCACAGCGACGGCGTTCCAATGTGTCCCTGCGCAATGTCACCAATAGCTCTTCACGTAGCTTCCAAGAGAGAATCCTTCGTGTCCAGTGACCACCACACCTTCGCAACGAAAGGCTACCCTCGGACTTACCAGTCGCTAGGGTCAGCAATGCTGTGCTGCTGTACAGGCGGTGGGGCTGAATGAGACCACTAACCACCTGCGGTAATAAGCTTCAGAGTGAAGTTATTCGCTGAGAGACCCGACACTGCTTTCTTGAATATATTGACCCTCTGTCTAATCTACAATGGTTGATATCAACCAAAGGACCATAAATATTCTATGGTACTCCGTATTTGCAAGGCGGAAGGAGCGATTAGCGTTACCTGTTGAACAGGAAGCCTTAATGGTGTAGGGATAAAAAATTGCTGTCCAAAATCTGGAAGGCTCGCACCAGACTGATAGTGACAAAAGAGGGGAAATCAATCGAGGTATTGTAATTGATATTTCCCATCTTATGCTACGTGGTTGTTTGCTCAAGGAGTCAAGAAGAAGCAAGCATCTTCTAAATATCATTTTGGGATTGCTAGTTAGTGACAACAGACGGTTGTACATATAGCATCGCAAAACTAAGATTGACGTTACTCATGTTTTGGTAGACATTGCAGATTGAGACAAGATCACCACCTTTCTATGGTTTCGGACGGCAAACTGTATTGGATGGTCTGATATTGAGAGAATAGAGGGGATCGTACGGAGTACTTGGTGATCCGGAGTAGGGATACATGTGCAGGGGGACCTACATTTCGTGGATCGTTTTATACTTACTCTAGCTTTGATCCCCTCTCTCGTGAAACACCGTCGTTGCCAGATGGCTCTCTTGTCTTCTCCGACTGCTTAGGGGGTCTGGCCTGAATCGCTTGAGCAGCTTTTCAGTAAGTCCACCAGCAGTTGGGACCTGTTCCGAGGAGTCAAGTCTTGTCGTTAGGGTCTCTTACAGGAACGAGTCTACGAATTAACATCCGAAGACCTTCAGGCTATTGCGATGTCAAATCTAATCCAGGGACAAGTGTTTTGGACAGATCCTTATGAGCCGAGTTGTTCACCATTCATCACGATTCCAATTTCCCCGGGGTTGAAGACTCAATTTGCTGCACATCGTGGTCGGGGAGGTCATAGCCGATTTCGTTAATATCGGATCGATCTGCTTGTCCCGATCTGCTTGTCCCTTTTGCGCGGCTGAGAAACCTCTAACTTAATGGTGACTAGCTCCGAACTCTTTGGGGACAGAGACTGTCACGTGCCTGATATGCTTGGCGTTCCGGAGATAGCTTCCGTTGCTCTCTTGCAACTTGTCTCCGAACTTCATACTCGATAGAATCAATCAACTTGCTCAAAGCCATTGCAGAGACGAGGCCAGAAGACGCCTTATTGCCATGCTGGCTGCTGACAATCTTAAGACTGATGTTCCTCGTTCGATTCTTTACTGGTCGATCTTCGTTTAGGAAGAGTTGAGACTCAACACTCTCGAAACACTCAGATGTCTTTTACGACATTATATGTCACGTGCTTGTTACGCTTGACGTCCGTAGATAGCTTTCGTTGCTCTTTGGCAACTGCACTCCCAACTCCATACTCAATCAATCAATCATTTTGCTCATAACCATGCTAATGCCCAGTTTAGCTATTCCCTGAAGCTACATCTAAAGGAGCTCAGGATGAAAGGTGGGCTGAGCTACAGGGCGCGAAAGCTTGTACTAAATCAAAGAAAATACATATTTGTCAAACGGGTCAGATTTATCGAACGAGAAAGAAAACGCTCCCATTCATCCAATACTCTGATCCAATGATATCTCATACACAGAGGCAGGCCGCTATGTGATCCCTTCTCAGATAGCGATCTAACACTGTTTATGAGAGCTCTCCAACAAACGCGAACCAGTCCATGGTTCCGCGTGAGAAGGTTCATTGAGCCATCTTTTCATGGCTACAGGCGTCTTTTTCACCCGTGTTGGGTGTTGAGGATCCAGTTGCAGAGCTGAAGAATGAGAGCTCTCATTGAGAGTGGAATAGGTGACACTCTGCTAAGCAGTCTGTTAGCTCTTAACTGCGACAAGAGACAAATAATTTCCGTGTGGGTGTTGTACCTTGTTGGAATTGGCTTTATCCTTGGAATCAGAGCCTTGTTCCTTGTCACTCTCAGCTGGGTATTTATGCTGGTCGTCCCCACTGAATATCGTCATTTGATTCCAATACGTCGGGTGTTGGGAGTCCTGTGCCGAAGTATAAGAGTTATTGCCGATAATGGAATATGTGATGCTGTACCTTCTTGGAGATTTGCTCCTTGTCACTATTTGCGAAGCATCTGTGCTGATTGTCTTTGTGGGACATCGTCATTCGAACCCAACGCCAATGCTTTCGAAGACCAAGAAGCGTATAAAAGTATTTTGATGTGTTTATATAGACGTCAATAATGTTAATGTCTATGAAGAAGTCACAACATTGCTGAGCTTTACAAGGAAACATGGTCATCTGGGTTGAGATCCTTCTCTTATAGACTGCATGGGGCCTGGTGCATATGGCCATTTTGTCAAGGCATTACATAGTTATGGACTTTTCGTTCACTGGGAAATTGAAATTGGTAAGGATGCCTTTTCTATGTACCATTTGTTGACCCGCTACTGCACCGTATGTCCTCTTTGAAACCTAGGCTGAATATGGCGAGTGTAGTTACACTATCGTCCTGGCGTCCGTCAGATGGCCATCCTATCCACCTTTCTGACGTAAATTTTGACATTTTTCTAATTGGTTGTTACAAACGCGATGACGGATAAGAGCTTATAATTGGCAGATAAGCGCGCGGCCCACCAGATTATGCCCAATCAATGTCGCAGTAGAAAAACAAATCTGAATTATTAAGCCAAAGATGACCCAGCAAATATCTTTAATGGGTTTAAGGTTGCAATAGATGTCTGTCATTCGTTGAGACTAATTTAGACACTTGCGCTACTGAGTTTCAGCCACCAATGAGAAAAATGTCAAAATTTACGTCAGAAAGGTGGATAACTTGTTGCGCCTTCTGGTGCTTACTACGTACATACAGAAAGAGTATGAAAATCTCATGAATGTTCTCTGGAATTTTGATGCAACATTCTTACTTTTTTCCATGGTTTCTTTCATGGTGACGCTTTCATAGCGGTATGGCTTCAGAATACCAGCGGCCTGGTGCAATTCCACCAATACCATCAACCCGAGCACGGCGCATCCCTGACGAAGAATGGAATACACACCGTGACAAGCTTGTGAAGCTGTATATCGAAGAAGAAGCTTCGCAAAAAGACATAATCGACATTATGACAAAGGAACACAACTTCATCATCACGTAAGAAGCGGTTCACTACTCCAGTGCCTAATTATCCGTGCAATATGAAACCAACTCTTGCATTTTTAAACTGACACTTATTGGATGCAAAGTGAGAAACAACTTAAGCATCGGTTTCAGAAGTGGAATGTCCGGAAGCATATCAGCAGCTCAGACATGTGAGTAATCTTATCACTAAAGAGAAAGCATGATGCTGTCACAAAGGATACCAAAGTCCAGTACCAAGGATATGTCCTTGATAACGACAGGCTTGAGCGTGCATCTAAGAGACGAAAAGATTATATCACCACGCCCCCATGTGAGTTCTCTTGGCCATAAGCATTGTTAGTCTTTCTGAATACCTACAGTTGTTCCATTGCATATTACACTAGGTAGATCCCTACTCCGAAGCCCTCAGCTGACTCAAGTTGCCACCTCTGTTGAATATTCCAATGTGAGCAACGCGTTCGTTGTTCCAGACTCGAACTGTGGAAATCTCTACTCGAACAGAGCCATTAACGCGGCAAGTCCTACAATAGATTTTCTGCCTGATCTTCCTCCTGACCTCGAACGTCCTGATGGTCAAGCATGGTCTCCGTTTCCTGAAGTGCTTATGTCACAATCTGACCTAGCAATGAGTCCTGAGAAAGCAAATGCAACTCCAACTCCAACTACTTTCGAGAGTATGCTGCTGGAAGGCGGTTCTGTTGGTCAAGGGTCTACTACCGATCCTACTGAAAAGGGCGAGATGCTTGGAGCTAATGAAGAATCAGCCACAATCTTTCAACATTCACGCTTTCCACCATCGCTAGAAGTTCCTGCTAGTCCTCTAAAACAGCCAGCGCTTTGCTCTGCGCCGCGGAATCGCTTACTTTCATCAGGTGGCCATGCCTTAGCTATGTCCACAACGAGCAATGAGAACCTTTTCTATGTCGCCAATGACGGTCAGTCTACCTTGGAGGCTCCACTTGGAATCAGTGCTGGCCTTGCGCGGGTTTCCCTCCACGGAACAGATCCTGAAAGTATCATTCCACCGTTGCAGCTTATAAGGTCGCAGCTTTCCATGTGTCTGGATGTCGCATACCGGGAGTCCCATCCCTGGGGCTCTAGATCCTCACGGAATCAACTGGTCCGGGAAATCACTAGCGACTGGTTACTATCCGAGATCGATGATATCCTTTGCTGGAGCTATGATATCTCCGCAAGCATTATCAGACAGCGAAGGGCCGGAGAAGGAAATAGATGCAGCGGGAATCAACAAAATTTGTCGAAGAAGTATCGTGACGGTGGCAGGATCCCTGATTTCGAGGATGGGGATATATGGATTGACAGATCTGCCTCCCAGCCACGTGGGAGACTCATTGGCAGCTTTAAAGCAGGATGTCGCACAAGGGGTACATTGCAAATTCAGCTTCGAAAGGTGTCAAAGGACGTTATACAAAATCATGATCATCAATCGTCAGTTTTATCACAATTTCCTTCATTCCCAAAGTTAGCGATCGCACAAAAGGCATTTCAGTGGCCTTTACAAGGTTTCTGGATGCAAACCAGCATCCTCGATTGTGTCCAACCATCAGGGCCTTCAATGTTATCCCAAAGGACTCTGAGATAATTACTTGCGTCAAAAAGAATGATCTTAAAGGCGTGCAGAGGCTTTTGAATGAAGGTAAAGCATCTACAACAGACGTCGATCCGGGTGGTTTCTCGCTCCTTTCTGTAAGTCAGACTGCTCTATCTAAGGAAGTAATTAGGACTGATAGTGATATAGTGGGCTCTGTTCTTGGGTTGTTCAGAGATGTACCGTCTACTTCTACTGAGTGGAGCAAGTACAGAGTTTTGCTATTTGTGCGAGTTGTCCATTGTTGATCATCGGTAAAATTGTAAGACTGACTTAAATTGGTAGACACAACCACATGAGCGGTCTGATAGACTGTATTTGGTTTTATTTTATCGATATCACTCTTGAAGGAGGAGGGATGACTGAAATTCTCAACAAAAATCTCACTGATATCAATCAGTGTGTCTCCATGACAGACCTCGCTCTAAAACATGGTTGCGAAGCTGGTGGCCACTTTCTTGGGAATCCGAGTTTTCCAACCCCGCTTTTTGTTTTGCCCAATGTAAAATGGACTGATAATGATTTTTCATCGGTTCCAACTCTGCTTGGACATTTGCTGGCCGCCGGCTATGAGATGGAAGACCGCAATGCTGAAGGACAAACCCCGCTGCTTTTTGCAGCTAATCACTGTCAGCACAGGTCCCTAGCTCTCCTGAAGCAATTTGTGTCTTTGGGAGCTAACATACAGTACTAGTGCAAAAGTATCTGACCGACTTGAAAATTTGTGTGGAACCACACCAAAAAGACGACTTTTAAAAATAGTTATAACAACTCTAGCTAGGCGTCAACTACTAAATTTTAAATATGATTTCAATTTAGAATTGATGAAATATTCATTGATAAATACAAAGTTTTTATGTAAAATATCTACACATTAAATAGAACAGGATTAAAGTCAAAATCTCGAAAAAGTAGAAAAAATTTGTATGGAGTCTCATACAAATTTTATCAAAAATTTGAATTACTCTACTTTCTAGTTCTCCTGTTTAAAATCCATAAGTTTTAAGACCTAAGTTTCTATTAATAAAAGATTAATCTACTAATTTTGAATATCTTCCAAATTTTTAAATATGGGATTGACACCTAGCTAAAGTTTTTATTTAGTTGTAAAAAGTGCGGGTTTTGGTGTGTTTGGAGGTTTGGTCAGATACTTTCGCGCGTGACTGTACATGCTACTGATAATGAAGGTGCGGTGCTCTTCATCAAGTTCTGGAATTTCGCCGTGGTCTAGAGCAAGGCTATTTGAGAATATTTGTGAAAGGTCGAGTAGTATATCGACCCTGGTGCTTCTTGGCCAACGGTTCCAACAGGTACAACGACGTCAACTGGGACCACGATTCCAACTGGGACCACGATTCCAACTGGGACCACGATTCCAACTGGGACCACGATTCCAACTGGGACCATGATACTAATTTCTACGACCCTCATGGCTACGGAGACGATGATCCTTTTTATATATTAGCGAATACGACTTTGACGACTTCAACACTGATACTGGAATCAAAGACTGGGAGGCTGACCTTCCAAGATGCAGGCAGAAAACTCGCGCAAGATACAAACTGCTCACCTTACTGGAAGCTGGCTGCAACCCAAACGTGCTCGACAACGACCTTGCCTCTCCTAGTGACTACGCCAGAAGAGAGAGTCTCTTGCCTCAATGGGAGTGGGCTCTTGTACACAGCGGGTACATGTACGACGAGGATAAACAGGAATGGATCCGAAACGTTTCTTTCAGTGACATAGTGGACATGACAGCTGGCGAGTGAGCGAGGGCAAAGCACAAGAAGGACGACTTGATGAGAGGGACAAAAAAATTTTCATCGTGGTCGTTGGCAGGCTTTACTCGGAAGGGGTTCATTGGCCCAACTATCAGTCATGCCAGCCTTCTCCTTCTCTTATTGCAAAATTGGACACAAATACTAGATCAGGGTATTCGCACTGTCATCGAATGTGCTTACGCACGCATCTTGATAATTCGGGAGATATGCATGTCTCCTCTAGGACTCTGATTCCATCTCTCTCACGTCTGGCTTGTTACTTATATTTCTAAGCTTCTCTGATACTATAAAGGTGGTGGCAGCTTAATAAGATACGGACAGAATTTCCAAAAAAGAGAGGGAATCAATCGAGGCATTAATATTTGCCACCTTCTGATACGTGGTGATTTGCTTGAGGAGAAGCAAGTATCCTCTGAAATATAATATTTTGAGATTGCTAGTGGCAACAGACGATCATACGTGTAACATCGCGGAATTAAGATTGACGTTACTCATGTTTTGTGATTTGCTAACACCACCGCTTGCAGACGAGCCTGCCGCCAGATGCATATCCACTAAATTAGTACTCCTTAGTAAGCTACGGCGGACCATTAGATCCATCCGGCCAATTCAAATTTTCAGCTCCACAGCAGGGCCAGGGAATGGCCCACCAAATTCGTATGGGGGATTCCACAATCATGCTTGCCGCATGATATCTGTGCATAGAGACTTATTGTTGCTACTGAATGATTGATTGCCTAAGTGAGCTTCTAGATAGCCACCCTTGGTGTTGCGTAATGATCGCGGCCACCGACAGGGCCGCAGGAGGGGTTGCAGCTCCTCCCCTCAAGTTGTATTCTTCGTCTTCTTCTTTTGACGTAGCACTGGCGGGCTATGGAAGTAGTCATGAGTCTTATTGTTACTCTTCTTCTTCTTCTTCTTCTCTCCTTGCTCTTCCTTCTTCTCCTCCTCCTGCTCCTCTTCCTGAGTGGGTATATTCTTCTTCTTGCCCTTCTTCGGAGTTGAGGGTTGAAGAAGAGCATCAGTCTCTTCAAATGCTTGATCTAGCTCTATGTAGATTGATCGAAGGAGTCGTCAGTACCTGAATGAGCTCGTTTATGAGATTCAGCCGCAGAAGAAGACTCTGGCTCCACTGTAGGAGGTCTCTTAAACTTGAGAATTCGCCATGATGTAGATTCCGTAATAGGAACAAGCTTGGTATTCTTCTCCTTCTTAATCATCTCCTTTTTGATATCAATAGAGTCTTTTAGAAAGCTCCTTCTTCAGTTGTCCAAGAGTTTCAAGCTCTATCCGTTCGATAACGATATAGATAATGTACTCCTTATTAATAATGCTAAAGTACTCCATCGCCTCTTTGACTATACAGGCGTTATCTACGCTTACTAGTAGCTCAACCAGGGTCTATTTAGGCTCTACATACTTTACAAGATAAAGCTTATCCTTATTATTCTGCTTAATAGTTGTTCTCTATTCTCAGACTTAATTAAGTAGAGAGTTATATATAAAGTCGTCTAGATTTGTGATTACTTTATTTTAAAGCCTAAAAGATATTCTTTTTAATAATTAATAATTTATCTGCTCTCTATTCTCTTATATCATACGTTGCTAAATTATTATTATTATTTGATAGGTTTCGGTTATAAGCTTGTTATTTATATAATTTAAAGAAATTAGAATATTCGCTTAAGATTATATAAAGGAGGAGCGCTAAGTCTTTTGCGTTATCATCTATTATACAAGCTCAGCAATAGAATATTAAGTATATTACTGAAAACGCTATATTTAAGAGATTTATACATGTTCATTACTAATAGTAAAAATAGCCTTTGTCTTCTTTAGCGGTTATATTAGTGAATTATTAAGCAGTTCTATTATCTCTTATAGCTATATATTAGAGATAAGTCGCTTATAAGCTAGATTGTGAAGATAGTAACAAAGGCACTCTTTAAGATTAGCAAAATCATTATGAGAAGCTTTGTTAACGTTACAAAACAGGAGCCATAAGCGCTATGACATAATATAGAGGTTATATAAAGTTTTAAAGCTAATAATATAGATATTCTGCTAATAATTATAAGCACAGAATTTGCTTATCACTTTTTTGTTAATTCTGAGCCCTCTTGCCCTTTATAAAGTTCTCTCTCATGAATTCTGAGTCCTCTTGCCCTTTACGAAGTTCTCTCTTGTTATTTCTGAGCCCTCTCGCCCTTTACGAAGTTTTCTCTTTTATTAATAGTTATTATGCCTTACGTAAAGATTAATTTGGATTCGTATAAAGATGAGATACTTGTATTAATATCTCTTAAGAAGTCAAACACAAATATTATATAATATTTACATGACTTATATCATCTTTAGTTAGCTGATTATACCCTTCAGAGACGTCTTAAGAAGTGAAATATCTTTATACAAAAATAAACTCAAGATATGCCAGCTTTACGAAATCAAATAATTACCCTGTTCTTTAACGGCCTTAACAATAATCAGCTCTGCAATGGCTCGGAACTAGAACAAGTCAATAGTCTATAGATTGCTAAAACGTAAGCTGAGGAGTCTATCTACAGTGCGGCCAGCGCTCTACTCTATATACTCCTCCATCGTACACAAGGGGTGCTACTAGTTAACCTGCGCAGAGGATCCGACGGAGTATCTGCAGGGCCAGAAGCGGTAGCTTCCCTCTGGAGGAGATTGTACTTCCCTAAAGGGGTCGTATCAATCTCCTGTTCCATGGTACTCGTACGGGGAGCCACGTGCCGTACAGATGCCTCTATCGGCGGCATAGTAGCTTGACGGCAAGAGTTCCGTGTGCCGTTGTGGATACGCCATCGGCGCTGCCATCCGAGTGCGTGGCTGGTCCCGTGTATTTCCTGCGCTATAGCAGAGGAGATACTCCATCCATCACACTACCCCCCCTCTCTGAAAAATCGATTGCCCTCAATCGAGAGCACGAGAAAGTAAGCCCACTCCTCCCAAATTCCGTTGCCAAGCCTAGCAACTTCCCTATTAGGTTAGTCCGAAATTTAGCTGTATATATATGGGAGCTACTAAGGCGACCCGAAAATTTGTTACGGCGACCCGAAAAAATTGTTTCGGCGACCCGAAAGTCTTGGCATTAATTCCCTGGCTCAGCTAAAATCAATCAGGTAGCTTGTTCACAACCCATTTTGCTCGTCCTGCCTGCCGATTGGCCTTTATCTGCC